CTGATGGCTCCTCACTTCGTGTCCATGGAGAAATTGATTGCTCCATTGATATTGATGGCACAGTGTTTAATGCGCCTGTTATAGTGGCTAGCTTAAGAGCCACAGCCATACTTGGTTCAGACTGTATGTCTAAGCAGGGAGTTAATATAAACTACCCCGCTCGAAAATTGGCAATCAAGCCATCCTCTGATTGCCATGGAGATGTACTGAATAAAGTTACACCCCGAGTTTGTGTGGTAGGTGAGGACAGAAAATCCTTGCACAACTCTGATGTTCTCTACAACGAGAGGGAGGTAGATATCCCAATGGTAGAGGAGAGTGACGACTCGGATGAGTCTATGGATATTAATGACTGTATAAAATACCATTCACGAAAAATGATGGTTGCCTCCTCTTGTGAAGACGAGAGTGAGAGTATGAGCACAGAGCAAAATATAAATGAAAACAGGAGTTCCTCCTCCTCCTCCTCCTCCTCAATCTCCTCCTCCTTTGAGAAAAGAGAGGCTATTGTGAGGTCATTGAGATCAGAAACACATGTGCAAAAACCAGTGTCTGAAAATACTCAGAGTGAGCCTAATGAGCCACAGTTATCAGAGCTGGTAACAAATGATATACAATTGCAATCCTCAATGCTCCCTAAAGTGAAAAATCCTCCTCCTCCTCCTAAGGTAGAGAACACGCCTCCAGAGTGTGAAAGGAGCATGAAAAAAGTTGACTCACGAAAGTCAAAACGAACTAAAAGAACACCTAAACATTTTGAGGATTTTATTTGTGGTGTTCAAGATGATGTGGATGCTCAAAGTTCATCCTCCTCATCAGCATCTGAATTGCCATGTTTTATTTCCAGGGGTCATAGAAAGAAGCGTCGGTTTAATTTTGCAAGGAAAAGAGGGCCTGATTACTCGCAATTCTCCCCCAACCTTTCCCCATATTGGGCTGTACCTCCGATGTCTTCCATGCCTATGATGAACCCCTACTGGACGGTACTCCAACAAAATGCCACTTCCACATCAGCGCCAGAGATTGTGACTGATGAACATGACTCGATTAGTGGGAGGTCTAACACTTCACAGCCTGTGACAAGGCATGAGATACTCTCTTCCGCATCTTCAGCTCATAAGAAGGTGGATCGAGAGTCTGATGAAGACTTACCTGATATTATTGATATACATGCCAGTAGCTCTGATATTGAGTGTAAGTGTCATAAATGCCAAATATGTCATAAAACATTCTCAACCAAATATAATCTGACACGTCATTTCCAAACTTCACATTTGTCAGATACTCCAAAAAGGAAGGAAACAAAACGACACAAGAAGAGACATAGTAAAGAGACTCTAGAGGAGCCAACAGACTTAGTGAAACCAAAATCTGCCAAAAAGAAATCTAGTGTTTTGTGTGATACAGACAATGAGGATGAGACTGTATTCAAGATAGAGGACAAATCTTCATTGGAAAATATATCTGCAAATAATAATCTTTGTGAATCAGACAATGACAAAAGTGAAAACAATGAATCAGGAATGGATAATCTCTATGACCTTGTCCTGAGACTGTATGCTACTGCAAATCAGCCAGGAGTGAAACAAGAACTACAAAAAATCAAGTTAATATAAATTTTGAATCTCATGAGAAGAGAACACTTGAGGAGTATGTTGCTCATTTTGTTTTTATAAATTGTACTTTATCTTATCTTATATATTGTATTGTACTTCATGATTTCAACTTTTTCATCTTTAGTCTTGTCTGACAATCAGCGAATAGGAGTGAAATTTCTCATGAGGAGTACATCTTGTATATGAGAAGTTAATGAGTTTGTATTTTTGTATTTACGTAGTTAGCATTTTTTTTAGTTAGATGAGAGTAAGTAGCTCCTAAGTTTGAAAAATGTTCAGGAGTTTATACTGTATTCTTATAACTTGATAGTTTATTATTTGAGAACTGCTCGTGATTTTGAGAAAATTTTCAGGATGATATTTTAAGAGAAACTTACCTGTTTGACATGCTCTGGAGAAGTATCGTCTCTTTAATTTCATAGACGATGAGTTGTTTTCTCATTCTCCTCATTTTGAGAAAATATTTTCCTCATTTATTTTTTTGGAGCAGTTTGGAGGAAGATGATAAAATTTTGGAGAATGCTCATGAGTATTTGATGAGGAGAATTTTCATTATGATGTGTCGGTGTTAAACTTAGCTACTCCTCATTTTATTTGAAGAAACTCTTGAGAAGTTTTTATGTATTTTTTTATTGATGATGAGTTCTCTCCTCATTCTCCTCTTTTTGAGAAAATATTTTCCTCACTTATATTTTGGAGCTGTTTGAGAGGAAAATGATAAAATATGTTTTTACTCATGTTAGTTTTAAGCATGCTCTCTGAGCATTTGTGTTACATAGTATATAGTTGTAAGGATAACTCTATTCATAGCAAAAAAGGGTAATCCTTACCTGTGCCTCACATAACTGAAGTATCTTTGAGAAGTTATTTTAATTAAGAGTAATGTGTAATCTGCTCATTTTTGAGACAATATTTTCCTCATTAGTTTGATGAGAGAAATGAGAAAATATGAGAAAATTATTCTCCTCTTGAGCTTATTTTAGTTTAGAGCAGACTTAGAACATGATGTTCTGATAAATGTATTTTTCTCATTAGAGTATAACTTAAGCTTTGAGTAGGACTTATGAATGTAGTTTTATATTATGAGTTGAAACTTTAGATTGTTGTAAAGGATAATCTGCTCTTTGCTCATAGTGTGCAACTTCAGATATTTTTACTCTTGAGGAAAATTCATATAGCTGAATTATGAGCTACTCATTTTTGTAAATTGATAAAAAATGTTTACCGCTTTCTCCTCTTTGTATAACCATGCATGTATGAGGGCATACATATTTCTTAAGTTGGGAATGGGGGATGTGTAGCGGTAGCACAATTTTTATTATTAATTATATTCGTTCATTAATTACACATTGATACATTTTACTTTTAACATAACATTTATATGCGTTAAAAAGAGCAGAGTGTCCCCTTTTTAATGGTTTTTACCCCAGGTAAATCAGATTAGTATTTATTGAGTTATGACAATTTGAAAAACATGAGTAAATTGAGATTATTTCGTTTTGTCGGCACTGCCGCAATAGTTGTCCAGCTTTAGCGATCAATAATTTACTTAGATCTTGGACGGGTCACTTTGAAGTTTTAATTAGTTTGACAAGTTGACAACTTGGGCTGGTCTCCGCCCCCTTAATTTGCATATTTCTCGAACGATCGTAAGACTTTTGTTGGGAAAGTCAGTCCTGAGTTTGTATCTGAGATAGGAGGTTCAATTTCTCCATTTTTATAAAGTCTCAAGTTTGTATCTGAAAGTGATAATACGTATACGAATATTTCGGCATCTGATCAAGTTTTACATAAGATTTTGGATTTTAAAGGCTTTGGATTATAATTACGATCATTTGTAACTGGATTTACTAGTATTGGATTTATAATTGGATTTATACTTCGATTACATTCACAGAAATCATCATGTCTTACCAGCCTACAAGGTAAATAAAGTTTATTGTTATAAAGTTTAGTTCATTTCTTTTGTCCAGTTATTTCAATCTCATCAATTAGTAAATTACTCCATCCATTAGACATGTTAGAGCGATACAAAATCCTTTCATACACAAGACGAAGCCACAACATCATCTTTCCAGTGCCTTATTTTAATTAACGGGGTTTCCGCTCGGCCCATTCTTTCCAGTATTTATTATTTTGACCATATTGATTTCATACTGGTGAAAAACATTTCATTTTAAATAACTCCCGCCACAATATGTCCAGTAAAAGAAAATATTACATCTGCCAAACACAAAAAAAGATATTTCCATTTTTGTGATTTTACAACATGGGGGCTATGGGGAATCTCCCCGACCTAGAAGTCATCTTTTCAAAGAAAATTAAATTTTCAAAGTTGATAAACTCTTTTTAAAACCATATTTCTAGATGTAATTTTAAATGACGTAAATCAAGATTATTTCTACTCGCATCTAGGCTATTGAAATACAATTAGAATACAATAAATAAAGATGCTGTTTTTCAAAAAATTTCACCTCCCATTCCAAACATTTGGCCCTTTAATAGGATGTTTAAAGGACAACTGAAATAGCTTTTCTCAACTTGCAGCTACAAAAATGCGGTTTTCTCCTTTGTAAGCCCAACGTAGAGATCTTGCGATAGTCATTATAAAATAAATGTTAGATAACTGCTAACGGTCATAAATAACGAAATAAAACTAACTGATCAATCAAATTGGCCCCCACGTGATAAGTAACGTCATATACAAAATATAGCTTTGGTTTATTGGTTCCTTAGTAATCACAACGTCACGGCAACCATAGGATTGTAGTGTAAACCAAAACAAAACATTTTGGCATTATGACGTTATGGGCCATGTGGGGACCAGTGAGAGATCACGTGGGGGCCAATAACGTCACAACCAATTCGAATATTGCTTATTAAGCAGCTATAACGATCGTTAGAGTGAAATAGTTTTCGCACTACTGATGAGAAAATATGTCCAAATACATTTATCAAAAAATTATATTGATTCCTTTAGGTTAAAAAATACCATTTCATATCTGCTTTAACTTTGAATGACCTTGGGAAGCTATTAATTGAACATTAGGAACATACAACTACTTTGAGGGACCTTTTTCCGAATGGGGACAACAGCAGCAGCTAGGGTACTGTGATTGTATGACTCAGAATGACCAACTACAGGGTGTTCAAAGTTGAGGGTGTTAAAAACAAATGCAGCTGCATTTACCAAACAACTTCCTAACCATGGTGTTTTGGCACTTCAAATTTGGCACAAAATATCTTCAATTCAAAATTTTGCAAATCGCCTTGACGTAACCGTCATGCTATAACAGCGTGGTAAATATCGGCAACATTTGAAACTATACGTACATTGTATGCGTCTTTTATCAGACATGAAAACTAAATTACCGGGAAGAAGTTAAAATCTCACTGAACGAAACTAACTTCCGGCACTTTAACAAGGAAGAAGTTATGAAAATATTTCATTAGATTTACTTTCTCTTGGATCACAGGAACTTGTGTACGGACTTAATGCGTCATGTTTGACAAAAGCACTTGGATACGGTTAATTGCGTGAATGCACACGAAACACTTGTAGGTGAGTGATATATGTACATTGATTATATATTTTGTCTGATCGCTATGTTTTTGGGGTTTTCAACTACAAAATTGTTTTGAACTAGATCTAAGCTTTCTATACTTTGGTTGTAGGTTAGAGCGGAACTTTTTTCTCTGACCTGAGATTTGGGCCACCCCCTTGTTGGTTCACAGATCCGCCCCAAACCCTGTTTATTTTATTGCTTTTTATGCTAAATCTATCCTGACTGTTGCAAGGTCTATTGATTAACTCAAATGTAATAAACATACCTTATCCCGTACCAGGACTATAGTCCTGCATTGAGAGCATGTTTTATCCTGTGCCAGGACTATAGTCCTGCGAACGTCTTATTCTTTTGCCTGTACGATTACAACTTGGGAGAATTATCTACGCCTCTTACACTTAGATACCTACTTCAATTGATTCCTGGGTATTTTAGCATTCTTTTCGTGTAGTTGAATCCACAATTGTCTGGGTATATCGGCAGAACGGGAACATTTTTCTTTTTCATTGAGAGATATTCCATCACTTTCCAAGATGGCGGTTGGATTTAAAACGGAATTCCCCGTTTGACTGACCCGGAAGTGGCCCGGAAGCACCAATAAATGGAGGAATTTGACGGTTGAAATAAGTTAAATATTACACGCAAATATTGTGATTAAAAACATAAATTTCTTTGTTCTGCCGATAAACCCAGACAATTGTGGATTCAACTACACGAAAAGAATGCTAAAATACCCAGGAATCAATTGAAGTAGGTATCTAAGTGTAAGAGGCGTAGATAATTCTCCCATGTTGTAATACTACAGGCAAAAGAATAAGACGTTCGCAGGACTATAGTCCTGGCACGGGATAAAACATACCTTCTTGAACTTAGTATGTAGTCTTACTTCATATTGAGACTCTAGTAACCCCCACTCACTGTATACTGTATATGGAGTATACAGTTAGTGGGGGGGGGGGTAAACTCCTGTTCCTGTGTCCAAGGGAAAATAATGTTAGATCAATATATAGAAAGTCACTTTTCCCTTGGCCGGTCACCCGGTTTTTTACACAAACCCCTTGCATGGGCGTAGCGCCTGTTAAGCACAGAACCAATTGTTTCAAGATTTTTCAAAAACTATTTATTTATGATTGTTAATATTGTGTAAATAGGCAATTCATCAGATAGCCAGTGAATTTCTATATTTCGTAATCTTCAATTAATACAATTTGTCCAAGCATATCTTATGATATCAATCGATATCGTTATGTTTTTCTCAGGTCCTTTAAAATCAAAATATCAGTCTACTAGTAACACTTTCAAACCGGATATAGATGATGCTCCGTGTCTGTAGTTTTTCGTATTATGTAATTTTTTGATTTTGAAATTTAATTTGTCGATAATCGGAAAATATGCAGTCGCCTCTACAAGGCCCACCGCCACATGGGCGAGAAGTAAGCCAAGGAGGCTTGCTTAAGCCTTGAACTGAGCTTTTGCCAGTTTACCATTGACGTTACATTTGACCTGAGACCCTCGGTGAAGACTGCAAATGAATTGGAAAAAATAGAATTTGTTAAAATGCATCATTTTATTTTCTGATAATTCCGTATTTTTAACGAATTTGTTTTGTCAGAATAGAATTATCTAAAGTTAAAAAAAACAACACTCAGATTGCATCAAATAACGTATTTGAAAATAATTTCCCGGGGGAGCATGCCCCCGGACCCCCCGAGATGCGCGGCCTTCGGCCACGCATTCAGGCATCAGCGAGTACGTACCAACTCAAAAATAGCCCTACGCCCATACCTTGCATCCTAGTACATGTAATTATTACAATAGATCAACATGTTATATTTCAAAAGTGGTCGAAAAATATCGGCACTAGCTACACACATATTTCTTATCTAAAAAATGGGCTTTCTCAACTTTCATCTTGTAAGGTAAGTTACATGTACTGTAACAAAAAGCCACTGCAGGGTAGAACTAGCTAGAAGGGCTCATACCAGTCATTGTCTTTGATATCTAGCATATGGTGGGGGGAAGGTTGAACTCTCCTTTCCACGAAAAGTAATACTAGTATACGTTCTTGAATGATTTGAAGTGCAATACAGGATATATTCTGCTCGAGAAATTCCGTATTGGAACGAGACATAGTCGAGTGCCAATACAGAATATCGAGACTCGAAGTTTTGACTCTGTAACATACCCATTTTGCATCATGTTTATTATTACATGTTTATCCTCAATATTACATTTAAGGTCAAAAACACACAGATACAAAGGTCAGTCCATACTACAAAGGGAGAAGTGCCATGAGAGGGGTCATGATTAGATAAGGTATGAGTATACAACTATATACAGTATAATGTAATGTTATACAATGTAATGTTTAATCATTTGCTAATTTTCTTAGAGCAAAATATCTACATTTAGTAATTTTACTCAATAAGTACATGTACTTAGTAAAAGTCTATCTAATAGATCTTGTAGTTTCAATGGGAAATCTAGCAGGTGTGTTGTTTTTATAACAATGTTTCATGATGACCATCTATAGTTGATCCTATTAAAAAAATCTATAGCTAATCCTCGATCACATGGCTTCAGAATCTGTATACCATTTTAAAGCTCACGCTTTATGCTAATATGCAAATTATTGTTAGGAAATGAGTTTCATGGACTGATGGTCACTATGAAACACCCTTTACATTGATTTAGTGAATGTTTAAAAAATATATATTAAATGTTTTGCCAAAGGAGTGGTATCGATATGGACAACTTTTTGAACACATGTTTCTCTTAAACCAGTCATAAAAAAATCATAAAATTTTACACATTGTCAATTTAATGGTCATCTTTTGAATGGTAACAATATAATTTGAAAAATATATATATACTTTCATCTGTATTGTTTTAGAAAACAGTCAAACACTTGTTTTGTTTCTGGTATTATGTTTCCAGAGTGAAATGAAACATCTTTCCGAACCTAAGAACTTAAGAGAAAAACATTGTTGAATTCAGTTCTCCATATCGATACCACTCGTTTCTAAAAGTAGAATTCGGAAATTGAACTCTAGATTATTTAACAGAATTTCTCTATATATAATATATATGTATAATGTTGATAATCCCTGACCATTATATGTTCAATTTTATGTCTGTTGCTTTAGATCCCCTGCAGTCGATCCCTGCCTAAAGCTTACACATTCAAACCCATTCTGCACTACAGACCAATAGCTTGCCTTATGTCACCACCAGGATGGGAAATCTATATATGAGATCATTATAATGAGCCATGACGTCTAGATTTGCGTCATTTAGGATAAAAAGATCATCATAAGAACATCAGAATGTGATGAAAAATGTCTAGAGATCGATTCTGGTTAGATCTAAAACATTTTCAGTGAGAGGTATTAAGGCAAATATAGCATGTGACGAATTGATGCATTCAGCAAAAATATACATGGAGGAGGTGGAATTTGTAGATTTTTAAGTTTTTAAAGTTTGTAAGTTTTTAATCATTCACTAAAAAAGTAGAAAAATATGAGAAATTTTCATTGCCATGCACAATGACATCGTAAATGTATAAGTAAATGTATTGGTGACTACATACATGTCAAGAACTAGTGTTACATCCACTTATACCAAGATACATTGAGATAAAGAGCCATTTGCAAGATAATAAGGCATAGTAGTACAAAAACTAGCCAGACAAAGTATACTTCAGAATCAGTATAAAATATTTATTCCTTGATGTTAAAGTGAAAATCTCACTGTAACTATACGCTACTCTCTGAACCTCAACTAGAGGGTTCCAGGCAGAATGGAAAAAAACTGATAAATAGCTTAACATATATGGTAGCCTCAAACTGAAGTTTTTGTTGGTATGAGAAATGAATGCTTGGAGAGAATGTGTATGTAATACCACTTGATTATTAAAGAACACCTGAATCAAGATAAACGTCTCACTTAACTTGTGATAACAGTGGACTTACTTATCAATGACACCTATAATGACCTGAAAATAAATCGTCAGTGAATTTTTCATTTTTTATTTATTATTCCTTGCATTCATTCATGAGAAAATGAATGGTTTGATTGTTGCATTGAATGGTTAGATTGTTGCATTAAATGGTTAGATCGTTGCCTTTCTCTTTGATTTATACAATAACAACATAAGTTACCTATAAGTGCATATATGATTTGCTATTGTAACATGAGGATTTCTAGTTAAAAGGAAATGTTTTTATATTTCAATTGAATAATATTTTGTAAATATGTTAATGCTTATAAATACTCTCACATATATTTACATGTGTAAATTCTTTGCTTTTATAAGTTGTTGATGTACACTTAAACTAGTTAATATTTAGTACAAAGTACCTTTTTAATCTGATGTCAAAAGTCAATTAATTAAATAGCTATACATGTAGTAAGTTAAGAATAAGAGTTCCTGAAAGTTCAATTCAGGACATATTCATCAAAATTAAATAGAAACTTCATTGAAAAATAGATGTCGCTGTGGCATACAAATACACAGTATGCTTTCCATTGAATCCATGGTGATGTACTCAGTATTTTATATTGGAGCACTGCTTTCAACTAGATTTTCACACAAGAAATAGACTAAGCTTCAGCTGGCTAAGAACACCCTTTACACATGCAAAATGTGAACACTGGATACTGAACACCCCCTTTTTCATGTTATTACATTCACTGCTTTGTGAACATGAACTTTGTACATATTAATTCATATGCCAAAGGATCTAAAGAAATTGTGAAAGTTGAACAATCAAAATCCAAACAAAAAATGGAACAAAATCAAACTCGAAAGAAAGAAATTGCATTTCATGATCGAGATTATGATTACACTCAATCCGTCCCATCCCAGGACTCTCTCAAGCCTATTATAGCATGTGCAGAATTTCAGGATAGATTTACAAGATCTTTGAAAATCACACCAGGGACTATGTCTTCCATTACTCAAGTAACCAAAAAATCGACCAGTTCATCATCCAAATATGGTAAATCTGCACACGGAGAAGCAGAGGCTCCCTCTCCTGCTAGTCAACCACACCGGACGTTCCTCAGATCAGAAAGTTCTGTCTCGGAACATTACGAAGTTGATAGCGGAAATGCAATATATCAGATTCACTTTGACAGTACATTAAGTGTGTGCAATACATTCTGGCGACCGGCCTTAACATTCTCGCCATACAAGTATGGTGATATGGTGCTAGAGTTTGGAGATATTTGGCCTGATGACTCCACCCTTCCTGGCTTAATGAAGGAGGCTTTCCAGATGACTGCCTTAAGACGTTCAGTTCTTGAGATATGTAAACTTGTCCTGAGGTGTGGCCCTTTGAGGGTGCTGAAGTTGCTCTTAGAACAGAGAGTGATAGGTGAGTTGCATCCTGGAATTCAATAAAATTTCAAAATAGGGCCATGTATTAAGCATCTACTGAAAACCCCATTTAGACCTAACCTTCTTTTAAAGAATTTTCTGGACATAAAAAAGATCAATGAGGGAACCTTTCAATATTCATCATCTAATAATAATTATATACAACTGGTGCTTCATATTTGCCCTTATTTCAAGCAGAGACCTATTATATTTTAAATGTCTCTGTTTTAAGAAAAGCTTGTAGGCATGCATCAAGCCTTTTTGTTTTCCCAATATGTTTCATTATAAATAATTAATAATGAGTGAAGCTAGAGACTTGATGCAAGACTATTATGTTTGTAATGTTTGAATGTGATTTTATTTGCTAATTCTAATCATTGTCAAAAACATGTCTCCTGTTCTAAAAGACTTTCCAATCAGAGATTACATTTTCTGGAGTTGCTTTTGTGCTCCCATCTATTATAATTATGTGGAATGATTGTAAGACTTTGAAAAGAATTATAGATGTCATGGCTTTATATAAAAATTGATCAACATGATAAGGCCATAAGAGGTAGATTTTTGTTTTTCATCTCCATTCAGTAGGAGGGGGAGGAGGAGGAATAATTTTAATTGAAAAGTCTGTTGGAACATGGTCATGAAAGACAGGTTCATGATAATGATTAGAATTAGCCGACCCATGTTCTGAAGTCTCAAGCCGAAGTGAGAATTCAAATTGAAGAGGTGAACTTTGTAGAGGAGAGAGACATTACTAAATCAGTAATGTGGAAATTGATCTGGGGAGGGTTGAGGGAAACTATGGTTCCTAGCTTGATGATCTATGCTCGGGACTTTAAAACATGGATCTCTAGAGGCCTTGTACCCTTACATGATTTGAATTTTGCCTTGCCAGGACATAAAACATCTACTTCTTATGCCCTTATGGAATTCACTGTATAGTGAATCAAAGTAAAGTGTCACTTGACTTTATCAATAATTGCATAATAATTGTATGGTTAGGATGATTTGAGTTATCTATACTGATTGCACTCATCTTAGTTCACTCGGCTCCCATTGGTCGATGACCCATTCACCTCCCGTCGGTCGATGACCGCAGTGAAGACCAAGCATGCGAAGGTGGAATGCACTTTAATATTAATGTCACAAATCAAACAATGGACTTGAGGTCATATTTGGAAGATTGATGTATATTGGTTAATAGTTTTACACAAAACATATTTTTCATGATGGCAACCTTTGTAACTTGTGGGATTTTTTTAGATTTCCAAGTTTTTCATTCCCAGGAAGGAAAAGTCTTGGTTTGGAGAACACTCTCCTGGGCTAATAGTTTTTTATGAAAAATATAGAAATATCACCCAAATTAAATTAAGGGATATTCAAAAGAGGACAAAATCTACAAGATGTAAAAATATCAAAATTGTCTGAAGCAGACGTAACTTGCAGTAGACCGATTCAATAAACGAAAGTCTCAATTTGGAGAAAGAAATTCATCAGTGAAGTGCACTAATCATTTTTTTATGAAAAATATAGAAATATCACTCAAATTAAATTATGGATATTGTATTATATTGTTTGAGATTTTGATAGTGTGTCCATAGAATTGATTTGTTCACACATTTCATTTCCACCCCCCACCCTGGCCCATATTTTTATTCATATTTGACTATAATTTTTCTGATTTGTGGACATGAAAATTTAAAACAGCCACACAAAGCTTGGATTTTGAATATTATATTGTGACATATTACAGTTACTAAAGAATTTATTCATCAGGATTTCTGGTTATTATTTGCTGGCTTTATTTAACAACTATTAGTAAGTGGACTTACATTATAGCTTTGATATGATAAATTATGAAATAGGTAGATTTGCTGACCACTTGAATCTTATCACATACGTAATTGAACAAAAATGAGAGTTGCAAAACAGTCACGTTTTGAAACATGTTTTGTTTAATATCTTAATGTAAATATGTACTTCACAAGTTCTAAAAAATCCAGGATTATTGCAATCATTATGACTTTTATATTTCAACAAACATACAGTATAGTGAATAGATGCTTGGATTCACTATCAATATAATGGGTAAATATGAAGAATTATTTACAAGTAAAATGGATGGACTAATAACTATTCAAAAGATAAAACACAGTTAGGAAGAAATGGAGAGGGCTGTTTTATCTTCATGATTAATTCATTGTAATATAATACACTACTTATAGGTCAAGTCTATTTTATGCAAATCTTAAAGGCACCTTTCAAAGTTATAGAAAATATAGTTCAATCATTCAAATATTACTATATTCATCACTTGAAAAACTGTTTGAGACAATTCTTGAAAAATGTGACTTTTGAAAAAAGTTGTCCTTCTTGTAATTTTCAAATATTTGAATTTCCCGTCATTTTAGAAACAAAAGTTTGACATTGTAAACCACATTATCTCTCTACTTTAATAGATCAGACATTTCAATCTATCAATCTTTGATTTGATGCATATAAAAACTTTTAAAGCTTTTTTAAAAATTGTGATGTCACAAGAATACATTATGATGCCATTTAGGTTTCTTGTACAAATATTTTTTAAATATGGTTAGCAGTATTGTTTGCCTATCTAGGTTGAAATTAAGTTTTTATCATGTTTTTAATATTTATGTTCTATCAGATTCAGTGAGAACTAGAATTTAAAATGTATTTTTTCTGTGCTTGTGAGTTCATTTCTTGCTTATTTTTCACCCAATTTCGTTAATTTTTTCAACACCAAAATGTTAGGAATAGGATAATGTTATGTATCGGTGAAAATTATTGCTTAACAATGTATTTACGTGACAACTAAAAAAAATTTGAAATAAATTCATAATTTTTCAAACAAAAAGTCTTATAAAATCAACATTTTAAATTAAATTGAAAAATTTCACATACCACATTTTGATATTGGATAAGACTATAACTGATAACATAAGCCCAAGTGGTTTAAACTAAACTTTTATGGGGCTGTAAGTGATTTTGTTTCTCTTTATGCAGCATTTGACAAACATTCTGCTTTCAGGTATCTTTATCACCTTAAACTCAGATATAGTATCTCAATAAATCTCAGATCAAGCATCTAGTAAATCTTATTTATTTCTATGAGATTCAACTGTGAGCAGTGAACAGTGCAGGGTCTTTTCCCCCAGACACTGCATGGGAGTTCATGGCTTGTACTCATTGTACTATAGTTTAGTAGAAGGGATAAAACAAGTTAAATTCCTTACTCTTATCATTTTCTTATGATGTTTCTAAAAGGTCTGACAGACTTTATTTAGAATAATTTTTGATCTGGAGAAAATGAATAACTTCAGAACTTTCCCTATCTTTGATAAAATATTTTAATTCTTTCTGAGAAAATAAATTATACCAGTATTTGTTCTACTGTTCAATAATCAGGGTGGGGCCATGAGCTCAATGGATGATAACAATTCATTTCTTTACGTCCCATGATAACATTGCAACTAGTTGATTAGTTTAATAGGTAGGTGTTTTAAGGACATTTTTAGATTTACTTGAACTGACACCATCATAATTAAGGACAAACTAGTGCAACTAATATGATCTTGTTGTATATATGAACAAGACATGAATATTGAATTTTGGGTGAGATCAGAGCAAACAGGAAAAAGCAAGTTGTCTGTCATATGTTAGCATTTAAAGGTATTCTGTAGGTGATGCCATTTCACGAGGTTTGATTTGCTTATCAACAGAATATTTTTGTGCAGTATGTAATATAATATTTCATTTTAGCTGACAATATTAAGTACAGGGTGACCCAAAATGAATGCATCCCATAAATGTAACATGCTTTTTTGAAAGGCCATAAAATTTAAATGGTACCTGTTACACTGCTGGGTTGAGTCTAACGAAGCATTTTTGTAACGAAGGTTAGCGAAAAAATTGTGTCCACACTGGCTTTATCCAACCCTAACGAAGCAATTATTTGGTGTTACACTGCACTTAAAATGCTTCGTTGCGCGTGCGCATTACTCATCTGCCCCACCCACTTATTATGATTAATATTTTTATTCTTTTGATATAAACCATTGATCAAACTCAAAAATCTAATTTTTAATCTTTATTTTAACAAATCAGCACAGAAAAAGACTAGTTCAAAATTCTCGGGAAAATAAAACAAGATGAATGTGATCATTCGTAAACATGTCCATACATTTTTCCTATCATTTCGATTTTTATATATTTCAGCTGTCAATTACGATTACAAGTATTGTTTTCATTTTCTATCATTTCCTTTGGAAACCATATGGAATAAAAATAGGCCTATGTTAATTACTAGGAGGAATTGGATTTGGGGTTTATACAGACGACTAGTATGTTATATCGTATAAAAACGTTCAACTTCCAAATGGACTTCTCGGTTGTATTTCAAATAGTGTAGCCATTACTAAAATATCTCGGTGTTCGGCTGGTGGTTTAACTCACGCGGTCCTAACTTCGATCGTTAATTTGAATTTTCGACCTACCAGATGCTTGAAAATCAAGGATTGCGATACTGCACCGTTTTTCTTTAAACTTGTTCCATTCAAAGCAAAACAAAATTGCCTTTCTGTCGGTGCATTACTTTATTGCAAAGAGTCCCTCGTTCTAGCAGCGTTTTGGTTCCCAGCTGTTGGAAGGCCTTCTTACAGCTGGGGACCAAAATGCCGCTGGAAGTAGGGACTCTGTTTAAGAGAATAATGTACCATCAGAAAGGTATTTTTGTTATGCTTTGAATGGAACAAGTTTGAAGAAAAACGGTGCAGTATGAGACTCGTAATCCTTGATTTTCAAACATCCGGTAGGTCAAAAATTCAAATTAACGGTCGAAGTTAGGACCACGAGTAACTACTTTTTCATGACCAATTCATTTTAATATGAATATTACCCGTCTCGCCAATACTCCATGCATATTTGAGTGAGTTTGACATAAATTAGTATGTTAATCCATCAGCCGTCCGTTGAATTCGAAAATGGCGCAAATAGGAAGAAACTTGAATATCAGTTGTAAGTATCGTCTTACGACACATCAATAGTGTTTGGGGCTGGCCTAAAACATGCATCCTCTCTGTGGCAAATATCTGTCGACAAGAAACAATTTTGGCCACCGTTCCTTGTCCGCAGGTTTTACCGTATTTAATAAATAAAATAATGGAACGACTAGTACAAGTACATATATTGCAATGGGGCGATAGCCAGTTGAATACGATTTCTGAAGAGAGACATTTTCGAATCAATCAAGTCGGCTATATTCCCTGATGTGATTCACCGGGAAGCAATTGTATCAGTATCATGGTATTAACACCTTTAGAATTACATATAATTACGTATAATTATTCGAGGCGCAAGAAAAAATTAATATTAAACATGTATGCCACAACTTTCCATTTAGTAAGCATATCTTATGTAATTTCAAAAGTTTACCCTTCCACACTTGAAACGGAGTTTTCCGAAAGAGGGACATTTAAATATTCTAGGTTTATTCTCTAATAGATCAGATAAACGTTTCAAAACTAGCGTATACATATACGGTAAAACCTGCGTTTTTTAGATTTAATACTTTTTGTCATATCAATGCGAGGAAAGGCAGGGAATCGAATGAAATGCTACGAAAGACGGTAAATCACATTTGTACGTGGCGTTTAGGGCTTGAGTTAGCGTCAATCAGTGACGCAAATAGGTAATTATTTTAATCAAAACGTAGCATTATAATAATACGTACTTAAAAACATGTTCTTTCCTCGCGATTTCTCTCATTTAATACAAAATGATGAATGTGCTCTTTATTACGCGCATGCGCAAACCGCCAACTAAGCATTTTCTAACGAAGCTACCTGTTACACAGGCCAAAAAAGCTTCGTTGGGAGCTAACCTTCGTTGAATTTTCTACTAAATTGCTTCGTTATCAACTAAGCTTTTCCAACGAAGGCGGAGGTGTTACACTGGCCCAAAATTGCTTCGTTACGAAGCTTTTTGTCAAATTGCTTCGTAACGAAGCATTTCAACTGGCCTGTGTAACAGGGGTCAATGGCAAGAAGCAAACTTTTAGGGACTGATTTGTCACAAACTCAGCTTGATATGAGTGAAAAATGAAGCACATATCTTATTTGTTATAGAAATATGGCGTTACAATAAATAAAATAAATCAAAAAAATGACAAGTGCATTTATGGATTGCACTCATTTTGGGTCACCCTGTTTAAGAGGGTTATTTATTGTTACCTGAATAAGTTTTCCTCACATGTTTAAGAAGCTATGATTGTGTTATAGGCATAGATCAAGTTTTTGAGAATGGGTCCAGTATGTTACATATTGCGTGTATAGCCCGCAACAGTGATGCAGTGCAGCATCTTTGCAGCCTAGGAATTAATCCAAAGATTCAAGATAAATATGGTGAGTTACCATTATTTGTTATTCCATGGAACAAAGTTCGGAGGGATATAGGGAATGCTCTGTCCACCTTTCTGTACGTACATCCATCCGTACGTCCGTCCATCCGCCTGATTTTGTTCATATTTTGTACACATATACCATATGGGGGTAGAAGTTCTGCTCAAAAGCCGATTTTTGAAATGGCCGCTCATTTAAAAATGGCGGCCATTTGAGTGCCAATTTTACACTAACTTAGGTACAATATGTAAAACTGCAATAGCAATATGCTTTAAATTATACAGGGCATAAATAAAGCTAAAAATGTAGATATTAAAGAAGCACAAGGCAGCCATATTGAAAAATGGCTGCCTTTACACACTATTTTGTGTGTTATTGCTATATACTTCGTTTGTAAAAATGCCAGCCATGGCTGTTCAATGGGATTAGCTACGCTTTGGCGTTGCTGTTGTCTAGTTTTAGAAAGAATTTGCAATGCATAAATGTTATAATTTTTCTGATGAATGGGATCCATATTCTAAATGAATTTGTTCCATAAACAGCATCACTGTTCTCAATATGATTATTGTGTTACACATTTTTGAGATTAAAGTATTAAATTTCTAAATGTAATCAATACTAATATCAATGGCAGTGCACTTAATCACAAGTAGGGCAACTTAGTACACCTTATCACGTCCAGGAGTTCATATGTTAGTAAAGATTTAAGATAGATTTAAAAATAATTTCACAACAACTATAAGACATATTGACACATAAAATGGATGCTCTTTCTGAATTTCAAGGTCGTACTGCAGATCAAGTTTTGTTCTGCCCAAAAATTCGCAAACTACTCCCAGCACGTTATCTTATGAGTCCTCCGCGAGATGGTCGGAGATCACAACCACCTGCAAGTATGCATGATAAGGAAACAATGTTTCAAATGGCTCATTCAGTAAAAGATGTTGATGAACTGGAGATTAAATTACAGGTAAGAATTCTCTGTTTTTGTTTATTTTTCATATATACCATTTCCTCATCTAAGCTTGAAATTAATAATCAGCCATATAAGCTATTTTAATTACTGTAATTGAAGATGTGCTAGTCCATTGTTAAAATCTTACGCAAAGATTTTGAGATATTTGGGGAAAAGAGAGCAAAAAACATTATGAAACATTATACGTATACCTCTACTGTATGTATTGGTATAAATCAGAGTACCTAAATGGAAAAAAATTGAAAAAAAATTCAAGCACATTGACAATGTTTGAATTTAAAATGGCAATTGCACATTGAGATATACATATGCAAATGTCTTAAACTTTATTTGAGTTTTCTAAATTCTCAAAATATTCTATTGTACAGTAGTTTATTTTTAATAATGTTTATTGTACAATGTTTATTGTACAGTGTTTATTGTACAATGTTTATTGTACAACTCAATCTAAATAAACAAAATTATGAAAAAAGCAAATGACCATGTTAATTTCACAGATGAACTTGTTAGATATTTCGACAATTCATAAGTCCCAACTGAAATAAATGCTATTATTCAAATTTTAATTAGAATATAAATGAAGTTGAAAAAACATGATTCTTTCAAAAATGAAATCTTACCCTAGTTTGAAAATTCACTGATAAATATAAATCTAATCTAAACTGATGTTTGGTAATGTCAAAATTTGTTTATTCAGCATCTTTTCTACATGTAAGAAGAATTGATAGAATGAATTACAAGTAACAATTTAAAGATGCGGTATACCATACGTAGGTCTCTCTCCTGGAAAATCAATGATGACCCATTATAATTGCTGTCCATATTCTCTCTAGGCGCACATACTCGACTTTTCAATGAAAGACTCTGGCAACTTGAGTAACAAAAATCCAAAAAATAAAATATTTTGAAAAAAATAATGAATGAAATTTCTTTCCTTTATAATTGTTATATTTTTTGTTTGTACATGTACTTGACCCCAAGGGGTGTGAATGTACTTAAAGAATAAATAAATATAAATATGCTCTGAAAACAGTTTGGATTATAAAACTTTACCTTCTTCTAAGGCCACTATATTGTGGCCTTTGTCCAAAGATAAATCCCTGCATGTTTTTTACTGCTGTATACAGGACATGTAATCATAAAATTTGAAATCAAATATTTGCCATTTTTCCACATCACAATTTGAATTGCGAGGTTTGGTCGTATTACAAAACACACATGAAGTGATCAATGTATTTGTTCACATCTTCTGGATCACTAAAATCTACAGCCAGTTACTAATGTCAGACAATAACGACATTTCATCCAGTTTTCGAATCTCGCCATTTTTCTTGGAGCCGTTTATTTTAATTTTAGACGAAATCATGCAATATTTCATCAAGGAGCCCAGCCAGTTCCATTTTAATTCATGATAGAGACTCGAGTAAATAGAACTCACAAAACTCAACAGTGAAACATCAGATTGTGAGGCAAACTACTTTTCTTTTCATTTTTGATAGATATTTGTATTTAATTAGCTGTGTCAAGTATCTTAATTCCAAATGATTTTAAGCATAAACTTATATCTTAGAAAAGTTGAGTAATAAAACAAATTAGATTTCTGGATATCTGCAGGTTTTACATTAAACATTGACTTTTAGTAAAATTAATGCTTACATGTCCATGCTTCTACTTTAGTCATTATTGAGTTTATAATGACAAGTAGGTTTTTCATCTGGTAACAGTTCTATTTGAAGAGTGATTGACTCATGCGCAGAACTATCATATGAAGTAAGAATTGTTCTTAAACATGTTCATCAGTTTGGATTATTAAATACTAAATCAATTTTCTTCTTTACACCTTTATTTTGAAAACGCAATGTTTCAGATCACATCTGGAACCTTTATCAACTGTAATATTAATTCCATAAATAAATAAATTGGCGGGAATTTTGAATTAATTTTGGGAAATTAATATGACATAATACTGTTTTTTTATATAATTCTTTTGTGGCACTTCAGTTCAGTTTTTATTACAGTTGATAAAGGTTCCAGATGTGATCCGAAACAGTCTATGTTTTCAAAATAAAGTTGTATAGAAGAAAATTGATTTAATGGTGTAAATACATTTGCAAATGCTTGATTAATTCAGATTTTCTTGATAGCATATGTCATATTTCAGACACTTGACTTTGATGTGAACAGTGAAACCAATAGCAAGGGAGATTACCTCATACATGTTGCAGCACGAGAAGGTAATTAAAGGCACTATCAGCCATTATCAACCTACCCGTATCACCACCTCACATTGCCCAAAATTAAAAGAATTTCATAATAAAGCCCATCAATAACTAGAAGACTGCAGTTATTGAGCTGCTTTAAGAAAGCTTCCTCTGCACATGACACATTATAAAATAAGATTTTTGAGTAATTCAAAAATTTGTATAATAAGGGCGTAGTGCCTGTTATGCACAGTACACCCGTGTGTACCAAATGAATTTGCAAAACATTAAAAAATGTGTTAAAATGCATTTATTTGTTTGCACATTTATTAATGATTCTGTATTTGTATATTTAATTTTATCAGAATAGAACTATTTAAAGTTGACAAAAACACTTAGATAGCATCTAATAATGTCTTCAAAAAATTATCAGGGGACTCACTATACCCCAGGACCATCCAAGATCAGACATCCCCACTTGGGCGTACCAACTCAAAATAATAGCCCTACAGCCATGTATAAGTTGATGATTTATTAAAGCAGCGCGGCAAAGAGTAGACATTTATATAATATACGACATGTAGCATGTTGGAATCAAGATTTTCCAAAAATATATGAAACAACCATATTCTTTGTATCTCAAAAATTATTAAAAATGCAGAAATATCCGTATTCATTGGAATTGAAAAAATTTTTGATTAAAAAAAATTCTGGACTTCCTAGAAAATAGATGGATGTTTTAGCAAAAAATTCGCGTCCAGTCTGGTCTTCAATGGCCCTTATTATATAAATAGCGTTTTTGAGAAGAATGTTCCCCAACAAGACTAGCAAAAACTTTCCCCTTCTTTGTAGGTCTAAGTCAAATGTCTTTCCTGAGATGCCTAGCGAGGATCCAAGATGCTGACATTGAGCTCCAAAATGCAAAGGGAATGACCGCGCTGATGATAGCCTCTGAGATGGGTGATGCTGTACTAGTTGATGTCTTGTTGTGCCTCATTGGGTCCAACCCTAACACCCCTAACCGTTCTAATGGTTGGACAGCACTCCATTACTCTGCTAGAGAAAATCAGATTGATGTGGCAAAGTGAGTTGAGTGCATTAAGAACAGCCCCTAAAAATGTCTGAAACTAGAATTTGAAGATAATAAGATAATTCTAACTTGTTTTCCCCTTGGCCTTTGACATCTTTGCACCAAAATTAACATTGCAAAGATGATTTGATCACTACATGTACACAGATGTTTAGAGTTAGACACTCATGGGATTGCATTTAAGTTTATAAATGTTATTTTTTAGATCTAATTACTACACCAAGAAGAAAATATCAATTCATTTTTTTGATTAAGATAAAATACATTTGTTACGCTATCTAATGCTATGAAACATGAGGCCATATGAAATGGGAGCTACGATATATTTATTTATGAAATAATGTTCCAAACTTTGAACCATGTAACACATGAGTCATTGATATTTTGCAATTACATTGTATAATATTCGGTGATGCAACCTGCCATTTTATAGCACAAATTATATTATTTATAGTTGTTTGACAAAACGTGGTGCTGATTTTAATTTGGAAGACTTTGAAGGCCGAAGAGCTGATGATATTGCTAAGCAATATAATGTCCAAGACTGCAGGGAGGTCATTGAGGCACAGAGGGTGTTACGTATTGAGAGTCTCAGTCAACAAGTACAACAGGTCTGTAGATTATCTTTGCCACTAGTTGCTCCGTTATATGTAAAGCTAATCCACACTAAAGTCACAATTTTAGTGAGATAAGTCTATAATTGTTCCATCGAATGAAGTTCAGAGGGATATAGGGAATGCCTCTGTCTGTACATAACTCAAACACTGGTTTTGTTCATATTCTGTACACCTATGCGCTATGGGGGTAGAAGTTCTGCTCGAAAGCCGATTTTTGAAATTGCGACTCATTTAAAAATGGCAGCCATTTTAGAGCTGACATTACAGTTATTTAGGTGCAATGTATAAAACTGTAATAGTAATATGTTTTAAATGTAAAAAGTAATATTGAGCATGAAAGCTAGAAATTAAGATATTTAAGAAATACATGGCAGTCTTCTTGAAAATTTTAATGTATGTTATTTTACGATTTTTGCTAATAACTGAAAAAACAGAAGACTTTTGTAAAAATGGCAGCCACAGCTTTTTGATGGGATTTGCTACACTTTGGCATTGCTGTTTATCATATCTAGTTATCACTCTTCCTTGATATTGTTAACTTCACGGAAGCAGAGTATTTGCAAAATGACATATCCATTTGACCAGGTCTCCTATAGCCTAATAAAGCATAAAATATCTCAATATCTGGACTGCAATCATTATTATAGAATAAAAACATATCGACAATATCACAATGTTTCTATTCATTAGAACTGGATTAAATATACTCATAGAGTAGTTTACTTAATAACATTAGCTCGAGCATTATATTTTTGTAAGAATGCAAAAAGAACATTTTGTATCTTGATAATTTCCATACATGTTTAATACAAAAAATCATTAATCTGATGAAATATTTATTTTTCTACAGGGTGAACTTACCTCAACTAGTCTTAGGGTGACAGATCTTTTCAATGTAGACAGGGAGGGAAACACATTGATCATGGCAGCTGCCACACATAATCAGTGTGACAATCTGGAGCTCCTAATACAAAGGGAAGCTAGTCCAATTGATGCTCAACATGAACGAGTAAGTTATTAGGGCTATTATAGGTTGGGGTATATCCCCAATTTGCATTAAAGTGTGCACCAAAGTTTAAAACTGCGCAGGCGCAGCGCTCTCGCTAACCTATATAATATAAAGAGATTACAAGGTACAGGCTTCAGAGGTAAGTAAGGAAGGTGAACAATCTTCGTCCCATGTTGATTTCCCGTATTATCGTAAACAGGCATGCTGTTTGTACACGCAAGTACATGCATGAAGGCCTAATATTGATATTGTATTGATATTGCTTGCATACCTAAATAAAAGTAAACTCTTCTAATCCCCTAATCTAAACACGGCGGTATACGTAGTCCGATTTATCGGAGACTTTAAAAACTTGTTCAAACAGTTCAAACAGTGTTGTTTAGCTTACTATTCCGATTTTCATTTTCTGTGCAGCACTGTTTCACAAACGGCACTGGGCAGCACTGTTTGAAATTGGCACTGGGAAAAAAAATGTTAGGATATCTTTTGTCAAACTTTCTCAATTTGGCATTTTGTAAGATAATGAGTTTTTCCAATGTGATATAAGCTAGTGTTTACATTGTTTATATATACAAATTTTGTATTTTAGACGGGTAGAACAGCACTGACGATGGCAGCCATGTTAGGCCATGAGGAAGCTGTACGACTTCTTTTAAAGTAAGACCTTCTTTTTCAGTATAAATTAATATCATTTTTTGTCATGACAATTGCTCAGCACTGTAATGTTATAGCATACTAACTCTTAATCAGATATACTATTGCGTGTTCCATACTCTATACCCTCTATAATCTCAGAAGCAAGCTTTATTCAAAGACGGACTCAAAATGCAGAACAGCATTCACAATTTTGATGTTCAGAAATATTTTCTGATCAAGGGATTAAGAAATTATTTACAAAAAAGTTGAACATAAAAAAATGAAAACAAGAATCTTGGGAGTCAAAAATATTTCACATATGACTTTGTATTGCCACCTAAAACATTTTTCACACATAATCATCAACTTGGAAGATGTTAACTTGCTTGCATGCAGAAAAACAACCACTAAAAATCAATTCAGACCATCCATATATGAACCACCATATCAGAAAAATTCTGAAGGTTATTTAGCCAATAGAGGCTTTGCTAATCTTCAGATTGGTCCAATTTTAAATATTGCTTTCCATTTTAATCCCCAGCACATCCTCAATTCTAGCCAGCATGTAAAAGTGAATAAATGTGTGCATGTGCATGTATATTTAAGGTATGATGCTAATCCATCCATTAGGGATATAGATGGCTACCTTTCCCTCCACTATGCAGTACAGCATGGGCACTGTGAGACTGTTAGAGCCATACTGAAATATCCCAGGGCTTTCATGGTACAGTATTTATAATGTCAATTATGAAACATGTTCATTTCACATGATATTGAAACTTGTTTTCATGTTGTTACAATTCAATATTTCAAGTCATTCATTTGAGTTATTTATTATCCCACCAAACAAAGTTCAGTAGGGATATAGAGAAGTCGTTTGTCCATCCGTTCTGTAGTCCATGCATTTGTCTGTCTGCTAACCAACTGGTTGAGTTCCACCTTTTTAGGCAAATTTCTTGTCGGCATAGGACAATTGCTGAAAAAGAAATCTTCTTCAGTAGTGTTTCTCAATTCAGATTTCCTTTCCTTCCTCAAATACCAGTCATCAGATTTGTTTTAAATATAGGCTGATGCCTTTTAACTGAGCATAGATTCTCTCTCTACGTTAGAAGGAATTCCTCATATGATAAAGAGTATGTCATGGTCATTGGAGTAGATTTTGACAAAAAGATACAGTCCTACTTCCTGGTAATCATGTAAAAAATAACAAGTGAACTGATAAAATATGTTTTGTTAAGTAGGATTCACTATTCTGAGGAGTTGCAGGCTCTTTAACTTAACTACATGAAATGAACACTCAGCAAGGTTTACATTTTTTACATAAGTTGACACGTTTTGCGGTTGATCATGTACAGTAATAACATTCAGGGATATATAAGTCCAAATGAATCTTTGACTCATTGTTTAGTTTGTCTTTTGAAATTGATGCTTACTTTAAGAGATGTTAAAAGACCAGGACAAAAAATCATGATTTAATCTTGAGTCTTCTCATTCAAATTATATGCCCTGTTATTTGGCATATTTGGAGGTTGTCCCAGTATCCTTCGGATTTGTGTCTAATGTTATCAGATTATTTGGTCGAATCTTTTGTCTGTTGACATACGTATATTTATTTTGATACATGGATCTATCTATCATGATATGAGAGGCTATTTGTCATGATAAAAGAGTGCAAACATGTATTTATCAAAACTTGAGGATACTGACATGAAAAGATGTACATTGATAAAAATGTTAAACATGCTGATACATGTACTTGCATTATGTACATCCTACGGAAATTAGCACTTAAATCTATAAAACATCACTTCTCCTGTATCTTCAACAAGATGTGAAGAAACTTCTTTAATTTTTTTACATTTCTTGCAGGGTCTTGCAACAAGTTTGAGATTAACAAATGACCTAGTGATGCAATCCCTTATAAAAGATGCCATAAATCGACGCCAAGTTGAGATTGTAAACCCAGAACTTTTTGAATGTGCCTTAACAGGAAATGCTCAACAATTATTTTGTGTACTTGAAGAAGGCGACAGCGTAAATCCATCTGTAAGTAAATCCTAAAATGGCTCAGTTTCTAACTCTCATCCAAAAAGTGCAAATTCTCAGACAATTTATTAATCATTGATCGACTTGTACACTGTACAGTAAGTGCCATGTCAAGTTCTAAATTGAATAAGGTATAATATTAATGCACCATTTCACATCTTTAAAGGCAAGTAATTCCTTCAATTGTTTTTTTTCAAGTAGTAATATTTACAGGAAAGATTTGCTGATCTTGATACTGGTAGTTATCACAGATACTTTGGGTTGGCTTCACAGAATATAATTGAAAGCAAAAGATGAATGAAATAAAACAGTTTTTTTGTATCAATGTATATATTTAATTTGAATTCTTCTTTGTTAATCACAGAGTGGGGTTGGAGACTGGCCTTTATACCTAGCAGCTGAAAATGGCCACATTGACGTCATTAAACTTCTGTATGAAAAAGGTGGCGATGTTCGACGCCAGCACCCTAACACACGCAACACTCTCCTGCATGTTGCAAGCTCTCGAGGACATTTAGCTGTTGTGAAATACCTGGTGCAATTCTGTAAACAAAATGGCTACAACACTCCATCTGTGAATGGCCCCTCACACTATCGGGAGCTTCACATAAATGTATTGAACAATCAAGGCAAAACTGCATTACAGTTAGCAGCTGAGAAGGGTATGTACAACTATATTAGATTACATCAACTTGATAGACCAGGAACTTACTTAATGATAACATTACATAACACTATGAAGCCTCAATTTGTTCAGCATTAAGCCAGAATCTTACATTAGTTTCCCCCAAATGAAGTACTAGAATAAACATGACATGAAATGAAATGAGCCTTAAATATAATCTAAAATTGAAATAGTACTCTGACTATATTATTTGCTAGATTTGACACTACCTTCAATTATAGAATAAATATATGGATGAATATTTATAAAACTCAGAGCTGGCACAAGTGTGGTTGATAATGAAGGGATTCTCTTCTTAGCTCTAACTTTACAGACATCACATATGTTTTACCTAATGAAATGTTGCTCTGTCTTTTAAGGCTACAGTAAGATAGTGAAGGAGTTGCTAAACCATGGTGCAACTACAGTTATCTTAGGTCCAGATGGTCAGTTATTCTCCTGTATGGTCTACCAAGGCATACAAGTCCTCATTGAGACACACAGGGAAAAGCATACCACTGAAATCATGAATTGTATACAAGATACGAAAGCTAGGAAAAGTTTCTCCCAACTGAAAAAGATATGGCAGGTACTAAATACTTTGTATGCTTCTGCCCCGCCTATTGTATATTTTCATATGTTTATTGTGAATAGATTATTCAACAATTTAAAGCAAATGCTCACATAACAATGAATTCTGTAAAATTACAATGTAAATTAATGAAGATTTTGAATCAGGGAAAATGATACAATTGTTTTTGATCGTTGGCTAAATTGTTCATGTGAGTCACTCTTATGATCTTTTACCCCTCTAGCCAAGGTTTGATCATAATCTACGAGACAAATCAGGTGATTCTCCTCTCATGGTATCCTGCTCAGCAGCTCGTCTTGATATCCTCAAATTCCTGCTTGAGTCTGCTGTCTATGATATAGAGGGCACCACTGCTGACTCAAGCTATGACGGCTATGTTGATGACTCTGATAATGATTCTGGCGTTTTAGAGATTACAAGATCACAGAAGTTCACAAGGGAACCGAAGGGTAAGTAGGTGATCACACGAAGTTTAAAGTGCCCGATAAAGTATAAAATGCGCATGCGTCCAGGTGTTGATAAACTATAAATAGCGAAAACCCAGGGTTTGTCACCACAAGGTAAGCCAGGACGTGTTGAGAGAACAGCTAGTGTTGATATTGAATTTATATGTAGCCAGATAAGTTTCCTTATTGAAATTACATATGGTTATTAGCAATACTTTGGAGGTGCTAAATAATAAAATATTTAGAGTATATATGAGAGAAATTGGTCATTTCGAACCTGTTGAAAAGTTTGTGGCTCTCGGCTACACCGGGGAATTTACTTCCATGAGTACACACATAAATGTAGGGTTCCCCAAGAGGTACGCGACAAGGTGACCTGGCATCAAATGTGCGACTAAATGCTACTATCGAGTACGAATACGACAATAAGTTATTGCATGCGACAATTCCGAGCCTTCATCTCACTGAAGTATTTTGAAGTGAAAATAGGATTTTTGTTTTCATACATGGATTCAGATGAACGTAACTTTATTCTGACAACTAATCAAAACTGAACAAAATTGATTGTACGTAACAGACAATTTATTGTTTTACAATGTTTTGATTGGCTAAACGAATGAAACCAACAAATTATGACATGTAAAATGACAATTTTGAAATGTAAAATTTAAAAGTGACAAACACAACCTCCCTATCCACTCTTTGGGAGCCCTGGTAAATTAGTAATATGTACATGCAGCAGTGGTAGTGTGCAGCTTATTATCACACTACGCTTTGTATTCTAAAGCCTGTTGTTTGTAATAACACTGTTCACTCAACGTATGTTTTGTGTGTGGGCAGTCAACGATAATAATTGTTTTATCCCGGTTATATGACCTCGGCAATTATAACAAAACCGTACTAAACGAAAAAACGCAAATAAGAGAAAGCTTTCACACACATATAAAAAATGAACTAGTCTAATCCGCCAGTATAAACTCTGTGCTATACGTAGCCGGGCCAGGCGCACACTTTAAAGAGATGTAACACAAAATGTTTGCAGGGTTCAGGACTAAGGTTAAAAGCATGATTGCCCCAATTGCACATATGCATTCAGTCCATATATAATAAGCAACCAATTTCTTGCAACCAAGTCTTTTTCCATTAGTTAAAAGTGAATGTCATTGGCAGTCAGGCAGGTGTGAATTTGGAACCCTCAATGTTTGTTAATTGTTATGAAAGATTAGTACATCATGTGAAATTTCATGGAAAATCTTGTTTGAAATATACAACCATATGTGTTATACAGGTGTCCACGATGATGTCTCAATGCCTGAAGTGGCCAGTGACCAGGAACCTGTACCCAGTGCCCACTATACATTTCCATTCTCCAAGCGCAGAGGACCACCAGAGTCGCCCACTAGGGAAAAACAGTTCTCTATAGCCAGTGCACAGTCATCTGCTCCTCCAAGGTCTATGCCAGGAGATAATTTCAAGTGAGTTAAGAACTGGAAAATAAAAGTATAATATAATAGCAAATGTCATGATATTTTCAGTCAACTGGTCATAGATTTGTTAGTATTAAGTTTAAGATATAACAAAAATCCCAATTCTGAAAATGGAATTTTGAATTTTATGAACACATTTTTGTGTTTTGAGAACCCATACCAGGTCGTTCAATAAGTTCACGGGAAAATGCTCTCATTTCAATGATTTTTGATATTTTCTAATGAAATTTTTACAAAGTATAAAAGATATTTCATGAGAATATATAAAAAATCTTCGAAATGAGAGCATTTTTCTGTGAACTTATTGAACGACCCAGTACATTACCTCCTAAGACATATGCCCTTCATTCTAATATTTCTTTATTTTTTTAGTATTAAGTTTAAGATATAACAAAAATCCCAATTCTGAAAATGGAATTTTGAATTTTATGAACACATTTTTGTGTTTTGAGAACCCATACCAGGTCGTTCAATAAGTTCACCGAAAAATGTTTCATAAGAAAATATCAGAAAAATTCGAAATGAGAGCATTTTTCCGCGAACTTATTGTACGTCACCTCCTAAGACCTATGCCCTTCAAATCTTGAGTCTTAATTTTAACTTCTAATATTTCTTTATATTTTTAGAACAGCCAAAAGAAGATTATTTGAACAAACAAAGCAAACAAACAATTCTGAGGGAGACCTGAAGCAATTAGAGGCCTCATCAAGTACAAATATGTTGAACAGTATATCAACAATGTTTGATGACATCACTAAACAGAGGGCAGGTGTATTTACTTCAGGTATATACTCATATTTGAAATACAACCAATTCTGATATCTGGAATTTCAGAATTTTCACATTCTGGATTAATGCTTGCGAATGGATTGAATGTGAGTGCAATGTCATTTTGAAGTATTTAACCTGATGCAATCCCTGACTCTTTCACTTTATTACATCCGTAACCTATTATTGATGAAACTAAAGTATTAGTTACTGTTACTGTAATTGGTGAAATATATGGGCCTTAAAATGTGTTAATACTTACTGCAGCACTGCTGGTTAATGTGTTCATATGTCGCCACATTATATGTCACCACAAACATCTACAGGGTGTCCCGAAAGTATGGGGCCCCCCCTAGGCAGACATATACCAGTGTCGTCATAGTATGTGTCATATATCATTTTAAAGCTTATCCAAAGTTACATAGATTCGCCAAGTATCATGGTTCAACTCTCAAATGTGAAAAAATTACAGGCATTTCAAAATTTAGTGTTTGATCAAAATTAAGTTCAATTTTACACCAAATCACTAGTCAATGTGTCCTCCCGGGCCATCTTAACTGCAGCAATTCTTTTCGGGTCAGATGGATATTGAGTTGGAAAAAGAGAACGATGGGGGTAGAAACTCTAGGGAAACTCTTCTAAAGTGCCTTAACAGGTTTTAAGAGGGTTATAAAATTTCACACCCCTATTTAAAGGGCTTTTAAGGTCATATCTGAAAATAATTGCTGCTGTTAACATGGCCAAGGGGGGACTCATTGACTAGTAATGTCGTGTAGAATTGAACTTTATTTTGACAAAACACTAACTTTTAAAATGAGTGTAACTTTTTCCCATTTGGGAGTGAAACCATGATACTTGGCAAATCAATGTAACTTTGGATAAGCTTTAAAATGATATATGACACATACTATGAGGACACTGGAATATGTCTACCTAGGGGGGGCCCCATACTTTCGGGACACCCTGTATTTATCCACCATTCATTGTCTACAGTGTGCATTGTCTGTAACAAATTGTTATACTTGAAGCAAATTGTTACACTAAGTAATTTGCAATTGCATGTTTATGGTGACATTTTGTCATTTTAATGCCTCGATTAATCGTGTTCCAGATAAGATGGTGAGTCATGTGTGTGCTGTGAATGCCAAGGATGGGGCAACTGCTCTCCATAGAACCATCCAGAGTGGAGATCATTATCAGATCATCCTCCTGTTAGTAGAATGTGACCAGACATGTGTCAACATACAAGATGATCATGGTCTTAGCCCCATACATCTGGCATGCAAACTGGGCAGGAGGAAAATTGTTGAAAAATTGACAGTATGCATAAAATTGTTTGTTATTCTTATGTTATAAATAAAACGGAGTTCCATTGCCTCACTTTTCCACTCACTTTTCCACTCACTTTTCCACTCACTGAATCGAAACTTTTCCAGAGAGTTTTTGCGAAAGAATTGAGCCGTTTCAATTATATCAATTGTTGTTTCTTTTATGTTTGATAATTTCTGCTTAGTTCATTCACATGTTGGTATCCAAAAAAGGAAGGCAAATCTAGTATGATGGACTATACCATATTACACACGTATTTGTGTAGTGAAATCCTGTTATATGTAGTATCTGAAGTAACACATCCATTTCATAAGGGGCTATAATTCTTGATGTAAGTTGTATGTATTATCCAACACACTTGTATTGCAGGCAATGCCTTATGTAGATCTGAACAGTCGCACATTGGATGGTAAACTACCTGAGGAGATGACAACAAATAAGCTGTTTATTAAACTCATTACTGACTCAAGACTTCAACATCCATATAAGTAAGTTGATTAAGTTTTATTATTGAATATTAATTTGACACAGATGGCCAATTATATATTTATTTTTTTAATTTAACAAAACTTTCTATTTATTTTTTATTAATTGTTTATTTTATATATTCAGTGTGTTATTTATGTGTTACATTTTTATTATGTCACCACCAGAAGTGGTGACATATTGTTATAATAATCTCCAACTTTTTTGCGTATGACAAATAGTGACATTTTGCATGTTATTGCCTTGTACAGTTATTTTACAAGTTATGAAGTTATTTCTTAGTGGTAAATAAGGCTCATACAATTTCAATGTCAAGCTGTTCCTGTTTTTTGAGACAGCAACATTAATGTACATGATTTTCATCAGGCATGTTAGGATGACGAAATAACACACCAGAGATGAATAAAATTGTAGATATTGATCAAGATTAGATGAGACAAAAGTACTTCTACTGGATTAACAGTGTTAATCAGTTCCAAAATGAAAATGACTTCAGACAATATCCAAAAATTTAAACTTATCATTATTTATGTGGTCATGATCATCCCCAGAGTTTCAGACACGAGATATAAAACCAACATCAATCACTAAATATTTTCTTACATTGTTATCTGTCGAATATTTGAAGTGGATGACTTACGAGGGGTGATCCAAAAGTCTTGGACGCCCCGCTCTAACTTTGCTATTTTCTAATATAATTGCATGAAACTTTCAGATAATAAAGATCAACATCTTAACAACTTTGTGTATAAGTTTCAACAGAAAATAATTTATTTTAGCTTTTTGGTAAGTATTTTTTAACACTGGGTCCCTGCCACCCGGAACGGTATTTGAATATAGCAAATCGAGTCACAACTGTTATAATATGGCAAATACTTTAGGTGCAGGTGCACAACCTAACACCAGTCATGATATGAGAGAATTTCCGATTTTCAATCTCAGTGTCATCTGCCATCATCATCTTCACATATTAAGACCTACTTTTCAACATATTTTTCATGAATTTGAACACATCTTTCATACCGCTTTACCAATGAATGGAAGACATTTATGAAATCGCCATTCCTTATGTGATACAAATGGTGCTGGAGTGCCACTCTAAACCTCATACAATGAATAAAAAAACATTTTTTCAACCCCCCTTCTAACTTGGAGAAAAGGAAGACAATCACACAGAGCCATATCTAGACTGTATCGTGCATATAGTAGCTGCTAAAGGTCAATAATAGAATAGAATACCTTGTAGTATTCTTTGTTCCAGTTTTATTTCTTTCATGTTCTGCATTTCAGCAGCCATTTTGGTCAAAAAGGATACCAGAATGAGGGTTGCTTGTCTGATGTCATTTTCTTAGAATTTGACATACAGTAAAACCTGTCTTATCCGAACACCCACGGGACCAGCCAAAAGCGTTCAAATTGGCAGGTGTTCAAATTTCGAGGATTTTGTTGGTCTTTGTTGGTCGGGGGGGGGGGATTTTCATTGTTCAGTCCACTATATTGAACACTTAATACTAAGTCAGAAAACAATAAATGTTGTTGATGAGTTAATTCTATAATAGTCATATAGCCTATATGCTATGTTTTATTTATATTTTGAACAATATCATCGTTTTAGTAAAAATAACTCTTATGTTTTGGCAAAAACTTTGTAATACACTGTAAAAGTATGTGATAGTCTCGTATGAAATCTTATGCTTATCAAATGACTTATCCCATATTATGGTAATATAGCACTGCTTTACTTTTGCTTGAAAAAGTCCTTCATTGTTGTTTGTTTCTTGGCACTTTTAGTATTAGCAATATTTGAGTAGATATCCTCTTCAAGTAAAAAGAATTTTTCATGAGTGTTCATTCGAGATGATGTATAATCCTTCAAAATATCAAGGGCATTCAGGATGTCAGATGTATGCCTTTTAGGAGACATTTTAGTGATAGGATATTACAAAGTTGAATTTTTTCTCTTTCTTGTGATATAGTCTTGTCTGCAAATGTCGTCTGTGTTGTCTTTATGATTATAAAACATTTACTGATTGAATCTTAGCTATCATAACAGACCCATGGGATATAAAACAGTCAAGACCTGTTCATAATCCAAATCAAAAACATCCAGTTAATTTACAATAAGGATAAACCAATTATCTCCCAGATTCTCACCTTTCTCTTAATCCAAATCAAAAACATTCAGTTTTTTTCTAAATCTTGTCTGCAAATGTCGTCTATGTTGTCCTTGTGATTATAAAACATTTGCTGATTGAATCTTAGCTATCATAACAGACCCATGGGATATAAAACAGTCAAGACCTGTTCATAATCCAAATCAAAAACATCCAGTTAATTTACAATAAGGATAAACCAATTAACTCCTGTATTCACACCTTTCCAAAACATCCTGTTGTTTTCCACAAATTAGGGATGTCACTGAGACTAAATAAGTTAGTTAGGACAATATTGGTTCTTTGATTACATTGTATATGTAAAGATAAATAACAACTATAACATTGACTCAATATTTGGCTATAATTGAAATGTCCAGACATTTGATTTCTGATAAAAATGTTCAGATTAGACAGGTCACTTTTTCAAATCTGGTTGTTCACTGTTCAAATTAGGAGGTGTTCAGATTTCAAGGGTTTTTTAACATGGGAGTCAATGGGAGGAAAAAATGGGACCGAAAAAAAGTGTTCAAATTGGAAGGTGTTCGGATTAGCCAGGTGTCCAGATATACAGGTTTTACTGTATATGGCCATTTTTATATGTGACAATATATATAAAACACAATTAACTGGTTGCCTAGTAACAAAGTAAGTAAACTAACATGGTTTAACATTCAAAATTCAAATAAAGAGAGTGCTCAAGACTTGCAAAACAAGTCAAATGGCGGCAACATTTAAGGCTGAAAGTTGTCATGTGCGAATACCGTTCCGGGTGGCAGGGTCCTGTATTAAAAACTATCTAGAAAACTACATAAACCATATCATTTCTCCATGAAATTAATACACAAGGTAGTTAAGATGTTATTCTTTATTTTTGAAAAGTTTAAAGTAATTTTATCAAAAACCAACAAAATTAGAGCAGGGCGTCCAAGACTTTTGGATCACCCCTTGTATATGCATGTGGATTACATACCTAGGGAAGCATTTGTATGGAAATCAATGGCAAAGTTATATCCACCGATAATGCCCTGTTGCCCCGAATAGCCCACTTACCTCATTTTGATATTAGATTTCTTTAATAACCATGACAATATCATGATGTCATGTTTCATTTTGATCAAATTCTTCTCACACACAAATAATAACTGATAGCACACCAAATAATAGTGACAATACCTAATAATACAAACATTCAAGTAGTTTATGTACAAATATTAACGTGTGTGTTTTACTTATTCCAGGCCTCCACAAATGTTTACTTCCTGTCCACTTGGATTCTCCTCCAATACAGAAGAGTCCCCAAGTGTTGGGGCAGGAACTAGCGTAGACTTTGATAAAATCAATACACGCTTCCAAATGATGAAATCACAAATGGGCCCTGATTTAGCACAATAGATACACATTTCTTACAAAGGAACAGTAATGGATTGAGGCCCTAAGTGAAACAACTTTTAATTCTGGAATCAGTGATCAAGCCTACATGTACAGTAATTGGGAACTGATCTCTGTTTCTTGTAAGACCAATGGGAAGTGTGGATAATAACAAATTAACAAATGCCCGGTGATTTAATTGGCAAATTTCGCGATGATCATTTTTCACGATTTAACCACTATCACGTAAAATGTGAAACAAAATCTCGCACAAAATATACTGGGAGTACAGTATATATAACAGAATAATTGTGCCATAACAGAATAATTGTGCCATAACTCATTATTGCTGCAATTTGGTTGTTTTATATAATTAAAATAATGAGAAATAAGGAAGTCAAACATAAGAATTGCAAGAACATGAATGTATTGTAAGATATCATTGACTAATGTATTGTAAGACATCACTGGCTTGTGTATTGTAAGATATCATTGACTTATGTATTGTAAGATATCATTGACTAATGTATTGTAAGACATCATTGACTAATGTATTCTAAGATATCATTGACTAATGTATTGTAAGACATCATTGACTAATGTATTGTAAGACATCATTGACTAATGTATTGTAAGACATCATTGACTAATGTATTCTAAGATATCATTGACTAATGTATTGTAAGACATCATTGACTAATGTATTGTAAGACATCATTGACTAATGTGTTCTAAGATATCATTGACTAATGTATTGTAAGACATCATTGACTAATGTATTGTAAGACATCATTGACTAATGTATTGTAAGACATCATTGACTAATGTATTCTAAGATATCATTGACTATCAGTCATAATACTCAAATCTGATTATCTGATATCAGCTGTTTACAATCACTTCTCTATAGTGAAGCCATGAGGTGAATAGTGTTTACTGTTCACTCATTTGATTTCCCTCTTTGGGATGTCTACCTCTTTTGCAATATTTATAGATTACAATATACCCAGTTGACCTCTGGCTAGGTCAATAATTTTTGTTGTTTATCGATATATGTACGAGTTTGTATTTTTAGTTCAAGCTCATCTTGAATATTATGTCTATTTATTATGTATTTGTAAAATTAATTACCAGAGAATACAAAATAACCGATAAAAAGTGCACACGTAAAAACAAATTCTAACTTGTGTTTAATTTACCTAATATGAACCATGAAGGATTATGTTTCAACAGAGACATCACACAACATTTTAGCTCAACATATCAAAAATCCGTAACACATTCGCCAGATTTATGCCTTACACCCCAGTCACATTTGTCGCACGGCGGCCGCAAGTCGACCGCAGATCAATTAAATCGGTGAATTTCTGGGGCGAGCGTAGAAAAACTACGCTCGCCTTGCGGCCTCCGTACGGCGTATGCAGATTTTTACAGGCCGCAGGGAAGGAGTAGAAATTATAACTCGGAGTTATAATTTTTGTTCATTTCTGAGGTCACCGTAGAAAAACAAGATTGAATCATTATTTGTCAATATTTCACGATCACTTTTCATTTGATATTACATCCTAGCACTATGAATAACATTTATAAGTTGTCCCGATGTAAATAAAATGAAAAAAGTATTATTTATCAACAGAAATTTAAAATTCACCGTGCGGCTGCCGTGGGAAATGTGACTGGAAAAGTATGAGAGCGCAGAAATTCCACGGCGAGCGTAGAAATGTTACTGGCCGCAGAAATGATAGACCGCAAGGTCGCCGTAGGAAATGTGACTGGGGTGTTAGGATGCGGTTGCACATTTTAGCTAGAATCCGTTTAACGAAACTCGATTACAGGAATGACGACTTTCAATGAGGAAAAAATGTTATACAACTTTTGAAATGGAACTGTATGTCTTTGGAGAAAAAGAAAATTGAAATAGACAATTGTGTAAGCTTACATACTCATGTCTCAATGATATGTTTATTTGCGGATATGTCACTGTATTCAACATGGAGTGTTTGTGTTTTATAGCTGATAAAGAGAAAAGTCGTTCAAAAAGTTAGAGTGGTTTGAGCTCCGAGTATACAGATCAGGGTCAATGTCAAAGCAAACTGGCTCTTCCAGGTATTCAGCTGAGCGACATGACCCACTGAGTGGTGTTATGTGAATATATTACCTGGTATACCTTGGGCTGTCAACTTGGAACAAAAAGGGAGATTTATAACAATTGGGAATTTTTGGAATCCGGTGATTAAAATAAATGTTATACTACAAGAGTTGTTTACAAATACGTGCAGTTGTGCGATTCCTAAGTATTAGAAGCAATATATTTTAAACATCATGTAAACCTGCCTAGATACCATATATCAATAAAATTTAATCATTTAATCTATTATAGTCCATGCAAATAGCAGACCGAGTCCAATAGGATGTTGTATGCTAGGCATTTTCAAATTAATTAAACTGCAATTAAGTAATTCAAAACTCAATTTAAACTTTACTTATTGGCACTCTGCGTTACAGTTGAATGCATTATGATTCTTCAATCTAAATAACGTGTGGTACGTGTGATACTTGACTGATCTTCTCTCTGATAACATGTCCTGAATCACAATGTCGAAATCTGTATAAACAAACATTTATATCGAGGCCATTGACATAAGTAGATGATGGTACGATATTTATAGATATGTTTATTTGCCACTTATTACTTTAACGACATTGTCGTTGTTTATCATCTCAAAATACATATTCCATATTATTTTCAATATATCCACATGGAGTCCTGATACATGCAATGAAAATGATTTACAGATATTCTATCTCTCAATGCAACATAAACCGCCAGATTTAAAGAGAGAATCAGATCTAGCGAGCAAGTTTAACAAAAAAAATTCTCAATTTTAGAAGTTTTTTTGGCTTATAGTGTTCCTTGTCCTATCTATTTTCTATAAATCCCCAAAGTGCAAATTATCTTTAGGAGGCTAAAGATTTTTACACTTTTGTATTATTTTTCTATTATTATAGTTACCATTTTATTATTTGGGAACATTGTTGCACTTTGAATCCGTAGTATTACGTTTACCAATTTGTTGAAGGGATTTATTAATATGTCAATTGATCGTGTTGTTTGCAATTTTGTCACCCCTATTATAGATCTGATTCTGCCTTTAATGTTCACCATGATGAAATTAAATAAAAAATGTTTTTGTTAAAAGATGGCAGGACAAGACATGATCCCAGTCAAAAAATAATTTAATACCTAATAATGGTAATCGTACGATACCCATGGCCCTTCAAGCATTTTAAAGGCGTGATTATCTCACGTACTTTACTGAAAGCACTTTAAGTTCATTCCTTCGTTCTTTTAACTTACAATAGACTTGATAGTTTAATAATTAAGATGAACCTTGCCGACGAGGACGGTTCTAAACATGGAACTCTATTTGTCTTTATCAATTGATTTAAATATAAAAATATAGTTGTGACTCAATGCCAAAACCAATAACGTTTTGATTATTAAAATAAAATAAGATTTGAACTGAATTGTATCTATTTCCTAAATCTTAAATTTTCCTAATCTAAAAAGCTTAAAAAAGCGAATTAAAAACATCCATGGTGCATCACTTACATGTACTTGCAATTCAGAGTAAAATGGATTATTTTTAGCCTCCGAGTCAATGACCCTATCGTGAAAATACATTGCCATTTACGTAAGTGAACACGCCTTCTATTGACTTGATTCTGTTCAATTTAACTTCCTTCTTCGAAAAATCAAATCCCACTCTATTGAACACGCACTTTTACACGCGTATGTGTATAACATTTTTAAAAGTACAAAAGCTTTAAATTCTAAAGATTGCCTCATAAATTCATATCAATAAGAACTTTGAAATAAAGAAAATAAGACTACACCGTTTCAAACTCCTTTTTTGTAATGTATGTTCGCCCAATCTTCATTTCTCGCATGGACTCAAATTATTATTTATATTATTCGATTATTGATTTATATGTATTTGATATGATAAGTGTATTTATATGTATTCATTTTACCGTTTTAGCTTCAACTATTGATCAGTTTTGTAAAATGAAGAGTTAATCTTAAAAACCGAAATGAACACTTGCATACACAACCGCAGAGTCAAGGTCGACGGGTTTGATTATGCAGACGAAAAAGTTAACTGAAAAATATATGGGCTTCTTCGGTATGTCCAAAAGTTCATTCAAATGGATTTGTTTTTGTTCGCCCCGTAGACGCCCATCTTAAATCATTTTGGAGACCATAATCACGCTGGTAATCGAACAAAATGAACGGACGTGGAGGGGGATGCAATTTTGCTAAAACATTCGATGAATCTGGAAGATTCATTTTTTAAGGAAAGGTTTTGAATTGCTAAATGGATAGGTGCATGGCACTGGAAAATATGCAAGGTCTTCAAGGATTTTTGAACGGCGATACGCTTCTGAGATATGAGATCTATGAAAAGGCGCAAGCAAAATGTCAAGTTTTTGCTATAAATCATCAAGCAACACTGGCCTTCACGACAAACAATCCAATACATGAGTAAACCTTTCCTAACAAATAAATCTTACAGATTTGATGAATTTTCTTGCAGAAAACCCCTACTCTCCTATACTACCCCTCCCTTCATTTGTCCAATTACCAGGCGTGTTATTAATAGATTTTTCAGTTACTAAATAAATAAAGATAAATGATATCAAGTACTTTTTAGAAGTTTTGAAAATCTAAGTTGATATATTGATTTTGAATCAGTGTTAACAACCTTTTATTTATTTTTCTCTTAAACGGTGTCAATGTATTTATATTTATTTCGAAACAGAATTAATGGTGATCTTAGATTCTAAGAAAGATGTTGGTATTCGCAACGGTGAATCATATATGGCTGGGATCATTTCATTTAATATCACCCATTGAGCAATGCCAGTCAATGGATTGCACGAGTTGACCGATAAGTTGTTACACCACAAAATGCATGTTCACATTGATTCCTGGAAGACTCCCAATGAATACGTAGATTATTTTATTCATCTTAAGGATATTTAGAGTTCATTGATTTTGTATACCTCTATACTTAACTTTCTAAGAAATATGCAATATCTGAATAAATGGTAGGAGGGGCTGATTATAACGGTCATTCGTATTTACGCCTTGTGAGAGTCTATACAGGTGATAATTATGGCATACACGACAAACTGGGTATAAAACACGAGGTTCGATTGGCTGATTGTTACCTGCTTGATGGCAATTACAGTGAATAAAAAGTAGTCCGGTCAAAATAATAGATATGAATTATAATGCAACACTTGTGATTATATAAATATGCTCTTTAATTTTTTCGGCAAATGAATTTAAGGCGTTTGCACAGTGACAACTCATAACGTACAAGAAGAAACGATTTGCAAGACTGTAAGGCTGCAAAGCTCTAAGTCTGAAGCGACAGGGGGAATTGAACAATACGTTTTGAAAAAATCTCACAAATATCGGTCATTGACGACATACAGGGTGTTCGGCAAAGATAGCAACAGGTTTGTTTTTGAATAATTCGTTAAGGGCTTTAAAGTTAGAATCAGAGATAGTTGGAAACTTTTCAAAATTTTCATCAAAATATCGTTTACCTTCTCAAGTAACTCTCAACCAGTATTAATAAGTGAACAAACACATAGTGTAAAGATCTGTATAACGCTTTCCAAAATGAGGAAAAACATATAAAAGATCTGAATTTCCTTAAGGAAAAGTACCAATTTTTGTTATAGTTGCTCTCCATCTCTGTCTCTACCTTTAATTATTTCATTGTTTATTTTTATTTAAAATTGCAATAGATCAACAAAAAAATAAAATTAAACATTTAAAGTTGCTCTCATAACCTAATGTTATTTATCCATAAGGTAGACGTAGTTCACTTTCCATGTCACATGAAATAAGGGAATAAGAACGATGTTTTTGAAATAGTTCTTATCTTCTAACACTATAATTTTTTTTGTATATTGAGCGATCGCGACTAAATATGCCAATCTATTAATACTTGGCACCAAACAAACTAAGTCAGCATTGAATTTTCCTGAATTTTCTGACACCCTGTGTTTATTTAAAAATATTAGTTTTAATGCATACTTCATTGTTCTTAAATGTCAACAATATTCGCTGAAGTTGTTTAAAACATATGATACACTCCCCTCCATAAGTTTGGCAACCTTAGCTCCCCCATTGAACAACGTGTTAAAGCCTCTTTACCTTTGAATTTTTATTTACTTAACCTACGATGAAAATACTTATACTATTAATGGAAACGTAAATTGACTTTATTTCCAAAACCTCCAAATTTTCTCATTTTTTTCCTCAATTGCAATAAGTCGAAAATTGATGATTTTGATGAATTTTTGAATATCGACATTTCCATGTCAACCAATGGGAAATGGTAGGTTTGCCGAAAGTCATATGACAGAATATCCATCCATCTGAGTCCTAGCAAAAAATACGAGTTAGGCAGGCCATTGAATTTGCTAACTTTATTTAACAAAAAATATGTTTCTTCAGGTTCAACAAAGTTATAGGGCTTTAAAGTCAAAATTGTTTTTCAAAAAACCTCTCCCATTGAAATAACACAGGAGGCGAAAAATTATTTTCAAAAATGACTTTGAAGCGCTGTAACTTTAGTATTCATCAAATAAACTAAACACTTAGTGTACATTTCCTATTGGATTACATGGGAATGACTATCTTCAAAAATTCATCAAATTTATCATCAATTTTCGACCTATTGTAATTGAGGAAAATAATTGAGAAAATTTGGAGGTATTGGAAATAAAGTCAAGTTACGTTTCCATCAATATTATTAGTTATTTCATCGCCGGTTAAGTAAATAAAAATTCAAACGTAAAGAGGCTTTAACACGTAGTTCAATGGGAGAGCTAAGGTTGCCAAACTTATGGAGGGGAGTGTAGGTCGCGTTCCCAAGAGTTTAAACAGGCAATTACCAAAGTTCCGTCTAGTGAGGAACCGTTTGGTAATTTTGTCAGCAAGGAACTCATGCATGAAAAACTAATTCACGGTCTTTCAGAGAATCTTTCACAATTAAAAGAATTACGTAATTTCTAGTCGGTACCAACAAGAAACTCAAAACCATGCATAAAACATTCAATATACACTATTCAACATATAAGACAATACTACTTGCAAATATATACCCCCTCTCCTCTTGTTCATTAAGTCGATCTGCGTAAAAATAATATATTTTAGTTTTCATAGGTTATTTGCATTTACATTGTAACTTACTTGACAGATTTGTGATATTGACGTTTGCGACGATGCCTGACGGTGTGCAGGAACATGGTACTAACGGATCTCGTGAGGAGGAAATGGTTGATCCACCTATTATGCAGTTCCACGTTCCAATGAGCGGGAGCGAGGTAAGTTCAAATTCGAAGAGATAATCAGGAATTAATTGCGTGTGTAGATATGAGTCATTGGGCCATTTTTTCAAAAAGTATAAACATGTGAATTTGATGAAAATGTTTCATAGACGTAACTTAGAGCGATTCAGATGTAGCGAGCAAGCTGAACAAAATTGATCTGATTCTGCCTTTAAGGTTTATCTGACCTATTTAAACGGCTTATGTGTTATGTAAGAAAGAGCGAAATGTGTTCATTATAAATATTTGATACGACATACGAATATCAATGTATGTTTGGTCATGTGTACAGGTACAAAATATGTTAGATAAAGTGCGTGTATTTACAGGTCTGTGTATGAAGGCATGGTATTTATTAATTTGATTGGTATCGTTTTTTGATATAGCTAATACAGAGTATGCTAATAAGGCAGCACTCGTTCAGGCACTATGCTTGTATTCCTTATAAACATGTAGAGGAAGGCTCCCGAATCCAGTTTTATCTTCTGGAAAAATTCAATTATTTCAATGACAAGCTGATTTATTTCATGATTTCTACCTTTTAAAGCACAAAACAAAACAAAAGCTTCAACAAATAACAAAGAAGCGTCTGCAACTTTATAATAAATGCTATTAACTAGTGCGTGACTTGACTATTTGATCTGCCGCAGCGCCACTTTCGAGTTACTATGACACAGCCGATACAATACCAAAATGTCAACATATCTCAATCTGATTTTAGAATAGTATGTGAAATAAGATATCAAATGCTTCTTAGCAAAACCTGATTCATTAATTAAAGATTCAGGTTAAGTATTGACCTTTGGAACAAACAAACTGAATAAAATCAAAAACCCATTAGAAAAATATTTCTGAGAAATTCCAATGATATGTCATGACATCCTTGATAGCATTCAAAACCTTCGTTTCATCAGGTGTATGTAAATATTATCCACTTGACATATTACTGTAGTCAAGTGTTTATGAATTATTTCGTAGTTTTGAAAAACAATATTATATGTCTATCGTCAATCAACAAAATTAAATCCCATTCGTCATTCTGTACGTCGACTTTGATTGCTATACTTTTAATATTTATTTCCAAGGTAATTAAACAAATTCGCCGTTACGCATTTATACTGACCATTTATGATATAAAACAGAAATACCAGTTTTTAAAACGAAATGTAGGGAACCGTGTTTCATGGCACATTAAGAAAAAAATCACCTGTCCACAAGGAGCATTAATTCTAGCTAATAAGGACTCAATACAAAACTTAAAATAATCTGTAAAATCCAAAACCCCTACTAAATTTTTGCAATGTCACTAAGTATGATTCACTGATTGTTAAAATGATCAAAATGATTCACTAACATGCTAATTATCAGTAGGTGGAAACCCAAGGCCATAAGAGGTAAGGCCATAAGAAGTAGATTCTTTGTTTTGCGTCCCCTTGCTTGCACAATTTTGAGTAAATCAGAAAAAACAAACACATGCAAATAGCAATCACAAAGCTCTGAAGGTACCATCAAATTTCGTTCAATCAGAATCATAGGAAATGGCGGATAATTTGATGTGCGCCAAAATTGACAGTGTTATTGATTACTTGGCATACATTGTGTATTTTCTTATTTGTTACCCTTGAATAACAGCTATGTTTAAATATATTGTATAAAATGTATAGATATGATTGTGTTTGTGATCACTGCAAATTGGTATGTCATCACTTTTTATGCCCATAAAATGTATTCATTTCTCAGCAAACAAGTTTGTGTTTTTTCTTGAGTTTGTGTTTGTTTTCTTTGTACCCTTGCTTGATTTGGATTTAGCCAGGACGCAAAACAAAGGATCTACTACTTATTGCCTAATCTTTATTACCATAATGAGGAATGTTAAATTAAAAAAATATTCTATATTACTGTATGATCTCCATCGGGAACATGGCCAAATCTAAAATGAGTCGAGATTCTAGATTTTGATCATGATCATGACAGCAAAATAAATCATTCAAAAGGCTCACTCATATGAATTATGGGGTCCCTTTGGAGATCACGCGCTATTAAAAGCTAGCGAGCCTTTACTAATAACAATTCCTCAACGAGTTCATTTTGCTATCAATGACATTACCTTATGTCGGCATGCAAGTTCAGTGGGGCAGATTAAGCCAAGGTCATTCGTAAGGTCTGATAGATGCGGGATACTTTGTTCATTTGTTTGTTTATTTCTTTGTAGTTTTGTTTGGTTGTTTATTTGTTGGATTGGTTCTGAGTTTGTTCATTTGTTTTTTTGTTTGTTTATATACACCATTATATTGTTTTCTTTCAAGACGTCCGACGCAGGGGAAGAGACAGACACCAATGCCGAAAATGCAGTTATCCCACCAGCTGTTACAGAAACAGGGACATGGCCAGGGTACAGAAAGATTGCTATAATTGGCATAGGTAAGAAAAACACCTACTATATTCCCCCTCGAACACACAAATCTTGCAGTAATTCACAGCTTCTCATTGTATGAGCAACATGGGCGGCATCAAAATTGTCGGAGACGCGTTGGGTCGGAATCTTTTGTGATGAAATTCCTGTGAAACTTCAAAAATTGCCGTTTTATCAGAAAACAACTATTTATGTGAGTCCTTAAAAAGCTCAGATTGCACCAAATAACGTCTTGGATGAAAAAATATTTCTCGGGTGATGCTCCCTCGGATCCCGCAAGATAATCAATTGCCGCGCCTCGTATATTTTCTGGAACTACTACCCTTTTTCAATTATGGTCAATACTTTAAAAAAGTTTATCATGAAACCAAAAATACCTCAATCAGTTTTGTTCCACCAGGGACAAAGTCAGGGGTGACAAATCTTATCTTGATATAGCTTCTGATCCATTTCAGTCAAGAAATGTGAAAAATACCTTCCATTCAAATTGGGATGTCCACCAGTACCTCATATTGTTCAAGTTAGTTATTCAGTCATTCATAATTGATGCATTTCAGGGTAAAGTGTAATTGCATGACTAACTATTTCATTTGCATGACTACTTTGCCACTGGCAAATGTTTTAGGGCTCTATGCTTTTGCATGATGTATAAACTTACAAAATTAATGTGATATTTCAATAGATTTAGATTTTAATTAAGACTTTAAAGAGCTTAAATCATTTGAAAACATAAATAAAGTATATTACTGTGTCAGTAAGTTTCAGTACAACAATTGTGTCTTCCTAAAGATACAAAAACATTATTCAAATAGTATGTCGTCAGTAACACGGTAATTATATTACATATTCTTAAGATTCATGAAATCTTCATAAGCCTCTAAATGAATGTATTTTAAAGACCCGCAACAATTTTTTGTATCATTGGAAAGCTCTGATACCGTACCTTTGAAAATTTGAAGATAGATACAACTTCCACTCATGCCATTGCCAAGGAAACGGATGCTTAAATGGCGGCCATCGATTACACATGTTAATAGGCATAAATTATCATAAAGATAAGATCAACTCTCAAATACTGAGTGACACTCTCATGTATGCGTCTGGGTGGATCTGTAATAATACGAGTAAGGTCTTATCAAGTGTATTTACAAGTACTTTAAACCGGGGCACCTTAACCAGTCAATTGCAATTGAACATTTTGACATTGCCCCAAATATCTGCAACCTTTTTAAACGAGGAAATGTCAATTATTATAAATAAGAGAGCATTCGATGTATTGAATTGGTTTAAATAAGAACATGTTTTGCTATTCATCTTAGCTTTATCTAAACAAAGTTGCACTAAAATCTGTTTACCACTCAACTCTTGAATCAGGTTGGCATGATGACATTGTCAATGCAAGTTCAAAAGTATTTCTGAGAAAGACTTTTATCAATGAAAGAAATTTATCAATGGTGCAGAAATATTTTAAAGATGATAAACACTTATTTTTATCTAACATAGGTCAGTGATATTGTATACTTCTGATTGTCTATCATATCTAGAAACGATTTATAGAAAAATTGATAAATTTCGAAAATAATGGTGTATCCTGAATGCTACCACGGCGTAATCCGATGACATAATATTTTTTTAAATGCTATGAAATCTAACATTTCTTATGATTGCATAAATTGAAATGGTTCAAATAACATACTAGTAACTGTTACTTGATCTATTCAATGGAGTTGAAAAATAATATTACATTGTAAAATGTTGTATTTGATAATCAATAAATCCACAACTTTTGCTACTAAAATAGAGGGAAATTCAAATATTTGAAAATTAAAACACCAATTGTTTTGTATTCAAGAGTCGACTTTTAAAAATCCCTAAAACTGTCACCACAAATTATATTTAGGTAGTTGAGCCTTTTGAATAAAAAAGTGACTAACGAAGTTGCTGTATCACAGTTCAGGTAACATTCAGACACTTAATAACTTGATTATGAAAGATAGACACAACGAACAATTGAACAACCTTTATATATTTCGTCAGGGTTGGGGATTTAATTTATTTTTGGGACTAGGGATTAATCTATCCGTATATTTGTTTTACAGCACATGGCGTTCATTCTCTAAAGTTTTTGTTTCTCAGTCAATCTGACTGAAATTTTAACTTAGTATACCTAGATTATTCATACATTTGAATCTCAAGTTATAATGAAAAGCTTCTTGAAGAAAATAGTTATAGTTGCTATAGTCACACGAGTCGGGGGGGGGACGCGGAGCAGGCAAAAGGGATTTGTTTTGTTTGAACGTTCACAATTTTTCATTTTGTCCTGTTTATTTTACTAAAAGTATCTCAAGGGTATAGGTGTACAGAATGGGTTCCGCCATGTGTTTGAGGAATGGGTAATAAACAGCAGAGGTATATACTTATAGACCATGATATACACTATTTTGAACACCTATACGCTTGAGATACTGTAAGTAAAATAAGCAGGGGAAAATAAAGATTGTGAACATTCAAACAAAACAAATCCTTTTTTGCCTGCTCCGCGTCCCCCAGACTCATGTTTTTCTTCAAGGATCTTTTCATTATAACTTGATATTCAAATGTATAAATAGTGTAGGCATACTGAGTGAAAATTTCAGCCAGATTGACTGAGAAACAAAAATTTTAGAGTACTTTTGCAGAAATTAATGAACGCCCTTTATATTATATATTACACACAAGGAAGACGGAGGTCACAATCGAATTTCAATATGATTGACATCTCTGAATTCTGGCCCAATTGAATTAATAATTCATATCCATTTTACTTCAAACTTGTAATGTCTCATTTATAAAAGTTGCTAATTGCTAGATATATATGGCATAAAAACATATCAAGACTCTTAATGTGAAACATGCTATCATGAGTTTACATATTTTTCTCAACGATGATTTCGATTTTAGGTTGTCGAATGCCAGGGGATGTAAACGGTACTGATGCTTTCTGGGACGTCATTTCGAAAGGGAAAGACACAATAACTGACATCCCTCCAGACCGCTGGTCGACCGATGCCTTCTACAGTCCAGACCAGTCTAAGTCAGGTACCCACGTGACAAAAAGATGTGGATTCATTAAAGGTATAGATCACTTTGATCACACATTTTTTAAAATTTCTCCTCGTGAAGCCGCTATGATGGATCCACAACAGCGTCATACTTTAGAAGTGACCCAGGAAGCATTTGATGATGCTGGGATTGATCCAACAACTCTAGACAAACGATGTGGAGTCTACCTGGGAATAGGAATGATGGACTATCCTACCATGATCGTTAATGATAAAAATCTCATAAACGCCTACACTCATACTGGCGTTGCGCACAGTGTGGCGGCAAATCGTATTTCATATGCATTTAACCTGAAAGGGCCAAGCTTTGCTGTTGATACTGCCTGCGCAGCTTCAATGACAGCCCTCCATCTTGCATGCAGCGGTCTTTGGAACAAAGAATGTGAAGTTGCAGTTGTGGGGGGAAGTAATGTCCTACTAACTCCTGAAATAACAGTTGGATTCAGTCAACTTGGAGTCCTTTCCCCAGATGGAAAAAGCTGCCCATTTGATGCCGATGCCAAAGGTTATGTCAGAAGTGAAGGATTCGGAACGTTGATTCTCAAACCACTAGATGATGCTATTGCGGATGGAGATCATATCTACTGCTCAATTCTTGGAACAGCAATAGGGGATAATGGACAGAATCAAAGCATAACAATGCCATCTACCACAGAGCAGCTTCAGATGATTAACACAACATACTCAAGGTACAACATTCCTATGGAAAATGTTTCCTACGTAGAGGCACATGGCACTGGAACCCCCGTCGGTGATCCCTTGGAGGCCAATGCAATAGGCAACGCCTTCAGACCACACAGACTGACCAGTGACAGACCTCTGCCAATAGGTTCCTGTAAGAGTAACTTTGGGCATATGGAATGTACAGCAGGTGCAGTAAGTACCATTAAAGGCGCCCTCATGTTGCATAATAGAATTCTTTGCCCATCTACCAACTTCGAAAAGATAAACCCAGCAATAGACTTGGACAGTCTAGGTATCAAAATACAGCAGGAAGTAGAACCTCTGACTAGGAACAGGAAACATATCATGGGTATCAACAGTTTCGGCTTTGGTGGTGCATTAGCTCATGCAATCATTGAAGAATATACAGCCGAGGATACACCATGTGGATCGGCTGGATGGCGATTCGGAGAAGATGACACAGAAGGACTGTCGATTGCAATACCCCTTTCAGCAAAGAACGATGCTGGGTTAATTGACCTAGCCAAAGAATGGTTGAAATTTAAATCAGAAAAAGATGCACAGGTCATCGTGTCGTGGCTGGCCACTCGCCGACCTCATTATGAGAGCCGAGTAATCCTGATAGCCAATTCTGGAAAAGATTTTCGTGACAAACTGCAATGTTTCATAGATGGAAGACCACAAAGTTCAATCTCAGGAAAAGCAACTACAGGTGAAGGTGGAAACAAAAGGGTATGCTTCGTCTATCCAGGGCAAGGCCAACAGTGGGCAAAAATGGGCGTCCCTTTATACAAGAAAGAGAAGGTCTACCGCGATTGTATCAACCTATGTGATATGATATTCAAGAAACTGAGTGGCTGGTCTCTTCTCGAAAAGCATGGTGTCTTTACAGATCAACCAAAAGGAGGTCGCTATCTCTATCAAGTCATCAACGACACAGATGTTTCTCCCCCTGCTATTGTATTCCACCAGATTGCCCTGACGAAGTTATGGCTGTCGTGGGGTGTCTATCCACAAGCAGTTGTGGGACATAGCTTGGGTGAAGTAGCGGCAGCATTTGCATGTGGTGGTATAACCCTAGAGGAAGCAATTGCTATAGCTCTGTACAGAAGTGAGGAACAGGCGAAGCTGAGTGGAAATGGGGGCATGGCTGCAACTAGAATATCTGAAGTGGAGGCTAGAGCATTTTGTGAGAAACATGACGATATATATGTCGCCTGTGTCAACTCTCCATCTTCAACAACTATAGCAGGAAACCTGCTTACAATTGAAAAACTTTCGAAAGAAAATCCTACTACTTGGAAGCAACTTCGAGTCAATTGTGCCTACCATACCCAATATATGGAACCAGTTCAAGAAGGTTTCACCAAACGACTGAGCAAAAAACTACGAAATAAGGTGAAACCAAAGATCCCAATGTTTTCTACTGTGACTGGTGACAAAAAAACAGGCGGATTTGATATTAAGTACTGGTGGGATACCATCAGGAAACCAGTTTTATTCCGACCTGCAGTTGAAAAACTGTTAAATGAGAAATTTGATGTCTTTGTCGAGTGTGGAGCATCTGCCACCCTCTTGACATCAGTCAAAAATTCAGCACAGTCTTTACACATGCCATACCCAATCTGTATCACATCTGGACAGCGAGAACAGGACAATTTAAACAGTATGTTAACTGCAGTTGGCATGCTCCATGTGAACGGTGTGGAACTAGAATGGGGGAACATAACTGGCAACTGTCAACAATGGGCTCCATTGCCACGCTACCCCTGGCAACATCAAACACATTGGGCTGAAGCGGAAACCAGTAGACTGCGACGATTGGGCCTCGTTCAAAGTAATTTCAAAAACAGCAATGGGAAAATATCGCTGAAGGAATTCCCATTTCTAACTGATCACAAGGTCTTGGGCAATGTTACCTTTCCCGGTGCAGGGTACATTGAATACATCACACAGGCATGTATCGTGGACGATGAACATGTATCATTCTCTGATATAAAATTCAAGAACGTGCTTGTTTTTGGTGAACAGAACAAAGAAAAAGATGTCCACTTAGAACTATCCAGGAAAGGTGATCGGGTATCAATTTCCACCGGCAACACAGTCCACATGGAAGCTATCATTAATACGACTAAATCAGAGGCGGGTTCTCCTTGTCAGTTTAAGTTTGAAGAGACAGAGTCTAGTTTGGCTGGTTCTCTAGAAGTTGGCAAAGGAGACATATATGCTAACTTCGAACGTGTTAAGCTTGAGTATGGACCTGCCTTTCAAACACTACAGAAGGTAACATTATATGATGGTAAAGCGGTAGGAGTGATTCAAGGGGAGCGATACCACGAGGAACGAATCTGCAGCAACATTCTTGATGGATGTTTTCAACTTGCTCTGGTTGCGAGTCAAACTAATTCATCTGCTTACATACCTGTTAGCATTGGCTCACTAGAACTATTCTGTCCTAAGGTCACATCGGGCTCCCCACTCCAAGCTTATGCCAAAGTAACAGATGTAAACTCATTCACACTGACTGCAAATATCAGTGTATTCTCAGAGAATGTAGAAGTTATCAGAGTCACAGAAATGGTAGCCCAGAATATGGATGGAGCAACACCTGCTGTAGACATCAATGAATGTGTCTACACCACATCCTGGCAACCAATAGCTGCAGACCTGGGGACAACTTATATTGCAAACGATATATTCAATCCCAAGAACCTCAAGGAAAAGTATTCTGAAGAAATGAATCACATTGAATCCCTTGATCCCTACATGAGAACAATCAGAGGAATTTGTGCAAGCTTTGCAAGAAGAGCATTGGAGTCGGTCCCTGAACGTGAATACCATGAGCGAAATGGGCTGTATGTAGCAAGGCTGAAACAGATTATCAAAGAAGATGACGTGTGTTTGCCTATTGACGAGGTTGGAAACAAGATGCGGGATATTGAAAACGCCTGCCCAGCCTTCAAGACTGAAATCAAACTATTTGGAACGCTGGGAGAAATGCTACCAGAAACTCTTCGAAATCCAAACAAAGCTGTTGAAGTGTTGTTTGGAAAAGAGTTTCTTCCAAAGTATTTCATTGATTCGCTTACCACTAGATTGTACTACCAAACAGGCTCAGAGATAGTTAGTAAGGCAGTTGATCAGGCATTAGAGTCGAAGAAGATTGTACGAGTCTTAGAAGTTGGTGGTCGCATGGGTGGACTGGCTCAGTATCTTCTTAAACCACTCCAGAGTTTAATCAACGATGGGAAAGTTGAATATACATTCACCGACCTGTACTCAGTGTTCTTTCCACATGCTCAACAGACATTAGGCGAGTTCTCAGGAGTTCAATACAAAGAACTCGACATTGAACAGAGTGTTGCAACTCAAGGATTTGTCCCTCATACCTATGACATCGTCGTATGTATGGACACTCTTCACTCAGCAGTGGATTTGGAAAATGGATTATCCAATATGAAAGACCTCTTGTGTCCAGGGGGTTGGCTGGTGATGTATGAAGCAACTAATTCAGCTAACATTGCAGAAATCACATTTGGATGTCTTGAACTTTGCTGGGTGTTTGATGACTTCCGAAAAAATACGTGCTGGCTTGACAAGATGGGTTGGGAGAACCTACTGGAAAACAATGGATTCAAAGATGTGGTGGGTGTATCTACACCGAACGAGTTTTTCCATTCTATCATTATCGGGGTGAAGACAGATGATAAAGACATTCCTGCATCCAGCAATACGGTGGTACATTCAGAACAACATTTAGACAGTGAGGGATGGAGAGATCTTCAATGTGAAATAACCTCCAACAGAGCAGCCCTATACAGTCACGTAGACAGTTCATGTCATTCAATTGATGTGATTCACCTTTGGGAGAACACGAGTACCCTTGAGGACCTTGTAGATATAGTAAAACACATGTCTAACAGTCCAAACTGCAAGAGCCTCTCAGTTGTAGTAGAGGAAGATAGCATTAGTGGATCCATTCCAACTGGTTTCCTGAGAGTTGCTGTGAATGAAATAAAACACCTTCCAATGTATACATTCAGAGTAAAAGGACTTAAAAGAAAAGATGCAATGTCTCGGGTTATTGACATCATCCGAGATGGAAGTATTCCTGACTCAGAGATTATGATTGAAAATTGTAAAATAAGTGTCCCACGAGTTATGAAGTCAGGTATGCCAACCCAGGGTACGGTGGAATCATTAAGATGGTGTATTGACTTTGATGGTTCTCAAGCAATTGACAACTTATCATACAGATCGTTGCCACAAAAACCACTGTCAATGGGAGATATACGGATAAAGGTATCTGCAGCTGGGGTCAATTTTAAGGATGTCATGATGGCGACTGGTAATCTTAAAGATCTCAACATTGCCCCTCAGTTTGGTATTGAGTGTTCGGGTGTTATCACAGAATCACATCCATCGGTCGGAAACGTCAAAGTTGGTGATAGAGTCGTAGCATTTGCAAATAACTGTTTTGCATCTGAAGTAGTATGTGACAGCAGACTTGTAGCCAAGGTACCAAAAGCGATAGACATAGATGTTGCAGCAGGAATGGGGATCGTGTTCTCAACAGCTTACCATGCCCTTGTTGAGCGTGCAAATATCCAAGAAGGGGAGACTATTCTAATTCATTCTGCATGTGGAGGTGTTGGTCAAGCTGCCATACAGATAGCATCCCTGTATGGAGCGAAAATTATCTGCTCTGCTGGTACAGATAATAAGCGTAACTTTCTGAAGGAACACTATGGAATTGAACATGTGACTAATTCGCATTCTCTCAAATTTGTTGATGACATTATGAAGTGGACCGCCAACAGGGGAGTTGACGTTGTACTGAACTCACTGAGTGGAGAGTATATCAAGAAAGGAATGGATGTTCTTGCACATGGTGGACGTTTCTGTGAGATCGGAAAGCGAGATATCCTTGAGAATTCAGAATTAGAGCTGAACACATTCCTTCGAAATAAATCATTCCTTTCTGTCCAGCTTGATGTCTTGATGGTTAACAAGCCAGAGAAAATGACAAAACTGCTCGAGAAAGTTATGACACTCTTGGATAATGGAGACATAAAACCAGTACAAACAGAGACCAGAAATATATCCCAGTACAAGGAAACACTAAGATGGATGATGACAGGGCAACACATTGGTAAAGTGGCGTTAAAGATACCCGTGGACTATGCTCCCACTAATGTTCTACCGCCTACAGACATGTTTACTGATGACGGCTGTTACATGGTGACAGGGGGCCTTGGTGGTGTAGGTCTAGCTGTTGCTCGGTGGTTGGGCAACAAGGGAGCGAAATACATCGGCTTGTTATCAAGGCATAAAGCGTCAACATTCCAACAGCGATGCACGATACAGCACCTTGAGAATATCGGGTGCAAAGTAATTCGACTACAAGCCGATGCGGGAGATAAAACTGCACTATCAATTGCCATTGGTAGCCTTGAAGAAGCATCGAACAAACCTTTAAAAGGTATATTTCATCTGGCTGGAATCATAGATGATTCGAACATTCAGAAACTCACGAATGATCAAATTAGACGGACACTGAACTCCAAAGTTGATGGTGCAAGAAACCTACACGAACTTACTCAAAACAAAACATTGGATCATTTCGTAATGTTCTCGTCAATATGCACAGTAATAGGGAATATGGAACAAGGTTCATACTGTGCCGCCAATGCCTACCTGGACAAGCTAGCTGAGCACAGGCGGTCGGTTGGTTTACCTTCATTGTCAGTTCAATTTGGGGCTATACGAGGAGCTGGATTCCTCGAGAGGAATTCCAAGGTGACGAGCATTATGGAGACCAGGGGTCTGTTGTCGCTTCACATCAACGAGTGTATCACCTTTCTGGAGAAAGCTATGAGGTGTCCCACTACTCCTGCAGCCATAGGATTTTCGAACTTGGTAAGCAATACTTCATCGCAAATCAATTATATTATTGAAGACATGACGTTGCAATGACATATTTTCAAACAATATTCGACTGATCTTATGGTATTAGTAGCTGATCTTATGGACGATAGATGATTTAAACAAAAATTTGATATGGCAATGAAGTCGAGGGTTCTTAATCTTATCCTATAGTTCCTACCGATGTAAAAATTTAAAATATACGCATATTTAATGTAGAAAAGATAATATGGTTGTAATGATGATAATTTTGATAATACTAATCTTTCCACGGTCTGCATTTATGATAAATTAAGATTCATCTTTACCAGTACTCTATAATATCCTGAGATACTGTTGTATTGTATCTATACAATTTATAAGCATCAACAAGCCTGAACTTATGATGTTTTCCCTCACATTTCAGGACTGGAATCTTGTACAGGGGATGAGCCACCCTCGCCATATGCAATTTCGTCACCTCCAAAAGGTCCAAAATCAAGGAAAATGTAAGTTCTAAATATATTTATGTTTAATAGTGTAGTGGTAACGAATACGACCCATTTTTAGAAAATTCGAACATTGTTTTTCTCGTGTACCACCGTTTGTCGAATTTATGATGATAATTGTTTTCTCCCATTCGCTACGTTTCTGATGCTGTTTCTTTACTCCCTCGTCTTATATTTACTATGATATTTGTTTCCAGTGAAATGCCAGAGTAGCAGAGAGGAACTTCAAGAAAAACTTCTTACCAAGCTATCGGAGATCTTATGCACACCTGTAGAAACAATAGACATTAATAAACCCATGACGGACTACGGTATAGACTCTCTCATGGCAGTAGAAATGGTCCAATGGATCAACAAAGAGTTGGGACTAAATATGTCTCAGCTGGACATACTCGGGGGAATATCAACTGGATTGTTATTAGACAAAGCCCTCGATGGGAAAGTTGGATTATCTGGCTAAGGTTAACGTTCACACTCAATTGCTAAGCTGAACATTTACTTGACAAAATAACATTGCTTAAATATTAAATTATTGAATATTATAGCTAACGCATTAGTGTATGGATGATTATTATGATTGTTAGATAAACCTAATCAACTACATGTTTTGTACCCTAATACGAAGCCCTGGAGGAAGTAGTCGTTTATATATATTCTCTAAAGGATCAACATTCTGGTTCACCAGTCTCCTCTTACCTTTCCACTTCAAGACAAAGGGGCGCGATCTTTACACTCGTTCCAGTTGACTAGGTTTATTTTTTGTATATTTCTATGTTAATATTTTAACGTATATATATTTATTTGTTATTGTTAATATTTTATTCAAGACATTTTTGTATGTATATTTTAATATTATATTCAGATGACAATTTTTTAACATATTTACATCAATATCATGATAGTAACTTGAGAATACTTTGAACATCAACTTGTTACAATATTTCAATAGCTGCGGACACGTTTTATATTTGTAGTCAAACTCGATTACCATACTAGTATAACTAGTTCAATTAACTATACTCAAGTAGTAGATATTACATCGTGGTTAGCAATCTCTGTCTTTCTGGACAGGTCATCACCTGCAGTGCAATAGATATGATAGAGAAATGCTATGAGCATCAGAATGTACAAAATGTAGTCTATACTTTATTCTTTCTGAAAAAGTAAAAGTTAATATATTTTAAAATTATAAAATGGTTAAACTGTAATGTCAATGTTTTAAAAGTGTAAACTTATTGTCCTCAAGTGACTACTTTTCCTAAATGGAATTGGGTTCTTTTATAAGCAAGTTGAGAAGTACTGGAGTACCATTATATTAATTACATATTCAATTTCTTTCGAATGTAAGTAACTTCCTGTCGTATCATTACTTGTATGCCAGTGTTTTCTCATGTCTCTGTTTAAATGCACAAATATATGAACTAAGCTTGTATTCGCGAATGTAACTAACGGCCAGCGGTTACCGGATTAACCTACTATTTTATGACCAAAACATTTAAATGTGAGTGGAATAGTGGCAGGGACTATTCATATCTAAATGGGGTTGTGATAGAATAGTAGGTTAATTCGGTAGCCGACAGTCGTTAACTGCATTTTCGAATACAAGCTAAAACTATAATGTATCCACCATTGTGTATCATACTGAATCCTTATACGTAATACAAATGTCAAAGTATATATTACCTAAGAAGTCTAACAACAAGCCCTTGCACACAAATGTGAGAAGGTGTTCAGTCAAGTAGAGGGGGCCACAGAGGCTTGTAGCTAGACTTATAATACTTAGACTGATAATACACATAATTATTCAAGTAACATATGATTCAGTTTTCATTTATTCATATCAAGTTTCAATAATTACCGGTTGTGATATGTTTCATTTAAAATCTATTTATATAAGTATTTAATAAAAAAACATGTGTCTAAATTATTATTTTGTTCGATATTTTGCTGGTGATTTTAGTGTTACCGGGAGAAATTAGAAGGAATCACATATATGGTTGTGTAAATGCTGTCTTCAATTCAAACGCATCACAATGATCCCTTTCAAATTCTAGTGTTATTCTCTGAAAACAGAATTGAGATATCTTATAAGATATAAAAATCATGGAAGATTCCAAAATCAGAAATGACCGAATTTTTGTTTGATAATCTCAAAGATAAAAGAATTGTCTTTCAAGGCATGCTAAAGAGACTTCTCCGTGGCATTTTTCTTTGTTCCTTTTTATTTTGAATTCTTAATACCATAACATTAACTGACTGCTCAATATGCAACTTTTAACCACTTTGAATTTTATATGATCATTTGAGTTGTCACGTCAATAACATATGGAAATAAAAATGATAAGATGTCAAAAGAGTAGTTTATCTTATTTGTAAAAAATAAAAAGAGCACAAATGTATACAACATGTCCCCACCAATGGGTCATCCTATATACTGCAAATTTTTCATCCTGAATGCCTAACACCAATCAGTTGAAAAGACAAGTTTTTAAGAGAAAAATCCGTTCTAGATTTTCATACTAAGAACCAGCCCTGAAAATTTGAAATTGATCCGTCAAACAGTTAACCAGAAAACGCGTAGACAAGACTTTACAGACAAGATTTTAGGGCGGAAAATCCAGAATGACCGCTTTGACATTTACCCAGAATGCCAAAAAACGGTTCACTTCGAGATTTTCATACTAAGAATCATCCCTGAAAATTTGAAATTGATCTACCAAACGGTTCACCTGAAAACGCGTAGACAAGACTTTATAGACAAGGTTTTAGGACGGAAATTCCAAATTGTCTCAATATTTTGCACCGGTATAACCATGCGCAGTAGAATAAATCACAGGGTTACCCTAAATTGTAGAAACATGAATATGTTTCTTATAATTAATTAATTCATATATCCCAAGGATTTCACCCGTTCCCTTTCTGACCAAACCTTGTTTTATCTTTGATTTTTTACAATAAAATAAACTACTCTTTTTGACATCTTATCATTTTTATTTCCTTACTTTATTGACGTGAGAACTCAAATGATCAATGGGAAAACAATGCTAAACTTGCACAATGAAATAGGTATTCTAGCAGGCCTAGGAAAATATGGCTAGAAAAAGATGCTACACCTAAGGGCTACAGGTGGACAAACTATTCCCCTTGAAAAGTATTTTAAGGGTGAGATCACGGAATTCATGATTGCATTGAAAAGCTTTGAATGCTAATTTTCAAGAATGGATGTATTACCAGAGAAGAAAATATGAAGAATTCATATAGTTTATTTCGAGTGATTATTTAGTGTCAAGTTTTGTCTCTAGTGACAGCATGTTACTGAATATCTCATCAAGTGACTTAAACTACAACAGCTAAAATAAGCATACCGAAATATTATAATTCAGTATGATTCGGAGAAGGGGATTACAGTTATAAGGGGTTAGCAATTTATTTATTATCTCAATTCTTGAATTTGAAGATCTTCTGCTATATTGTTTAATATGTATTATAATAGATCAATTTGATGGTAAGAACTAGATATAGTATGTGATATGATCGATTTTACCTTTTTGTCGTCATTGCTGAGGAATACAATAATACCATTCCAATTAATGATAACTCACTTATTGTATTACTTGTGCTTGATACACATGCTGGAAGAAATGCTTTTAGAATTAGTAAACCATTACCAAAACTATGGTTACCCTGTAGTAGTGAAAGGCACATTAAAAATGAATATCATCCCCTTCAATCTATTTGTACAGGTTTTTCTGATTATTTCACATTTTTCTATATTTTGCGTAACAAGGACGGTGAATTTTCTTCATTTTTCGTCAAACATTTCGTCTTACCAATATTTATTATATCTGTCAATTTCAAGAAAATCGCGCCGCTACGTTTGAAAATAATTCAAATTATGTCGTTTTTCCCATTGAGCTCCATTATAAAAATGGAATTTTCAAACTTAATATTTTAAAATTCTACGTGGTGAAAAGTTGCATATTGAGTAGTTAGTTAATGTTATGGTGTAAAAAATTCAAGAAAAAATGCCATGGAGAAGTCTCATTAACATCTCTTTAAACGAATCTGTCAGAACAGTTGGATCTTTTAAATAAAAGGCGGGTCATGATTAGAGCAAAAAAATATATTGGAAAATAGTAACTACTCCTTAACTATCCCTTCGAGGTTCATTTAGATTTGTGGTCAAGATCTTGTTTAAAGGTCATGCAAGATCACATAAAATATGATTTTTAGGAATATTTCAAGCAAAATTGTCCATTGAGGTCCGTCCTATGTATGGATTTACTTCCCCTCAAAAGATGCAATGCTGATTAATATTCAAGAAACCCACCCCTTCATCTGAAGCTGTCCTTCCGATCTTATTATTGAATAATTTTCAAAAGTCTTAATCTGCTTGCTTAAAACCACACATTGAAATGAAATAAGTAATCTCTTGATGTGCCAAGTAATATGACAATTTGCCCATTAAAACAGAATAATTTATGAAGAATAGAGGACTTTGACTTAATTGAAACAATAAGGATCAAGTTATTGTAAAAAACATCAATATAAACAATAGATCATTTTTACAATAGTATTTCATAGATCTGCAGTCGATACAGATGCCAACAGCTCGAATTGATGAATTGAATTCAATTTCTACCCATACTGGCACAATCATTGGTTTTCCGATTGGTGACTTAGATGATGAATATTCAAGTTTAAGGGGGCTTTCCAATACCCTGCCATGTTATTCACCCCAAAAGCGTTGTTCGCCAATACACGTTAACGCACACAGTGTTTTGATGAGATTTCTGATTCCTGTTTGGTCTATATTTTTCTATATCAATTTACTTATTTGCATTTTTATTTGATGTATAGTTCAAGTTTATCATGAACCTTCGTTGTAGGACTTCAAGCTTCAAGGCTTCTTGTAGTAATAATTAACAAAAAAACAAACATATTATTTTGTTGTCCTAAGTAAAGTTACACGTTACCTTTACATTCGTTTGACTTCACTTCTTAAAAGAGAGCTTCGTCTTCTAGTAGTTTGGCTAGACTCTGCGCGCAGGGTAGTTACACGTTTGTATTATAAGGAAGTGCCAGTTATACTTGTAAATACTAAAGTACTAAATAAACACCATGAACAACATTAGGGCATCAATCACTTTCGAAGTGTGCTGTGTGCTGTGTAAAAGAAAAGCCGACAGCTTCTGATGCGAGTAGGTGTAGTTATCAGTTTCACCACCAGGTGACTCGTTCGAGTCAGATAGCATGGCGAGTATAGCATAAATGTTCCCTTTAAATTAAATATTAATCTGTTTTATTGGTTTAATTTTCATATCACCCTTATTTACGTTATGGGAATTTTAAATAATGTTCAGTAAAAGAAAAGTATCTCCAATTCAAGAAAAGATATTTCACTATCGAACTTTTCCAAATAAACATGGCGTCATTTACATTCGGGTTCTTGTCTGGTCAAATTTCAAAATCAACCCGGATGAAGATCAAACTGACACAGTGCAAAACTGAAAGAAATCTGCAATTCCAGTTTTCTTGCAAAAGTAAGGATATAATCATATTTCTATATGGGGCGTAGTCAAAGATCGTTTGAAATAATCGTGAAATTATAACCCTTGCTAGACTTCGAGCACTCTCACATGCAATCCGCAGTCTTTATGCACTTTACTTCCTATTTTGTAAATTGATATCCATTATATTCAAAGTCAATGCCCTTTAGGCCATAAGCATCAAGTGAATTGCCTGTCGATGGGTAACTGACTCCGAGTACTCATAAAATGTCCCGTAACAACTCATACACGTACCTATTCGTCTCAAGGAGTGTTTCCCCGAATTGTTAGGTCATTGACATACTAACGTATAGACTCTTACACCATTTCTAAATACTTTTCGCCACCTCAAAATTTACCACTAGTGTTATAAATCAAAAATGATATCTAAAACTCCAAGGAGTATTTTTGTGACGACGCCATTGGAAGAACCCACGTTTTCGGCCAAAAAAACAACAAAGTAAACAAAGGTTTCACATTTGTTTTGAATGAAACAGAAAGATGCTATGAGTACCATTGTATGGTAATTACGGAATTGAAAATCCACAGCTCTTACTAAATCACCAAAGCATATGAGGATCTGATAGATAAGAATTGTAATGTAGATATAAGAGATAAAGTCCACGCTATCTACTCATCCCTATTGCCTTCCTAAATTCATTTTTATGACAGGCTGATCTGAAAGAGAAGGTGAATGGTTGATCATGAACCCGGGAGATAAATTATTTCTGACCAATCATTCGATTTCTGACCACAATCGCCTTTGATGGGCTTTAAAATGCATTTTCACGTGTATGTTTTAAGAAAAATACGATTTATATCTAAATATATAGATAGAGATATACGACTACTCTGTTCTATTAAAGTTAGAAGAAACTCGGGCAAAGCCCAAAATGTGTCAACATTACGCCCAAGGCGTCCGCCTGTGGGTATGACCATCCCTGGAAGATAATCACCATCTCGGTTGAACACATCGAACGCGGAAGTTAAATATTAACCATTTACTGGGTATCGAGGAGTCGTCAGTAATTTATCTCCTGTGTTCCTAGAACTGGACACAGTACCTGAGTTGTTTACAAATTCAAGCCAGGCAAGGCACGTGGCTTTGACCAAATAACCACCATTTTCTTCGAATTGTATGTCATTCCACCTGATTAAAAAGAGTTCCTTGTCAGACAAAATACAATTGGCTTAGACTATTTGCTCATGAGAAAATTAAACGTGATTGTTTTCACGATACCGAGCGATTCCTTTAAGATAAAACGGAACGAAAAACGGAAAATAATTGTGTTGAGCAAAAAGACTTAATATTAGGCGTTTTATAAATATCGTAGCAAGCAAATGTAAGTAGCCTTTTAAATATCAACACTATTCTTTTATCATAAATGTAGATACACAGTGTACTAATATGCTGTCAACCACACCATTCTCCGTTCTCGGCGTTTGTGCCTCTTCAAAGTAGTATTCTAAAATATTGGCTGAGGGTGACAGTATGTTACAATGCAAGCAGCGACGTTACGATCAAAAACATTAAAGATAAATGTAATCAAACTTCGATGTAAAACGGCCCGTTACAATAAACAATATATACCGGGTATTCAGTTCTAAGGTAGAATACACTGACATCGCCTCTTTAAAGATGAAATTATTTTTTATACCATTGTATTTACATTTCAGACGAAATGACCGGTAAGAGTGTTTGCATCATTGGGGCAGGCGTTAGTGGGCTAGTTGCTATCAAAGCATGTTTGGAGGAGAAACTACAGGTCACGTGTTATGAGCAACATGACAAACTAGGCAAGTGACACTTGATGTTTTATGACATTGTTTATTAAAAACCAGCACATAATATGAATAATATTTTTGAAGATTTAATTTCGTGAAATTTTTTAATGCGATCCTATTATATGTTTCACAAGAGTTGTCTAATATAAAGTAGAATGCATCAAGCCTCTTGTTCCTCGTATATTAAAGAGCGGGGGGGGGTCTTGAAAGGGAGGTACACAACTGCTCGGTGCAAGTGAGAGGGGGTGCGTAAACGATCTTTTAATGTTGCGCCGGGTAAGTAATGTTACTGATCATTGTTGCTTGGTTGTATTGATTGATTGATTGAATATGTATTGATTGTTGGTTGCTGGTGCTTCATTTTTACCAATTAATCAACATCTTGATTAATAGGTGGCGTTTGGTACTACACCGAGGAAGTGAGACCGAACCAAGGTCCAAGTGCGTATGCCACATTGGTGACCAATTCGAGCAAGGATATGATGGCGTTCAGTGATTATCCCATGCCCCCACAATATCCCCCGTATCTTCCATGGGAGAAATTTACAGAAGTGAGTTTCATATTATAAAATGCTTTGGTCTCAAAAGGGCGGCCATAAAATTTACCCGGGAAAATCTATTCGTATGCGGCCTATTATTGCGGTCAATATATATTTGTAATTATATAAACATCGTTTTGTTTACCATGGTAATACGATAGAACAACATCCTCTTTTCAGTACTTACAAAACTATGCAGATCACTTTAACCTTGCAAAACACATAACATTTAACACGAAAGTCGTAAGTGTCGATCCAGTGGAAGACAAGGAAGGACGATGGAAAGTATGTGTATCAAATGGGGACAGCAAATCGGAGTTCGAAACCAAATTCTTCGATCATGTCATAGTCTGTGCTGGTTTCTTCAAAAACCCGGTAATTCCCGAAATCCCGGGACTGCAAAACTTCAAGGGCAAAGTAATGCACACACATTCTTACCGATCGCCCGAGGTCTTTAAAGATAAAACAGTCCTCGTTATTGGGAATGCAAATTCTGCATCAGATGCGGCTACCGATGCTGCGACATACGCTAAAAAGGTACGGGAATATTTCATTGGATTGTTTGTTACATGCTTTTTCACATTATATGATTAAATACCCTCTAGTAATTTGTGAACACTCATTTCATATACAAAAGATTTCATTCCATGTGGTTTCAATTAAATGTACTGCCATAAATCCCCATCAGTATAATTTTAATACGGGTTGGTCATGTTGTTATACAGGCTTATGTGAGCATTGGTGATGGAACATGGGTTCTGTCGAGATCAGCTCAGCAAGGACTTCCGCGAGATTTCATGCTTCGACGAGTCCTCATGAATTTCGCCCCACAAAGTGTGGTCAGTCGCATCCTCATGAAAGACTGTAATACTCGCTTCAATCATGAAGCGTTCGGTCTCCAATCCACACAGCGTCCAATGTATGGTTCAGCTGTCATGGTCAACGATGAAATCTCATATAAGATCATCTCTGGGAAGCTTCAAGTTAAAGCAACCGTAGTGGAGTTCACAGAACACGGAGTGAAATTGGAGGATGGATCAACGCTTGATGGAATTGACATGGTCTGCTTCGCCACCGGGTTTAAGGTCGATTTCTCCTTCATGAACGAACAGATATTGAAAGGTTAGGACAAAGACCCTGAATTGTTTTGCTTTTGTTATATACTAAACTATTATCTGTTTAAAATATCACGGGTTTAGGTGCTTCCATTCATTTCATTTCCACCTTGTGATTCTATGAATTGTCTTCAAGCGTTATATTAATGTTACCATGTCGACACAATGTTTTAACAATATTTAACATGCCAAACTTTTGTAACTACCTATTTACCAACTCAAACTTACAGTAATCGTTATCAATATAGTGATTTTTACAATTTCTTAACATTCTAAGCACATTTTTAGATTAACGAATGGGTAATCACCAATAAGGTTATATCTGAATTTCAGTTACAAATAAGGAAATTAACCTGTACAAGATGGTCTGGCCCATTGAGCAACGAGTTCCCAGTATTGCCGTGGTTGGCTGCTTCTCCACTGTCGGGGCTCATACCCCCATCATGGAGCTACAGTCATACTGGGCCGCGCGAGTCTTCAGTGGCAAATGCAAGCTACCACCTAAAACAGATATGAAAAAGTGGATCGATGAAACGATTGAGACACAAATAAAGAATTATGGCAAACTCAAAATAAAGGTATTGGGATATTTTACGTTGATCATCTGTATGAATAATAAATAATGCAATGAGATGTACAGTACTAGATTGATTTCTATCAATTGTCTTTCATAAAGTTTCACCCTATTTGCTTATCAATATTACAATAAGATATTACATTGGAAATTATGGGAACTAGATTAGATTAGACTCTATAGTGTGGTTGGATGCCTTAAAAATAGAATATGATGGAAAATTAAAATTGTGTGACTCCTATGATATCGTGTATATTGCATATGTTAATGTAACTGCTTTCAAATGCTTTTTCAATGAATAAAAAAGGAATAAAAAAAGTTTCAGTTAAATTTTTGCTTTTCAGTTACATCAACTCCCCTATCGAGACTCCATTGCCGAGGAAATAGGAGCTCTTCCCAACATTAAGTCTCTTCTTCTTAGAGATCCTGCTATGGCGATGCGATGTTTCTTCGGACCAGCATTTCCCTATCAATACAGGTAAATTCTGAAAAAAAATAAACTAGAAACGGAAACATAAACATAAACAACTCTGTGATCACTTTTATTTTCCACTTTTATGTCAATAGTTTAAATTGCGAACGCAGCAAATATACTTAACCGTTATAAATTCACGAGCAATATTTGAAACTTACGAATAGACAAAATTAACGAAAAATATTTACTTTTTACATGTATGCGTTATTCGAAATTCAATTTTAATTCCAGGTTGACAGGTCCATTGGCAATAGACGCTGCGAGGGATTATTGCATCAACGCTTACGACAATACAGTAAACGCAACAAAAACAAGAATTGCAAGAACCAAACCAGGAAGTGGAAATGTTGGACTCATTCTTTTCATATTTCTGGCAATCATAGCAGTGATTCTCGCTATTTTGATTCGTTGAAAATGCACTTCCTAATTCAATTCAAACAAATTGTATTTCAAAGAAATTGTCGAATTAAATATACATGTATTAAACCAAGAACTTACATTCCTATTTTAACATACAAAATTAAAAACACTTCTCTCCTTAGCTGTACTTTTACTTCTTAAGTAAAGATGACACCACGGACATAAACACAAACGTCATACAGCTAGAGTCTTTAGGCTGCTTGTATTTACTTTTCATATGTATAATGTCAATGCAATCACTGAACAGAATATCTCTCTCATGTCATATCAGAGATTCACATATAAAGACGTAATAGTTTTACCACTGGCCAACTGACATATATTTATCGGACATATATATTTTTATATATTTATAGGCTGTGTGATATAATGACTATTTAGATATCTTGTTATATTTCCTTTACTATTCGTGCAACTTTTGTTGTTCTAACATCGCCTTGTATGTAAATCGCGTCATGAAACGGAATAAAATATTTTTGTATTTATATAATAACAATTGTGCAATTTCTTATTATTCTAAACTAGCGTAAACTTGGAGAGTCAAAATTCACTAAAATGCTACTGTGCTTTATACGTCTAATATCTACAGTGTATGTCAGTAAGGCTATTTAATAGCAAACCCCTAATAATCATAATTGCTGATCAAAAGTAGTTAATTATATTCAAATAAAGACCTACTTAACAAAATCTCCACTGCATAAATGAAGGTGGCAGGTAGCTTGCAGTGGCGTAGGAACAATGTACGCCAAAACGCCAGTGCGTAGTGTTGAAAAGTGAGAATAAAAAGGCTTATTAATTTACCTATGTTCTTTATTCATATTTTCTTATTGTATTGTGCAAAAGTAATCTCGAGCACACTAGCCTAAAGAAATGTTTGTGGATACCATATGATATGGTCGATTTTTTAATAGTACTCTTTTGCATGATTTTTGTGCCTCTGTTATTTTTCTAACCTTGGCCACAGATAAATGACACTTTTTGAAAAATAAAATATTGAAAGTTAATACCTTGTTTCTACAATTCTAATACTGTAGAAAATGCAAAGTAATCATTATTGCTCTGTTTGGCAAATAATCAATTAACAGATTGAATTATCTTACCAACATGCTTTATTTCATGAAAATCGACTGATTTGACTGACTATCTTATGGATTTCAAAACTAAAATAAAATTTCGCCAAATATTCGTGATTCTCGTTCTCTTCACGAGAGAAAAACAGTCTTTTTTATCAAAAACTACTTGATGAATACCTTTGCAATTGTTTGCGCATGTTCCGTAATGTTTATGCAAACTGTGGTATCGTTTAATTATAATGATGAACCTCTTTAAATTAGATGTATATTTTTTATTTTCCCCTACCCCCAATTTTTCAATTTCACTATATCGATTTATATTCCTTTGCTAGGCAAAATCATAGACAGAAATTATAGTTAAGTCAGCAATTATCTATTTTCATACTAAATCACCGACTGTTATTGGTAGTACTTCTTGAAATATGAATAAGACAAAAATAACTTGAAAATGTTGATTATTCAATTACGCGTTCCATTGATTTCAGTTCTAGAAAAGCTATTACCTAGTTTTTTTATTTCATTTGAAAGATAATAGATTATTGTTTTTATGAAATATAACATTTTTGGCACCCCCTAAGTCACGCTGACCTCGATTTGACCTTTGTGGTGGGAGGTTTATTTGGTCTTGCGAACTAGTGTTATAAAAAAGGTTGCAGACATTAGGATTAATTGTATCATTGATCACGAATGCGTTTCTTTAAATCAATTGATCAAGCTAGATTCTTTAATCTGTACGTGTCGTATTGCACGGTACTATACACGATGGAATCAGACAATAATATGTATCTCAATTCAATTATTCGAAAATGATTAAAAATCTCTCATTGTTATTTTGAAATCGATCGTCTTTATCGTTCGAGACATAAGAAAAGTGAGGATGATTTGTGTCGAGATTTAAAAGATCGGCTTTCCATGGTGATTTTAAATGATGAAAATCATTCGAACATTTTAAGCTCATTAAAAAGGGTATCAGGGATATTAAGCTTGCATATAAAATCGAAACGCCAACCTATACGTATAACCAATCGCCCATACAAATACATCGCTTAACTATTTCCGTTCACATTTAGGTTGTGAAAACATTGCAAGCTTAAAATCTCTATTGCCATAAAATGACAATAAAATAGGCGTTTTGATAAAGAAGATTTGACACAATTGTTTCATATTTTTGGCGGGATTTTTTGGCGTAGTGTTGAATTTACACCTTCCTACGCCCCTGGCTTGGACAAAAATTGAATCAAAGAAAAAACGTATTCAAAATTCCTTTGAACCGAAATGCTATAAATGGATCCAGCATCTAGGTAATTTTAAAGTTGAATTTACCGCATGGTATTTTATTAGTGATATTAAAATCCTGCATTAGCTCCTTCCGTTTTGAAACTTAAATGTACTATCTAGATCATAAGCGCATCACACTTCAATATTGAAATGTCACAGAGGTGTGAGTAAAACAAAAGTTTTGTTGCCAAAAGTGAGCTAGAAACTTGGTCAGATGGATTTTTCATCTAAAATCAGAATGTTTATGGAAAAAAGAACATGAAGATCCTGGACTACCCCCCCCCCTTCTTTCTTCTTTGCTTAGCTGGCTAAGAATTATTTCTCTGTATTAAATAATTCCTATATTTTGAAATTCATTGAGCTTATAGAATATCAGAGCTCACTTCCTGAATTTTCCATCAATAAATATGAAAAGATCTTAGAATTAATGACAAAATATCAAAAAAATTCATGTTACCAGAATCACTGGACATTAAGTGATCAAAATATTGATTTTGCAAGGTAATATAAATTATAAAAATACAAAAACAAATTTGGGGTCCCAAAAATAAGAAAGTGCTTAGACTACTTGGCAGGGACAATTTACAGGGTGGGCCAAAAAAACAATACCCAACTTTAAATCAGACTGAAAATAGCTATGTTCAATATGATACATTGATTTATATATCATTTTAAAGGTAATCCATTTTCGAACAATTTGGTATATAACACTTTGTCATGTAATCAATATTAAAGTTTTATTATGCTTATTTGCGAGGCCGGGTCGGTATTTAAGGTATTCAGATTTTAGGGAGAAAATAGTAAATCTGTGGAATTATGTTAATTTTTTATTTATATAAAATTGTATACCGAGACTGTAAACCGAGAAACTACTGTTGACATTTGACCTTCAAGGTTTACAGTCGAGGTATATGGTTTTGACGGTTGACCGAATGGAGAGGTCTACAATTGTTTTGTTAGTCAGAAGAAACTAATAATACACATATAGACGACAGTCATCAATTATGGCTTCATTTCTTTTCTCTTTTCTCCGAACCACGCCAGCAATAATTTTTTAAGAAAATCTTAAGACAGTGGTAGTTAAACTCTCTGTTTTTGGCACATAACTGCGTACTCACTAGTAAATCAATGTTAATTAATTTTTCGTTTCTTTTTGTATTTTTGCTATACTTGTCGTCTAGCAAAGTCAAAATATCACTTTCATCAACGATTACGAAATGTTCGTCTACCCAAGGGCGTTACAATACCCGGGAATTTATCGGTTCGTCCAGTACTTGTTTGTGATAGCGCCCTCTGTAGGTCACTGTGCTTATAGCCTACAGTAATACGGGGTAGGATATCGGGAATTCGGTCAGTTTCTATCCGTCGATTTCGCTATGAATTGAAGCAAGTGTGACCACTTTATCCACTTAAACAATTTGATAATTGATTAAATCTTTAAACAAAATCGATAAACACGTTATACACTTCCTATCTCCTTAGAAATTAGCATGTATTTATGGATTGTGTTTTCGAACAAGGCTCGACCCACACCAATAGGGAAATCCTTATGCTAATTAGTATGACGTCATATTTTCCTGGGGAATCCTAGATTTCACAGCCTCAGTCTGTTATTGTGTCAAATGTAAACGCTCTTGGGACGCTCTTTTGCAGACAGAAAATTGACAGATTAGCTTTTAACTTTCAGCTTTGATGTTTAACTATTCTGTATTTCTACCGGACTTCTTGCTGAATATCATATAATGTTATAACTTGATTTGGATCATTGCCTGATTGATCATTCTGAAATTTTGATTGTGATTCATGATTGATTGGCAAGAAAAATAATTCCTATTGTTTTCCAGCGAAGTCAAAATGTTACAGCATGAGTTATAATGTCGAGTTTGCATCATGTTAAATTCTGCTAGTGATTTGAAGTCCATGCACAAGCATACACATAAGAGACAAACACACCCAGGCTCCAGGCCGTGGATGGAAATATAAAACTATTTAAGGCACAAACTGGTATTAATAGACCGATATGTAGTGTCTGCCATGTATTGAAGGTAAACCAATCTGTATTATTAATGTTTCTTCTATCAATACATGGGTTGTGCAATAGAAAAGCAATGGCACAATCAAAAATGTGCATATCAATCGTGAATATCTCTCGGTTCAAAGCTTATTTCCAACAGAATCGTGTCAAAATATGTGTCTGAGTAACAGTTATACATTATAAGATCGCAAACTCTTACCAATTATCAGCCGAATGGCTCATTTTCAACGAAATGTCCTTAAGACAACAGCCCTGGGTCGCGCCTGAGACCAAAAACTACTTCAAATAGCCCTCCCCTAATTATATTGGATAATCACATTTATGCGTGCGCGCGCAGCTCATCCAATGAACGAAACGCCCCTTTCCGCTGAAATCACCGGGTATTGATCTTTCCCTTGGTCTACCATGTTTTTTTCAGTAAATATTATGACGTCATATGCCCCATAATTCACAAGTGTAGTACAGTAACATAAGCGGTCAATAATATGATATCCCATGATGCACAGGTGAGGTACAGGCAAAAATGTTGACCGCTAATTGACCAATCAGATGCGAGTATTTACACTGAGGTACTAACAATTATAATTGTGATTCGCCTATGCATTGTAGTTCATATCAAACAAAACAAAATAATCAGTTGCACTACCGCTTTTGTAAGTTTCTATATATTTCTAAAAATATGTCATTCATCACACATACACGAGTATTAAATTCAAGGTTCTAGATTGATTAAAAGCCAATTTGAGTGTAAATCAAATTTATTATAGTATTATATTTAATAGCTCTGCATCAAGAGGTAGCAAAGTGTACGTGACATTTTGAGCAGTGAAATATATACGGTTGGTATAATGTGACATTATCAATATACGTATTTTGTATAATAAAATAAATACAACATAATTTATACAGTATATAGGAATGTTAGTTCCCCTTTTATGAATCATATGCTAACTAACAAATGGATTATGTTTGAATTCATCCACAGAGGAGCCAATGTACATTTTCGCCGGAGCGACTTGAGATCATGAATAATGGAGACAATTGATGACAATGATGTTTGATAATTAACTATAAAATTGCTCGTGTCCAAATATACACGATTGTCATTCAAACATGCATGTTTTTATGCATACACATATGAGGTATTAAAATAAATGTGAATATTTTTGTATAAATATTGACACTTATATAAATCCGAGTTGGGAACTTTTTTCAAAAGTGCCAAAATGAGACGGATGGGGTAAAGTTGATATTTTTAAATTGAATTATCGCCAAGTGCTTATTCGGGTTATGATCAGTCCTATCAATGTCATGACTATTGATACCAAGGGTCCCCCAGAGGAACGTGAACAATCGTCGTCATCGTCAAAGATCCAGCCATCTTCCTCGCATCGTTCTTTTCTTTTACACCAATCACAGTCACACGGAGCCGGTGACGTAACACGTGATGTCACTGAAATCGTCGTTGACTCGTCTGATTCTGTAGTAAATTTTGTGTTGCTTTGTTGAAGAGTAATTCTTCCTTCTATCCCAACAATAATTGGAGACATCTTGGAGAAGTGCTCGATTACTACGCTTGAGTCCAAATTATCTACAATTATAGTTGCAAAGCATGATGCCATAGTAATTTTTGTCCTTTAAAACACTCTTGGGAATGTTGCGGTTGTACAATGTTGTGTTGGATATTTGTGTAACTCTATGTTAACGCTATTTGGTCTTTTTCCTCTATTCCTACATAAATTTACTCATATACTACATTCAGTACAACTTGTTATTGTCAATGCGTTTTCATTTGACCCTTAACATTGTGTTCACATTGTTCATTTTGATGATTCTAGGCATTACCAGGTTAATACGTATACTCACTTTGTTCCTCGTGGAGTGTTTTGTTCTCTCTTATCATAGCGTATCCATCGCCTCCTTCTGCTAAAAATGTTGACATTGCGACCTTATACACTTTGTCATTGTCTAGAGGCTCATATACTGGAGTGTCACATTCAGCACATCGTACCAGGATTGACACCACTCGAGACCCAACTGGTTGAGAAGTGTCAGCAACGATCTTCAAACCTGTCAAATGAAGGGATAATACACAATATACACTTTAATTGACTTATTCAATGAGATATTATACCAATGTCAACGATATTACATTGTAAACACTTGAGCTGAGACAAAATACTAAGAAAATTCTAGAGTGTTTGATACGATTATACCATTCTAATGGGTTGACCTACGTCTTGATATATGACAATAGGTAATTTAGATCACCTTGCGTATTTCCAAGAATCGAAATTCTTAGACAAGAACACAAATGTGTACAAAATGTCCCCACCAAGTAGTGATCCCGTGAAATGGTTATCCTGAAAATGAGTAGACAAGACTTTACCAACACAATTTGAGGACGGAAAATCCAAAGTGGCCACCTTAAAATTTACCCAGAATGCCAAAAATTTAGTCAGTTCTAGATTTTCATACTAAGAACCACCCCTGAAAATTTGAAATTGATCCGTCACACAGTTAACCAGAAAACATGTAAACAAGACTTTACAGACAAGATTTCAGGATGGAAAATCCAAAATGGCTGCCTTGACATTTACCAAGAATGTCAAAAAACTAATCTGTTTGTAGATTTTCATACTAAGAATCATCCCTGAAAATATGAACTTGATCTACCAAACGGTTCACCTGAAAACGGGTAGACAAGACTTTACAGACAAGATTTTAGGACAGAAAATCCAAAATGGCTGCCTTAACATTTACGCAGAATGCAAAAAAAGTAATCAGATGTAGATTTTCATACAAAGAATCATCCCTGAAAATTTGAAATTGATCTATCAAACCGTTCACCTAAAAACGCGTAGACAAGACTTTACAGGCAAGATTTTAAGACGGAAAATCCAAAATGGCTGCCTTGACATTTACCCAGAATGCAAAAAAACTAATCAGTTCTAGATTTTCATACTAAGAATCATTCCTGAAAATTTGAAATTGATCTACCAAACAGTTCACCTGAAAACGAGTAGACAAGACTTTACAGACAAGATTTTAGGACGGAAAATCCAAAATGGCTGCCTTGACATTTACCCAGAATGCCAAAAAACTAATGAGATCTAGATTTTTATACTAAGAATCATCCCTGAAAATTTGAAATTGATCCACCAAACAGTTCACCCATGAAAACGCGCAGACAAGACTTCACAGACAAGATTTTAGGACCGAAAAATCCAAAATGGCCGACAATAAAAAAGTCCTTATGAGTTTTTGCTGATTTCTTTTTACAAAATTATCACATATAACTACTGTTAACAATAAAGTAGACTTTTACAGCAAAGTACATCTGAAATTATTTATAAAGCTACTAAATAGTTAAAGTATGAAAACTCAAAAACACCATTCAATATGATACAAAGTATTATCGCTCGCTAACTTTTCTTAAGACATTCAAAATGGCTGACATGACTGAGCTAGCAGGTCCAAAACCTAATCAGATCTAGAATGAAGTGAGCTGAACAAGATGTTAAAGTTTTACAAGCAACTGTGAAGCAGTTTTCTTAAAGTTTGCAGACAAGGATTTTAGCATTTGACTTCAAAATGGCCGACAGGAAGTAGGTTTCGAGTTAAATTTTTTTCGTCCACATCTATAGGCACTCATAAGTTATTCCTGAAAATTAGAAGGTGATACCTGTAGCGGTTTTGGAGAAAACTGCCGGACGTACGGACGGACAGACAGACAGACAACCAACCAGACAGACGGACGGACGGACGCGCCTAGGACGACAATATGGCCCCACACTATGTGGTGGGGACATAAAAACGAGGACTATGAATTCAAAGGTCGGGCATTTGAAAAATGACCAAATGCCATAGGTTGCCAAAAATGAGTATTCGTCGGAACATATCTCTCACATCTACATTGAACATTCTTTCGCTGCTCCTACAAGAGGTAATGAATTCTCACCTGCCACTTGTAGGAACCTTGGATGACCAATAAGAGACACTGAATGCTCCATGACGTCCTTTAGAGTTGTTCCTTTAAGTCCAACTATGTCAATCGTGTTTCTGAATGGAAGAACATGTTGTACTGCACCAATTGTCACTGGACCTTAAAAGACGAATATCAGTTACTTGTTGACCGTAGGCAACTTTTACCGAGAGGGAGCTTTTGCAAAGGGAAGCTTCTTGATAGTTTTGGCTAAAACGATCATGGGAAAAGTGCTCAGAATGGTGAAAAACTGCATCCGCTCCGCTGCTCCCCCTGGCTATTTGCCTGCGTTACACCCCAGTCACATTTGTCGTACGGAGGCCGTGCGTCGACCGCAGATCGATTAAATCGGTGTAAATCTGCGGCGAGCGTAGGAAAACTACGCTGGCCTTGCGGCCTCCGTACGGCGTATCCAGTTTTTTACAGGCCGCAGGGTCGCCGTAGAAATTATAACTCATGGCACGGGGCATTGTACCTGGGGCATTGTATTCTTCGTTTTCAAATATATGATTCGGATTCGGAGAGTTTTTCTAATCCCGGTGTAAAAGAAATTATGGTCCCCTGGGGATTATGGTCCCCTTTCCTAAAGGCCCTTGTTGGCCCTGATTGTGGATACGATGATAAGGGAAATAGTTGTGTTTAGGTCACCATATAAATCAATGGAAAGTAGGACCATAATTTGATAGGACCTCCTACCCTTTTACAAATGATGGTCCCCCAGGGATTATGGTCCCCTTTCTTAACGGCCCTTACTGGCCCTGATTGCGTATAAGATAATCAGGGAAAGAGTTGTATTGAGGGCACCATATAAATCAATGGAGAGTGGGACCATAATTTGAGAGGACCTCCTACCCTTTTACACCTGGATCCTGACTATGGAACTCCTTCTATATTGAACTAACTCTCCCTGTTTGAATATACAATATTAAGGAAATGGATACGTTATTAGGTAAAAGAGTCACCATGTCAATGAGGAAGGAACGTGTAGAACCAAATAATAGACTAGATACGAGTATAAATAATCTTGATTTACCTCATTAAATATTCAAAATTCAGTCAAAGCGATGTCATATTTGAAATCTACATGTAAAAGTACATCTAAAAATATGGTTTCGAACGTTGTTTATCAATTTTGAAGCCACCAGCCATAGTATTTGAGGCTGATTTGAGATACATTTCATCCCATTTAAACTGTTTTCCTTGCACATTTGAAATTATAGTAGACAGGCATCACATGCGGAGTTATAATATTTGTTCATTTCTGAGGTCCCCGTAGAAATAAACTGGCTCAACAAGATTGAATCATTATCTGTCAATGTTTCACGATCACTTTTCATTTGATATTCCATCCCAGCACTATGAATAACATTTATAAATTGTCCCGATGTAAATAAAATGAAAAAAGTATTATTTATCAACATAAATTTAAAATTCACCGTGCGGCTGCCTTGGGAAATGTGACTGCAAAAGTATGAGAGCGCAGAAATTCCACGGCGAGCGTAGAAATGTTACTGGCCGCAGAAATGATAGACCGCAAGGTCGCCGTAGGAAATGTGACAGGGGTGTTAAGATGCATTCGAAGATATTGTAAAAACTTAATGGTAATCAGGCGTTTAGTTTGTTGCATATCGGCCACGTTGACCCAGTTTAATACAAATGCAATAAACATTTTTTCTTGCTACACAAGATTATCTCCCCTCTTGAGAAGATAAAAGAGATGCTACGATCTGTTATGGTAAAGTTGCCTAAAAATACCAACGTAGCTTACACTGATTATTTGCTACTGAGTGTTGTGTTGGTAAGTATTCTTTTTGATAAGAATGTCGTTGGGTTTTCAAAATAATATAGTTTACATACCGCCTCCTTCATTTGATATAGATACTCTGATACTTCCAGAGTTCATGATGGCAATTGAAGCATCCGTCCAACCATCAACTCCTTTGGAATATTCTAACATTTTGCGCACCATGGCGTCGGTTATAAGGTTACCAAAGCTACATTCCCCTTCCTTGCAGGATATACTGTCCAACATGACTCTGGTCGATCCGATCACTCGAGAGGTTTCATTATCAAATGCACTTTTCCTCTGTGTAACTACTGCTGATACATTCGGATCTATAAAATGAAAGTGTATATTTTGACGCACCCTGTATATTATGAATGTCTTGTTTAAACCTTATCATTTAAAATTATACGGCGGTTAAAATATGAAAATACACACATACATATGTATATGACTACTTAACTTCACATATACATCATGTTAAAAGAATTACATAAACACAAATAAAAATAAGACAAAGCACAACTTAGCAGAGTGCCATGGAAATACTTAAATTCACCTGGAAGACCATGTTAAATACAATCATGAAGTCATGTGGAAACCATGTTAAAAACATACAGTCTGGTTTAATATGGATGACTATATTACGCTGTCTGGGTTAATGTGGAAGACCATGTAAAATGAACACAGTGAGAGTTAGTACTATAGAAGACAATGATAATACGTAGTCAAGTTGAATGCGAAACACCATGTTAAGTAAACGGAATTTGAATTAATGTGGACAGCCATGTTGAATATACGTAATCGGGGTAAATTTAGAAGACCATGTTAAATAGACGAAGTCTGAATTAATGCGGAAGATCGTGTTAAAAACACAAGTACGGGGAGTTAATGTGATTCAAAGAAATGAAAACACACAGTCGGGGTTAAATTGGAAAGTCATGTTAGGATTATATAGTCATGGCTTATAGTTGAAGACCAAGTTAAATACACGAAGTCTGGAATAATGTGGAAAATGGTGTAAAATACAGGCAGTCTGTGTAAGTGTGGAAGACCATGTTAAAATAGTGAGTATAATATGAAAGGCCATGTTAAATGGTTAATCATGAAGACAACGTAAAATAAACGCTGTTGAGGTTAATGTCGAAGGCTATGTTAAATGCATGCAGTGGGGGTTGTCACTTAGTATGTAAGAACATTTAAAATACACGCAGATTGATTTCGTGTGGAAGACCATATTAAATATTGTTTTACAAAACTCACCTTTTGTGACGTTGCTGCTAAGCAGGATTGGGTTTCCCATATAAGACACAAGATTGCCGTCAGCATCAAAATCCAGTGTTATTTTCCCGAGGTATTTTCCATACGCATAATCGTGAACAATTGGGATTTTTCTTCCTGGTTCTGCATCGGAATCGACAAATAGAGGATATGGTCCCTCGATATCGTCCTCCTCTGCTGGGGTGTCTCCTAGATTTCAAATACAATTATTATACAAGGCATTAACATGACAAAATGTCACCCCCTAAAACAATTTGGTCAATTTAAAGCAAGTTGAAAAAATACCTCTTTGACTTTTTTTGACATTGAGAAGGTCATTGAAGGTCAAATGTCAAATGTAAAGTCAGATTTGAACTTCTGAGAACATGTATATGATTTTGAAAAAAAATTAAGTAAATTTGAAGCAAGTTGAAAAAAAGACCTTTTTGACCTTGAAAAGGTCATTGAAGGTCAAATGTCAAATCTAAAGTCAGATTTGAACTTCTGAGAACATGTAGATGATTTTGACAAAAAATTAATCAATTTGAAGCAAGTTGAAAAAAGACCTTTTTGACCTTGAGAAGGTCATTGAAGGTCAAAGGTCAAATCTAAAGTCAGATTTGAACTTCTGAGAACTTGTAAAGTCAAATTTGAACTTCTGAAAAGATGTAGATGATTTTGAAAAAAAAATTGGTCAATTTGAAGCAAGTTGAAAACAGACCTTTTTGACCTTTTTTGACTTTGAGAAGGTCATTAAAGGTCAAATGTCAAATCTAAAGTCAGATTTGAATTTCTGAGAACATGTAGATGATTTTGAAAAAAAAAATTAGTCAATTTGAAGCAAGTTGAAAAAAGACCTTTTTGACCTTTTTTGACCTTGAGAAGGTCATTGAAGGTCAAATGTCAAATCTAAAGTCAAATCTAAAGTCATATTTGAATTTCTGAGAACATGTAGATGATTTTGAAAAAAAATTTTAGTCAATTTGAAGCAAGATGAAAAAATACCTTTTGACCTTTTTTGACATTGAGAAGGTCATTGAAGGTCAAATGTCAAATCTAAAGTCAGATTTGAATTTCTGAGAACGTGTAGATGAAAAAATTTAGTCAATTTGAAAGTTGAAAAAAGACCTTTTTTGACTTTGAGAAGGTCATTGAAGGTCAAATGTCAAATCTTAAGTCAAATCTAAAGTCAGATTTGAATTTCTGAGAACACGTAGATGATTTTGAAATTTTTTTTAGTCAATTTGAAGCAAGTTGAAAACAGACCTTTTTGACCTTTTTTGACCTTGAGAAGGTCATCGAAGGTCAAATGTCAAATCTTAAGTCAGATTTGAATTTCTGAGAACACGTAGATGATTTTGAAAAAAAAAATTTAGTCAAATTGAAGCAAGTTGAAAACAGACCTTTTTGACCTTTTTTGACCTTGAGAAGGTCATTGAAGGTCAAACGTCAAATCTAAAGTCAGATTTGAAGGTCAAATGTCAAATCTAAAGTCAAATCTAAAGTCAGATTTGAATTTCTGAGAACATGTAGATGATTTTGAAAAAAAATTTAGTCAATGTGAAGCAAGTTGAAAAAAGACCTTTTTGACCCTGAGAAGGTCATTGAAGGTCAAATGTCAAATATAAAGTCAGATTTGAACTTCTGAGAGCATGTAGATGATTTAGAAAAAAATTGAAGTCAATCTAAACAGTATTTGTTAAGTTATAGGAAGTTGTAAGAAATTGTTACAGACGCCGGACGCCGGACGCCAACCTCCAACCGCCGTCGCAAAACAACGGTGACCATAACAATATGTCACCACTTTTGGTGGTGACATAAAAATATTGTTTATAAATCAAATATGATCTACGAAATACAACACGATAAAAGTATTATTATACAGAACATGTATTACATAAATTATTTAAATTAAATAATCAATTCTCATCCATAACATAACATATATTACAATAAGTACATTATACTGAATTCAAATACTCCTTGGCTCTTGCCAGTGTTAAAAGGTTTGGTTGAGGGATTGACCAGTATCTTACCAGTATACAGAAATGTATTCGTATGTCCTCCAACTATCAGATCAACGTCAGTTAGCTTTTTGGCGAGATCCATATCGATGTGGATCCCGCCATGACCCAACACAATGATTTTGTTGATTCCCTTACGTTTGACAGCGCCGATTTCTGATTGTACGCTCTGGTAGATGTCTTCGAAGGTTATAGTTGGACCTACATGTGACAGTATAAAAAATTCTTTATATTTCCTTTTAAGAATATAGCCTATTATTAACCAATTCAGTCACATAAATCGCGCCGTGAAAAATAATTGGGATAAAAATACTGACACATCTCCCAGCGGGTACCAGACCCTTTATTTTCCACCCAAAGCCCTGGAAGCACAGGTTAGGGATAAAAACCAGAGATGCTGACCAACTCAAATTGTTTCTGAACCCAGCTGGTAATCTCAGAACTGTAAGCCAATCACTGACCTGTGATACTGAGCAAGAAGGCCAGTGAATGATATCTAAATCAGCTCTATCTTATCCCGACCCATTACATAATTAATTTTCAAGATACTGGGAATCCAGTCTACCTAGAGTTTACTGGCCAGTGTGAGCAATTCAGCCATCAAACCTCTGATTGTTTATATACACTATACACACACATACAGAATCAGGAAGAGCATTCACAATTCTAAGCTCTGTCTTCTCTGATCTTACCAGTACCTGGTTAGCATCTCTGAAAATCCATTTATCCCCCATCAGCGATACTAACTAGTGTTAAAGCAATTGAACTGAAAATTACCAATGCAATGGCTTCTCCAATTATAAAATAAATAGAGGTTATTTAATGGGAGGTTTTTGATACAGTGTATATCTGGGGGAAATACAATATATCAACCCGAGGGATCGTAGTTATATTCCCGCGTGTTATTTACCTTTAACACTACTAAGTATGGAATAATACAAGCTATTATATCAAAATATAAGTCTACAATGTGTTCCTGAAATCAAGTCCAACAATGTATGGTTTTGAAGGTTATTGCTTTGAAATTTATAAGAATAGAAAGACACATATACCTGGTTTGGCTATGAACGGTGTGTCAGTCGTGGTATACCCCACAATTGCTACTCTTTCACCCTCAAATTCAAATTCTACGGACGGGGCGATTTTATTCCTAAGTTGAACATCATTTGTTACATTAACGTTGGCGCTAATTATGGAGAAATTTGCAAGGCTCACAAAGTTTGCCAAAGCAGTAGGACCCTCGTCAAATTCGTGGTTTCCAAGGACCTGTTAAACGAATAAATCGAAACTTTACCTCTACATATTATATACACTTTAACACTTTTCGCTGATTATGAATCTAGAATATAAAAAATACTAAGCATGAATTTGACATTCAGAGCATTGAAGTTTTAGTTACATCCCGTATAACTCAGAGTTTTTAACCCTGTGTATTAAAAATAATCACAAGTACATAACAAGTTCGACTCCCGTAAACTTATAAACTGTCACTCACCATAACATCATATCCAAGAAGATTCATAAATTCTGCAATTACAGATTCACCGAACACAGTATACCAAAGAGTACCCTGCCATTGATCCCCAGCATCCAACAATAGTACATTTTTATATGACTTTCTGATCTCCTTAACCTGTGTCGCGATTCTCGCTGAACCACCGTAACAAGCGTTTTGTTCCAACCAATACCTGCTACAAATGCCACCATATTTGTTGAATTCCTCGATATGTGCGTGAATGTCGTTAGTATGTAATATAGTCAGCTCTATCTCAAAGGTACTTTTGAAGAGCAACGAAAGAAGTGCAATTGTATAAATCAACATGTTTATATCTTTAAGTTTAAAATACTACGAATTAATAGTCTAGCTAATAGTAGCTCTGGCGTTCTGTACAGACAGAAAACGTGTAGACTTGCTGATATATACCAGTACTTGTGCAGTTCTAATTTATATGCGAATAATTAAATATACCATGTAAAGTCTTCAATATCCCGGTCGTATTCCATTATTGCATTATCGCTAAGATTTGTAAAGTTATATGAATTATGTGTGTATTTCTTAGAAAACCTATGATTTGACCAAAAGTATTTACTAATTTAGCCGTATCGAGGCTTTTGAATCAAATACGCCCTTATATGAACCAATCACATCAAGAGTGTTGTTGTTTTATTTAATTCATCTCAATAGTTTGAAATCAGTACTTCCTTGTTTGAACAAGGAGCTCTTAAAATTTTGATCAGTCATTTGTGATTTATGTTTCAGTTTTAAAATGTGGCCAGATAATTTCTTAGAAATAATATAACTGGTGGTCGTTTTCATGAGTCATTTGGCACTGGCGGATCTTGGGGGGGGGTCAGGGGCCCCAATAAGTGTGCCTTTTTAGGCATTACTGTGCCTTTTAAGGCCTTGCTCTTTAATTTAAGGCCAAATTTTGAAGAAAATGGGCCTTAAATTAAGGGGCCCAAAAATTTTTAACATTCAAATTTGCCCTCCCCCTTGTTGGTTCCTAGATCCACCCCTTTTTGGGCATTATAAGAATGTGTAACAACCTTTTCAGAATAATCTGATCTTAACATGATAATTTACCTCTCCAGGGTCAATGCAAAACATCGCTTTTTTAAAACGCTAGCTCAATAACAAAATATTCATTTAATCCTGGCTTAAAATGCTACGACTCAAGTGGTTCACGTGCACCGCACTGGCGGATTAGGGGGGGGGGGGCTGGGGTGGGCCCAGAAAAAAAAATTGGGCCCAAAATTTTTTTGGGCCAAACAAGGCCTTCAGGCCCCAAAAGGTCGGCCTTTTTGGTCATTACTGGGCCTTTTAAGGCCTTATTTTTTAATTTCAGGCCAAATTTTGAAGAAAATGGGCCTCAAAATTTCAAAATTTGGGCCCACTTTTGGATTTTAGGGGCCCAAAATTTTTTCTCTGACCTGAAATTTGGACCCCCCCCCTTGTTGGTTCCTGGATCCGCCCCTGCACCGTGATCTTTCAAGACCATAAAACAGCAGGAGAGGCGACTTTTAACTAAATAGGCTATGTTTGTGGGCCAGTTAGGTTTTTCTATTTTCTCTATTTTAAGTTGTGAGGTCAATTTTAAAAGCACAACGCCACCAGCATGCAGACGTCAATCTTTTATGTTATAAATAAAAGAGTGAAAATCTACACGACCTGTGATAAATGCATATATAGAGCCAACAAAAAGTTCAAAAAAGCAAGCCCAATGTCCTGTTTAAGAGCGCGTATTCTAACTATTGAAAATGAATTCTAGGAATATTATCGGGATTCAACTTGATCGAGCCTTTCTGAGAAAATGAGGATTTCAGCAAGGATGTAATTCATGGGGGCTCAGGTTACTGAAAAGCTGCAAAATTCATCATGTATAGTCATCATGGGGAGAATTACAAAATCCACATCATCTCAGAAGAAATCAAGTTTATCGAGTCTCAACAAATAACTTCATGTAGAAAGTTGGAATCCATTTTCATGTTTTCAATAATAAGAAAAGAGGTTCTTAAACAGGACATTAACTAAGGCCCTTTTGAATTTTTGGGTTTAGCGTACGTAAGGGACAATACTACTATACAATACTTTATACTATTGCCCTTTTAATCCATCACGTGGCTGAAGTTGTAAAAATTGTTAGCTTAGGTTTTGCACTTGATGAGAGTCATATTCTGAATGTTTATTATCAGAAAATACTGGCGAAGAAAGGCAAATTGTGCCGTGTTTATTCTTCGGGAGAACTACTGAAACTGAATTCAAGAGAAGTTTTCTTCCTCTTGGTTTAGGGATATTCGATATGTATATCATTAACAGTTGTCAGGAAATTGAATCAACCAGAAATGCATTGTCTTGTGTTTTTAGTAATAAACACAAGACAAACGGCTCAAATAAGTTGATAACATTCACGAATGTCCAAACTCATCAACAAACTATCAACAATTTCTATACAATAACACACAATATATTATTGTACAATGTATTATTTTACAATGTATCATTGTAAAAGCATTAGGGTAGTTTGGCCATGGTTACATCTATTAAAGCTAGACATGCAAAATTCACATCACACGACGCAGGCTTGAAAAATAATTTGGTACGCCATCATCTACTCGTCAATTTACTCTCCCTCATACAAAAGTTTGGTGACCCTCCCAACTGACTACATGGTTACGTTTCAATGTTATACTTGGAAAGTGACTATGAATATTTGGCAAACACTACTACGTAAGCTAAAAACATAAGCTAAAAATCTAGGTGTCAATACACATTTAGTGGAGTTGTGTATATATTTACCATTCTATTTGAAGCTAGAATCATATATATAGAGGATATCCTATGATTTATGAGTGATATGATTTTTATCCACGAATGGATATGATATCTGCACGAGCGAGCGTAGCGAGAGAGTGCAGATATCAATATCCATGAGTGGATTAAAATCATATCACGAGTAATTCATAGGATGTTCTTTTTATTCCATAGTTAAAGTCATCATCAGAATCGTCGGAAATTAAGTTATTTAATTCGAATTTCCAAACGATCCGGAGATGTTGACACGTAGCCTCGTTTTGAGTCTGAAGTAGCAAAAATCCATAAACCATCGCATACGACGTCGTATGTCATGGCTAAAAAACCGTATGTTATGGTTAAGAGAAAATTTGTCAAAAATATCATATTTTACCACTGATTACAAAAATACCGTTTTTATTTTCACATGTTATCCTATGAATATCATGCTAACTATGGAATAAAAGTGATTACGTCGTTATTTCATAAACAGTACCGTGTTTTACCATTCCGAATAATGTCGAATGATAAAATCTTCCCATTGGATAACATTATGAAGATAATATTTCCAACATTTAATTTTCCGAATCTGGCAAATATTAGGCAATAGGCAAATTAAATGATGGGGCGCAATTACCACTTTTACAGTAAAAGCCCGATTTCGAAAAGATAAACGATATCTTGTCAAATGGAGAAGCTATTGAAAATTCAAAATGTTGAAGTCTATCAATTCTAACACAATAACATTACTACTGTTGTGAGTCATGAACATTGTAATTGCTATTAACCCGATCCAGCTATCCATATCAATTTTATGATACAATCAAACGTTAAGACCAACAGTGAAATGCAATTGCGTTTTGGGAACAGAAAGTAGACATGGCAAGCAATGATGCGATAAATTATCATATTTTGTATCGCATCATTGAAAGAAAAAAGCAAAGAAAAAATCGGATCAGAGATTACATATTGTATATTACTATGTAATCTCTGATCTCATTTTTTTCTTTGGCGACTTTCGAGAGTTATGACTGAAGGGACTAGAGAGCGAGGGATACATAGTGGAACATTTTTAAAGCAATCTTCAAAAATGTAAAAAGTTTCTTAAAAATTCCAATTTTGTTTTCTGAAATAAGTATTAAGATGCCTGACTATTGAGAGAAGCTATTGAAAATTTTAGATGCGTAAATAATATATATAACTGTTCTTATCAATTTAATCACATTTGTTTTATTGTCATTTTTTATATTAGTAACAGCCCATCTAACTTCTTTCTAGATTTGTCACATTTTGTGTCTTATCAATTGTCTTCAATAGTCTTTTGCCACAAAAATGGCGTTTTGATTTTCGGTTGATTTCATTCCAAAGTATGATCCTACCCTCCACAGCAGCAGAGATCGGCGACATTTTGGAAATGTGATCTATGACGACACTTGAGTCCAAGTTACCTGTAAAAGATATTAAAATGTATTTTTATCAGTATACATGCGTTGTAACATAGCATAGTTGTAATGACTGAACCTAAGTAGCCATTATACAAGCGGACATTTTGTTTAAATAACATCTGATCATGTCTGGATTTCTGTCGCCATTGACCTTAATTCTTCTTGCCTTTTAAGACCCAGATTGCGGTACCATATAATGAACAAAAAGAGGATTCATGAGTAGATTCTGACTCTGTGATCATGTACGCTAGAACCCTTACTTTGTAACTCATGGCTTATCTTGTCCTCTTTGATCATAGTATAACCATCACCTCCATCTGCTAAGAATGTTGACATGGCGACCTTGTAAACCTTGTCCTCTTTTAAAGCCTCATAGACCGGAGTGTCACAGTCGTCAGAACACTGAACCATAATTGACAACACTCGTGATCCAACAGGCCTCTGTGTACTAGCAACAATCCTCATACCTTAAACAATGGCTATTGGTCTAAATAAGTTGAAATATTCACATTGGAAAAAATATGTTTTGAATTTTTGATACATATACACTGTAGTTTTCCATGGTGAAGCTATGGTGGGGGAAAGGGGGTATTAGACATTGTTTCCTTTAACGTTAGATCATGGTTTTGGGATACATGGGATTTGTTTTTCTTATGAATGCTATATACTAAGAGTTTGCTTTTTCTTGCTATGTCCCATAACATACGGTGACTATCCAGGCCCGGTACATCGCGAGCAAGTTCCCGTTGATATTGCGAGCAATGAGCTCATGTTAGACATGTTAGAAACGGGGCCTTGAGGGATATGATAAAATATAGTCATAGTTGAAGAACGTCGTTGCTCTGCAATTGAAATAGCCAGTGTACTAATAGCTAGTGTAAAGTTTAATAGCCAGTGTAAAGTTGTACGAAGTTTCACTTAGCAAAATTCCATAGCAAATTTCCTATTTCAATATTATCATATCTCTCAAAGCCCTGCTTCTAACATGAGCTCATTGCTCACAATGTCACGGGGCCTAGATAGTCCCCGTGTAACAACTTTTGGTCCTTTTCCCTTTGACACTTGTGCTTAGGCAATCTGATATGAATTCTATTTTCATCTCATCTGAAGGAGTTTTATTATTTTATTTATCATTAATGTAGTATAATCATCTAGTGTTACATTTATAGGGTTGGCACTAGATACCCATTTATTCACAATTTTCGTTCTTTTAGGCCGGAATCTTGTTGCCATAATGTTTAGTGATGAGTGGTGATGGGAATTGGTCCAGAGTCCTCTACACTGTTATCGCTGAACAAATGACTATACAAATGAGTTCAATACGTGTAATAAAAAATGTCACAAACGAATTGCCGAAGTTTTGTTGAAACAATTTCGTTTGATTATTGATTAATTTGATATATATATCCTCACCTGCTACCTGGATAAAGTTGGGGCGGCCTATAAAAGACAATGAGTGCTCTATGACCTTCCTTAAGGTTGTTCCATTAAGTCCAATTACATCGATTGTATTCCTAAATGGAAGAACCCGTTGAATATCTTCAATTGATACCTCACCTGAAATATTATGAGATTTACGCATTTTAAAATGCGATTAGTATTATGGAATTATGTACAATATCACAGTGGGATCGTGGTTTCTCAATTGCAATGTGAATTTTAGAGTATAAAATATCCAAAGTTAACTTTATGAATTATTCTTACCTCCACCAGTATTAGAAATGGGTATTCTAATACTCCCTGCGTTCATAATTGCAATTGCGGCGTCGGTCCATCCGTTGGACTCGGTTGCATATTCGAGCATTTTGTGCACCATAGCGTCGGTTATCAAATTGCCAAAGTTACATTCTTCTTTCTTACAAGGCTGACTATCCAGCATGACACGCGTGGTGCCAATTACCTTAGACATCTCAGCACTGAATTGTTCTTTCTTTTCAGTGATTTCCTTCATTACAACTGGATCTATTCAAATATTACTTCAGAATTTCAAACACATGATTAAGAATCACTCAGGTGAAATATGACATCAAATGAATACAACTTGATAAAATTCAGGCCAAAATCCAAGACTCCTTGAGCAGCCATCACATACATTCAATGTTCTAAAGGGATTAATGAAATCACATATGATATAAGACGAGCTGGTATCAGCCAGATATGGTAAACACCTATTTCCTGCTGAATGTCCGAATGTCATGTAATCCGGTATGGCTTGGGTCAGATGGGATACCTTATCATATGTCATAGCTGCACATAGACGCACGTACTCACCCTTTGTGACGTTTGAACTGAGCAAGATAGGGTTTCCAGTAAATGAAATAATTTTGCCATCATCATCAAAATTGATTGTTATTTTCCCGAGGTATTTCCCAAACATGTAATCCTGAACAATAAGAACTTTCATGCCTGGTTGAACTTCGGAATCAATGACAATGGGGTATGGTCCTTCTACTTGGTCCTCATTGGTTGGTGACGTCCCTAAAACATAGCGGACTATATTTAGGTCTCATATAGTCTGTGTGTGATACCAATCCATGAAAAAGATAACAAACTTCGATTACTAGTATATCTAAAAATGAAATTGGATACGTAGTGGTGATTCCGTCGCACTTATTTTAAAAACGGAAAGCTATATATCATGGTCTCGCGATGTTGCTACCATTGTATAGAAATGTATGCGTATGTCCACCAACTATCATATCAACACCAATCAGTTGCTTAGCGAGAGTCATATCAACATCAGCCCCTCCATGACTTAGCACAATGATTTTATTGACCCCTCTGCCCTTTACAGCGTCGACCTCTTTCTGAATGCTCTCATAAGCATCTTCAAAAGTGATAGTAGGGCCTAAAATAAATTCGGCGCTTTGTTATTTCACGAATGTGACTTAACGTAGAGGGGGCAGTCATAAACTGAGGATATGATAAATCAAATACTTTTGGATCACCCCTCGTATAATGTCATTTTATTATTATTGAGAGCTAATATATAATGCCTTAAGGAACACTGTTACCTTTTTATGGATATTTTTATGCAAATGAGGATAACAGGGCTGCTCTGTGGGACTAGCATTACTCTCTTCGGAAATTTTCATTGGATAAGTAAATTGATAATTGTAAGTGATCCAAAAGAGTATTTCCAGTTCCCAGACTTATTGAAATGCTGTATGGGGAATGTACATATCATTTCGAATAATTAACAGAACTAGGCGACTTGAAATCGACGATACATTGTACCTGGCTTGGAGATGCTTGGTGTGTCAATAGTGGTATATCCAACAATTGCTACCTTATCACCTCCAAATTCAAACTCTACAGACGGGGGAATTCTACCCCTGAGTTGATCATCCTTTGTCACATTAACGTTAGAGCTGATCACTGGGAAGTTAACAAGATTTAGAAAGTTCGCTATAGGAGAAGGGCCATTATCAAACTCGTGGTTTCCAAGGACCTATCAACAAAAATATAACAAACTGTGTAAAGGTCCGGCCATGTGCAGTATGGCGAGTGATTTTAGACAGTCATATCTTTCACCATGAGTACTTTCTGGCCATAAATACAGTGATATTTTTATCATCATGGGCACTTCACTTGAAATAAAACATATAATTTTAATAAAAAACACTCTATTTATGCCCAGAGGGTACTCAAAATGAAAGATATAACTGTCTAAAATCACTTGCCATACTACACATGGACCATTGAAATGATTTTTAAATGGAAATACGATTTAGCAATTGAAGGTTTATTTTGTGAAAGTATCGAGTTCTAGTTATACCAGTTTAGTTGGCAAATTCAACATTAATGTGAAGAAAAATGAATAGTAAATGTCTCATAAAAATCTCACCATGGCATCATACCTAAGAAGATTCATAAACCTAGCTATGACTGTTTCACCGAACACAGTATACCAAAGAGTACCCTGCCATTGATCCCCAGCATCCAACAATAGTACATTTTTATATGACTTTCTGATCTCCTTAACCTGTGTCGCGATTCTCGCTGAACCACCGTAGCAAGCGTTTTGTGTTGACCAATATTCGGTACAAATGCCACCATATTTGTTGAATTCGTCGAAATGTGCGTGAATGTCGTTAGTGTGTATTATAGTCAGTTCAAATCCAAGAACAATTTGGGTCAAAGAGATACTTAATAATCCCAATGTAATCATGTAGGAAAACATTTCTCAATCTTTTGAGCGAGGTGAAATCGTATCAGTTCAAGATGCCTGTCTCGATATAATCCCGTTACCTTATACATTTGTAATTTAGTCTTGATTAAAATCTCATTAAAAACATAGATGTCAACTAGCTGACATGTAACATTATTTTTGCTTTACCATGTTTAAATAGTAATAAGAACGCCTGGCTGATTTATTGATAGCCGGTAGAAAGAACAAGTAATCTCTTTTTCCCCTGATAACATTTTCAATTCTCAATAATTTTTCCCAGGATTTTCAAAGCATTCGTTAGATACCATAATATTTTGTTCAACTTATAACCAATCTTCATTTATAGTTACACCCTTTCAAAAATGATGGTCAAATTCTGCTAGGCTACCAATTTTGCGTCTTTTTCTGAAAAAGATAAATCATTGAGCTATTTTATGTCAATGTTCTGACTGTATTTCAGCCTCAATATCGTTTGTTTTGTCCCTTAAGTGTGCTTACATGTTCTTATTGACACTGTTAATTATAAGATGTCACGTTTTATAATCACGTACGATGAAAGTGTCCAAATCTACAACCACTCGGAAATATTAGGTCGAGAGAAATTTATTAGTGCTGGATCAAGTCTTCAAAGGTACTTAAGTCGTAAAATGCGAAGGAAATCTAACATCACGGCTGTATGTATTTTCTGAAAGTGGGGTATTTGTCAATTCTAGGAGCAGACCTGAAGGACCACCGACCCACTTTGGCCGATCTCAATAACACCCTGTAAAATTGGACTTTCGACTTTGTTTACACTAATACATAGCAGAAATGAGTCAGAAAAACGGAATTATATAACAATTAAGATATCCTTTTTTATTAGTACTTGAACGCCCCATAACTTTGTATGACGACCCTCTTTAAATGATATCAATTCAGACAAAACAATTAATTTTACTTACAAGTATTTATACATCTCTTTCAGAACTCTGAATATAATATTGCAAATTACATTTTTCAATAAATAAGAACTTACTTATTTTCTTATAAATATAAGCTCATTAAAATGTTCTAAAAATAATTGTGCATCATTTATAATGTGCATTGTGAGAGGTTATCAGATGCAATAGCAATTGTCAGTGTGATATTCTGTGGCCTCAACTATGGTATCTATACATGACTATACATGTATAGTTTCATTATACTTAAAAGCATTGGAAATTCACAATTATCACATATTCCGTTGTCACTCGGGTAACCAATGAAGTTTGCATTCTTGCCTTGGAGCCTGCTCTGCTACATGTTGCAAACGCTGGTACGGTTAACTGTTCATAGTTGCATTCACCGCGTTGCACTAACTTGGTTGTACATATAAGTCGCATCAGCTTTACTTTGTCCCATAAGTTTGTTGCATATATGATTCTCAGGTAGAGGGGGAGTCAAAGCTTCAACATTTCATCAGGCGTGCCCATTTTCACAATCTAAATTAATAAAATCATATTTTCATGAATGCACAAATATGTCATGGTGTTTTCAGTTATACATTTAAATTATTATACCCGCATGGGTGTCAGTTGCCTGTACAATGAACATTGATATAATTGATGAATAAACAACTATGCAAACTGTGTAAATAACTTTCTTTTATTAAAATACTAAAACTAAGATCCTCAGAACCCACCTTTCCATTCTCCATACTAATTATTTTATCGCAGTGCTGCACAGTTTCAAGTCTATGGGCAATGATAATGATAGTACATCCGGTAATAGCTGTATCAATTACGTGAGAAATTATTCGATCTGTTTCGGCGTCCATTGATGATGTAGCTTCGTCCAAAATTAGGATCTAAAACAACACATGGGCAACATTTTCACGTTTACTTATGAGAAGTCACAAGCACTAATATTTTGCAATAACTTGTACTATAAATATGTTGATGTGCTTAATATTGTCTTATTTTGCAATTCGTATTGTGTGTATTACGTTTTGTTATATTATATTGCATTGTATTGTATTACTTTCGGGTTTTATTGTTAACGTTTTGTATTGTATTTAATTCGATTGAAATATACCATTATGTATGTAATTATTATTTTTTGTTTCAAGATTCATGCTTGCACCATACCTTTGGTTTTCTAAGCAATGCACGAGCCAAACATATCAGTTGTTTTTCACCCGCAGAAAACTCAGCACCATTCTCCCCAAGTTTATTATCGAGTTTTAATTCTGTTGATGCTATCTGAAAATCACATTAAACCATATTCAGTATTGCTCATTGTGATATCAGTAACTAATATTATTACTACGACTTGGTATAAGTGGATATTCAGTTCTCTTAAATGTTTGATAATTTATCTAAAACATTATTCTAAGCTCTATGTAATCATGTCGGAAATCATGATTTGTACACAATGAGGTATGTACCTTATTTCTCATATTCAAGAGATCAAGTATTTTCCAAATATCATCATCACTGGTAAGATTACCACATGGATCTAGGTTGAACCTGAAATATAAATAAAACGACTTATATACGTATATGTATAGCCAGAAATCTTTTTCATAAAAAAGATTTTGTTTGTATACAAATTGCTTATTAATTTCTCCACTAATAGGTAGTATGTATGTATTTTACCTTATAGTTCCTTTGAACACCACAGGGTCTTGTGGTATTATGACAATTTTTGATCGAACTGCCTCGAGAGATATTTTTGATATATCAACGTTATCGATCACAATTCTTCCCATGTCTGCTTCTACCATACGAAGTAAGGCCATCGTCAATGAGGATTTACCTACAAAGATATGTATGATATAAAAGTAACATTTCATCCTGGAAAGTCATGTCGTCACCTCTGTACTCTTTGCCTTATTGGTCTTCCTAGCTTTGTTGCAAGATATAATGGATATCAGAACAGTATCTATTATTTATACTGTAATTGATAAATGTAGACAATAAAGAAATTATTGTGTTATATGTAGCTATTTTAGATGCATTGAACTGTAGTTTATAAATTCTTAATTTTAAATACCTGATCCTGTTCGTCCAATAATGCCCACTTTCTCTCCAGAATAAATATTTAGAGATATGTTGTCCAAAACTCGCGGGCCATCGTTGTTATATTTGAGACTAAAGTTATCAACGCTTATAACTCCGTTGTCGGGCCATTCTTTCTGGGGCTTTCCTACTATATTTTTCACATCCTCTTCTGGCTCTAGATCCTATGAAAGAGGTGTTTATTAGGTGATTATTTTTTGAATGAAATTCAAACATAGCCAGTCATAATATATCGAAACATTGATTTAATGCTTTAATCGTTCTATTACATTGTATGATATGAGTTTAAACATTTTCTCATACCTTGCAATAATTCCACAACCGTTCAACTGAAGTGAATCTCGCCTCGACCTCCGCTTTTGTTCTTACAGTAAACTGAAATATTCCTGTAATCTGTGTGGCATACGTCAACGCTAATCCTGCATAGGAGGCGGGTATTCCTCCCTTAGTCAGAACAATCATAAGTGCCACAGCAGTACTTATCAATGCACCGATAAGGTCCAATCGAACGGCAAACCATCTCATTGCACAATTAAAGAGAAAGAATGGAACGGCGTTGTCATCCAAGGAATCTGCAAATCTGAAAGACATTCGCTCATATAATTGAGTTGATAGTTTATCAAAGTCATTCATCATTCATTATTCCTCTCGATTTATAAAATATATGTGTCTAACTATTCTTATCAATGATATTAGGCTATGTATGCTGTATAGATAAGTTCTACATGATCCCAACAAAATACATACATGTGAGCCTACCTCTTTACAAACATTTCACGTTTAGCAAAGGCTACTATTGAAGTGATCCCTGTCACGGTGGTATTCAGATGGCTTAGCACAGGGGAACGACTGATATTGTCCCATCGCTTCATCTCCCTTATCCCGACATTCACCCCTATATTCAGCAAAAGGAACATGATTCCTATGGGGACCGCAGCAACCAGAAACCAGGGGAACACGGCAACGATTAAACATAAGGACGAAACTATTTGAAGAAGGTTCTGAAGCAATATGTCAATCACAGCAGGAAGTCTGACATCAACTGAAAAACAGGATTGAACATTAAACATTAAGTCACTCTACTATACCTTGCATTTGGTGTTCATGAGCAACCCTTTTGGCTTATTAGTAATGATTATGTATTTGTTTTTATATGTCTGTTCCTTATTAATGGTTTATCGGTTGAAAGTTAGATGTTAGTAAGGCACTTTCAAAAATATATTAAACAATTCAATAAGACAAACAAAGTATCTTATGCATTTCTAGGTGTTAGGTATAGTAGAGTGTAAGTACATACATAAAATAAACATTAAGGTACATCATATTATATGTATTTACATGAATGCATCCTCTATTCCCGATAATAATCGGATTTCATATGAAATGATAGGGTTACAACATATTTATTTTTTAACAGTTCAATTGAAATGCCATGATTTAAAAGCCTTTAAGAGTTATATTCGAGTCTGATACTACACTTTGAATATGTTTTAAGATGAGCTCTAATGTATAAGTTTCGTTTATCTCTATGACAGGGCCGCACACAGAAGCACAAATATATTTTGAATCTAACAGGGAATAGTTGTTGAGCAGTTGCCAGCTCTATTATGTATTACAATACCTTCATCTTGATCCTTTGAGAATCGATTGATTATTCTACCAGTGGGGTTTTCTTCAAAAAACTTCAGGGGACTGGCGACTAACGTCTTAAGTGCCACATTGTGCAACGTAGACGCAGCCATCAGCGTCGCCTGGAAGATAATCCTGAGTGTATCCAACCATATCATAATATGTATTTCTAAATAAACTATGTATTTTATGCTTAATATGGTATCATTTAAAGTGATTGAATTTAAAGGTCGTTCCTTTCGGACGATAATCATGAGATTCAATTTTTTTCACTGAATTTCGTTAGTTAAACAAAATAGACCTATGTGTCGGTTTGTACGTGTTTGCTACTATCTATAACTAAATAAACATTACCTTAACGTATATCAAGATTTTGAGGACCCCTACAAGTGCAATTATTCCGAGAATGACAGCATATATTCTGACATAAAATACCGGGGACTCATACTCCTTGATAGAACCATTATCAGTTGGAGCTGCAGAACTTGAACTAGACGCTGTAGTAATGGATGGTGATTTTGATGAACTTAGAGCTGGATATGAACTACTTGTCATTGTGGATTCTGCGTCAGTCGAAGTTCTCATTTCCCGATCTGTTGTTGTAGAAGTTTGAAAGGTTGTTTCCGTGCCGTTTGCTTCACTTGTTGAAACTGTTGTCTGAATAGTTGACATAGTTGCAGTTCCAGTAGACTGGTCTGTATTTACAGTAGACGTTTCGTCAGTCTTTGTTTTTAATGTTGTAGTTTCATTTGCTTTAATTGTCACAGCAATTGTTGGCACGGCATCGCCACTTGATGAAGTCATGTTTGCCATTCCATTGGTTGACCCCAATTCAAATATTGTTTGATTAAATTCGGTGTAGTTTGCTGTGAGACCAATACTAACGTCCCGTTTCTTGTGGTGGGACATTTCGTTCATGTCATCATCGTGCAAGAGCATCCTCGAACGTGCCGTAGTGTTAAATTCATTCCCATATGGCATTTTGGGGTCCGTACGCTCAAGCCAGTAACTTAACCAAAGATTACTTCCAACAAGACTTCCAACATAACAAAGGAAGAAGAACACCACCAGGAAGCTAAAGCACAGTCCACCCGCATAGTTACAATACGCCTTGTATACTTTTGGCGGTACTTTTCCTCGTCTTCTTTCTTCTTTTTTTACAAGACCGTTTCGACCATTTTGTTTCACTTTTCCACTTCCATCGGGAAGCTTTGTTTTGGACGACACTTTTGATTTGGTCTTCTCATCCTCTGAAAGCAAGCACATATGCATGTTTAGATGCTTTGGAAGATATGTTATCTTCAATTGCCCGCTGTTAGTTAAAGAAAGAGAAGAACTTTGGGGGGAGCTTAGGGTGATGCCAGAACTGAACCATTTCTTTTTAATTGGATGCACTTTAGAACAAAAGATCAATACACTTTTGTTTGGAGATAATTTAGTGAATAACAAAATCAAAGGTTGTGTATTTAAGATTTTTACTAACTTTCTCTGTAAAATAATGGAAATTATTTGAATTATCAATTTATAACATTTAATCAGTTGTTTCAACAAAAAGCCATCTGTAATAATTTGTATGTTGTATTCTCACAGGGCCAATAATGCTTTCGCCTAGGCCCTGTTAATGTATTATATATATATGATTTCAATAAATGAACCATAAAAACTAAAAAAAAAAAAATATGTCATAATATTTGATAGCTTGGTGACTTCAAAGTTATTGAGCTCGTCATACCATTAATCGTCTTTGCCATACTCTCAGACAGTTTAGCAAAATCACCACCAATTGCAGTCAGGTCAGCAACCGATCCCATTTCAGAAATAGATCCTTGTTTCAGATACATGATCCAATCGCATCTAGATAGCACCTGAATGAGTACAACATGACATTAAATTACAAAACTGACTGAAATATTTGCTGGTTTGATTTTACAAAATAATTATCAAAGAACCACGAATAATAGAACTAACCACCTAAATATGTTCCTTTATCAAAAACGCCAGAAGTAACATATTTAGAAATTTCATCAAGTCAAACCAACTTCGATTAATTAGCTATTCAGCATACCTCCATATTATGCGACACGAGAATAACCGTTTTCTCTGCAAGTGCCTGTCTGATACATTTCTCATAGACATGTTCAGCTACAGTTGTGTCAAGAGCTGAAAGTGGGTCATCCAGGACGTATACATCTCTATTGGCATACACAGCTCTGGCCAAGCTTATCCTCTGCTTCTGCCCTCCACTTAGAGTTGTACCCCGTTCTCCAATCTAAAATAATATTGATTGGCTTTTTGACATATTTACTTATGATGGTAGACGGGTAGTTCGATATACTGTAGTTATTGCGGTATTATACAAGGACATCGTATAGCTCGCATCTCGAGCCAGATGAGGATATATTTAACAAAATAAATTAAATCATTAGAAATATGAAAGAGGGAAAAGTTAATGCATCGACATATTAAAAGTACAAAAGGTCATATGGTGTAAAAATAATAAAATCACCTCAGTTTGGTCCCCACTTTGTAACTGCTCCAAATCTAATTCCAATCCACAGACAGTAATGACATGTTTGTATCTGGAATAAAAAACTATATTTTTGGTTGATTTGGATATGACTCTAAAAATGAAACCCAAGTACCAGTTAATAGATCAAAACAATTGGTAACGTTTCAATATAGCATTATACTCATTTGTAAAATCTAATGATGTACAGGGGTCCATTCATCCGAATAGCACTAAACCCATTAATTAAATCGGGACGCTTATAGTAACTCTTACCGGATTTCGTCAAAGAGTTCTCCAAACAGGATGTTCTCCTTCACCGTGTCATTAAATAGCCATGGTGTCTGTGGTGCATATCCAATGGTACCATTGATTCGTATATCTCCTCTGATGAGTTCCAGTTCACCTAGAATCGCTTCGCATAGAGTGCTTTTTCCATGCCCTACTTGTCCACAAACCCCGACCAGCTGATTCTGCTGGATTTCAAAATTGATGTCGTTTAGGCAATGCTTAATAGTTGCATCATACGGAATATCAGTATTTTGCTTCGAAATTCTTTTAAATGTTGCATCAGAAAGTTTTATTGGACTTTTTATAGTGTTTGAGATATCTTTACGTGCTGTCTGCGTCTGCTCGGGTAATTCTAGAATGCTCTTGATCCTTAGGAAACTGGACCTTGCTTCTGAAACTGACTTAAGAGCAGCAGGGAGAATCCCTAGAGCTGATCGCATGTATGTGAATACTCCAAGAACGGCAAATGCTGTTGGTGACTTTAACGCGTTCCCCGACAAAGTAAACCCAACGAATGTGCATACTGCAGCAATGACGGGAACTACAGGAATAAGTGCTGTACTTAACCCCTGGATGTACGCTGACCTTTTCAGCGTCTTCGTCTCTTCTTTTCTCAAATTAAATATTCTCGGACTGAATACTTTCTCATAGTTGCTGAATTTTATAAATTTTATGTTCTCTAATACTTCCAATGTATTTTTCACTCTAGCGTCGGTGATGTTTATACATTTTTGCCTAAAAACTGTCGTGAGTCTGGATATTTTGAATTGCAAAAGGTAGAATAGAATGAACACAGCTAAGCCAAGGAGTGCCCATGGACCAACGAGGTAGTATCCATACCCTATCCCAGCTAACAGGCATATTGGACCCCCTAATATCATCACTACTTTTGACGTAGCATCGAATATTCTTTCTCCGTCGTTTCCACATATGTTGGCCAATTGGCCGGATGTGACGAGGCCCCTCATCCCCTTCACTCTGAGTATCTTTTGATATATAAACATCATGAGACCATTACGCAATCGTATACCTAGAACAATACCTAATATTTTACATCTGGCAATGGCTGAAGACTTTCAACATGTTATATCAACAATATGATGAAGATAACAGTTCTAATGCAGATATGATTAAATTATTTTTGAAAGGGGGCTTTGATATGAAATGTATCTTATACATTAATGCGATAACATATTGCCTTCTCGCAATTGAATTTGCATTTACTTTATAATTCTTGATTGTTTAGTTCAATCATTTTTAATTTCAAAAGCTAAAGCAAAACAGCCACCACTCCTCATGAATAGATGGCTAAAAACGAGTGTCAGTAATTACCTTCTTGATAGCTAATGGCCCATATTGCAGAGAATGTTAAGGCACGTATTACCTCACTGAGTAACATACATCCGACCAATATCAAACCATAACTATAGTTTTCTGTAGGCATCTGAGCATACTCCAGAATTTCCTTCACTAAAAAAGTCTGAAAGAATCAAAAATTGTATTGTCTTCATATGAGTTTACTTACTGATAATTTGGGTACTGAAGACGCTTGATAAACTACACCAATTTCAAATTAGTGAACGAGAAATAAGATCTAATAATCTATCGAGTAATAAAGACAGATATAATGATCGCCAACAATGCCCATGATACCTACCCAAGAGCCTAAACGAAGCTCTTTTGAAAAGGGGAATATATTAATACAGTTACTGTCAAAGAACAGCGGGTTTTATGATGCATCATCGAAAACATGGGTTGATTTGTCACATCCCATGATTGCAACAAATAATTGTCATAAAACGTAGTTATTATAAACGAGGAAACAAACCATGTTACTCACATTAGATGTAAAAAGACATCCCATACAGATGACTAAGATGAAGCAATTGAGGATAAATCTTGTGCGGATAAATTTGAACCAGACTCTACTGAAGGACGCGTTGGTTCCATTTCTTTTGACTTCTATATTCCAAAGCTTCTCTATTCTGAAATAACATGTAAAATCCCTATTACTTCATATAATTTAATAATATATTTCATCACGTCACATTATTTATGTTTTCATATTTATTAATATCCAGAATTATTTCCTTTACTTCCTGTTTGTTTTTCAGATCTCTTTATAACATTAGCTTATGATGAAAATTGGTTCAAATCATGACTTTAATTTTAGACATCGTAAAATCGTATGCTCAAAACCGATGTGAAACAGTCACTCCAACGCAGTGAAAAATAAACCCACAACCTCCCAATTAATTACAGTCAGACATGACAACAAAACATTAATATTACAGATCATCCAATTTGTTTTGTATCTTAAATTAAATAGATCGTACCTTTTAGCATTTTGCAATGAAGATTCATCTTGGGAACACTTCCAAACTCCTCTAATATCAAACGTCTCGTTACGTTGCTTGAATGCTTTCCACATCAAAGAGGTGAGCCAGCCAAATGTGCAAAATGAGAAAAGTCCAGCTTTTCTCATGGGTAAGTCTTCGGCTTTTCTAAAAACAATGCACAACTCCTAGCATTATTTATTTTTTCATGCACTGGATCCTTGTAAAGGGTTGGAAAGGAAATAAATCGAAGACAATTATTGACTCAATTATTATTTCCCTTGGAATAACGATAATGTTGACTGGGACAGGGATAACAGGTGGATGATATACTTGTCTCTAAATACGATTTTATCCCATAGCTTCGACGGGTTTAATATACATAAAGCAAGTATTTAGAGTTATATTTCCTTATCTGGCCTCGGTGCAGATATGTTATGTGTTTAGATACGTTACGCTGTCAATAACCTTTAAACTAACGTTCAAAACACCGATTACGAAAAAAGGTAATACAGGGTGACCCAAAAAATGCAACCCTCCATTTCTTCAATATCTTTCTTAAATGGAGGTTACTTGCTCTGAAATTTGGCATACAATGACTTCATTCAATGTGAGATCCTCCGGCAAAGTTCCAAATATCGTAGTCTTATATTGATAGAGTTATGGTAGTTCCAAAATATGCTCCAAATGTCGTCAATTTCCAATGTTAGGTTTTCGGATGAATCACATTCCCTTCTTTCTGAACATGTAAACATGGAAATAATGTGTTCTTGGATCACAAATTCCAGATGAAGTGCTTCAAAGGCCCTTTCATTCTGTTAAATGCACAGCTTGGGCTGCCAATTTCCAAACATGAAATCATCAGCCCCTTTAAGGTTTGAGGTTGATAATGGCAACACTGTTACTGTTAACACACAGCGCAATATTGGCGTTCCCAGGAATTTCTAGGCAGTTCTAGAGTGACATAGAGGCTTCAATAGACAAGAACAGTGGTTTTAGAATGATGGAGCTACTCCTCACACTTCTAATGATAGCATAGCCTGGCTCACTAGTCATTTCTATGAGAAGATTATCTCTCGTAGGTCATGGTCATCCCACAGTCTTGACTCTTAATGCCCCTGACTTCTAGTATTTAAAGGATAATGTATATGAAAATAACACTACCGCAATTGCAGAACTCCAACAAGCAATGGCTGCAAAATTTGAGCCATACCCATGGGGAAGAATGCATCCGTGTTATGAACAGTTTTCCTTGAACATTGCAATATATAAGCACAAATGCCAAAGGGAAAGGTGACTAAAACTTTAAAGAAACCCAACAAGAAAAGCAAACTGTAAGTGTAAATCTGTCATAAGAAAAGTAGACCCTATATATCCCAAAAGTTTGTTTTCAGCGAAATTGACGACATCTGGAGCATATTTTGAAACAACAGTAACTCTATCAATATAAGACTATGATTATTAAAATATAGAAGAAATGGAGGGTTGCATTTTTTGGGTCACCCTGTACATGTAAATGTATGCGAGAGAACGGATACTAGCATTGCTTAAGCACTCAGTTGTGGATACCTATAGTAAAACGTCACTGCTAAATCGCATTCATGATTGATAACTTTTGTGATTAGGATATTAAGATATCTGATACAGTGGCGGATCCATAAATTAACAAGGGGACCAAATTTTTAGTCTGGAAAACTATTTTGGGCCCCAAATTTTGAAAAATTAAAGCCCTTTTTGATAAATTGGCCCTACAAAATTTAGGAGACCAAAAACTAAAAAAATAAACTAAAAAATTCTGCCCCCCCCCCCCCCGTATCCGCCACTGTGATTTGTATGAATCAAACAAACCTACTTTGTAGAAAATCGAACTGGAATTAGATGCTTTAATGCCTTCTTGTATTTCCATGGTTTTCTTAACGGTGTTCCTGCATGTAGTCTGCCTTCTATCTCTATAGGACTGAAATTATGATTTACATAAGAATTTTCAAAATTTCACATTATTAATGAAATGCGCACAATATTTTCAAATTTTAGTCGACATTTATAAGTGTGAAAAATATTTTGTTAAAATTTTGTTTGAAATGGCATTTCCCCAATTATTTGGAAATCGAACTTCGTTAATTTACCTTACACAGTGACATTGATAAAATCAGTTATCAAAAAGTATAAACATTATTGTACTGCATGTCAACAAGGAAGAAAATTAAAGACATTATGTTATATAGTTTTATACAATCATGCGCTTTCGTGTTTACATTCATTCTCATCTGACCTTTCAAATTTCCCATTGTTTACATCGTCATCATGCACATCTATTGTGATATCAGAAAATTGGGCACCAGCGTTGACATGTCCCTGGAATGAATTTTCATGATCACATGGAACGTCTTCATCGATTGTGTATATATTGCTCTTTTTGGATCCCAAGTTTCCATTTATGGATGACAAACGTTTTATTGTCTTTAGTTCAGCCATCTTTGAGTTTAATAGCAATTAGTTTTAAGCTTCTGGTTGCTGTTGTGCTTTGGATTCACACATCTGGACTGCGGATGAGCCAACAACGGTCCAATATCGAGACGTATTTTATCCAAGATATAGGCTACATGTACAATTCCAGAGTATTGTTTCTTTAGAATTATACACGTTCCTGGGCCTATGCTATTTCCCAATTTGGGTGAAAGTGGTAGCCTCAAAAGAAATTTCACTCAATTTTTTAAGTGATTTCCTTGAATACTTCACGATCAATCGTCGTACTGATATTAGATATTGCGTCAGCTGATCGGAATCCGAGGCATTCCGGCGTTGGCTCGTGTCTTATGCTACATGCACATCTAGGTGTGCCAAATTATTAAGTGGAATTTTCAAAGGCGAACGGGGATGCCTTACAAAGACGCCGTTACCAAGAAAATATCAGGTTATCTTGAGATTCTCCACGTGTGCATATCGATAAATCACAAAGAAATATTTTACAAACAAAATAAATTCAATTTGCTAGTGTCTGAACATTTGGCGGAAATAATATCCAATCTGAACTTTTGTAACAAAAAGGGGCGGAGTTAGATATTCATCCGCGGCCATGTGCTAGAGCAAATCACTGTTCCAAGAAACTTATAGGTTTCTTGTTTTAATTCACTTCCTTGTTTTTAAGTTGACCGGCGCGCTACATAAACAATTCGCTGAAAGTTGATAAGTATTGGCTCTTGTCCATATACTTGAAGGACTTCCTGATTTGAACCGATAAACAAGAATAAATCAAAAACAATTGAATCAGTGCATACCGACGATCATAAGTTTCTCTAAAAGATATAGAATCGTCTAATTTAGACCTTTTAACATATAGATAGATAGGTACCAACTGCTATAGAGTTATATAGCTCTGATAGAAAAAATATGTATTCTCTCAAGAAAACACTTTACCAGTTAGTAGTTGAGTCGGCAGAGAAGTTTCCATCAAGGGACGCCATCGTCTGCATCGAGGATAATGTCAGAGTAACATTTTCTGAGCTTAAACAAAAGGTAAAGTGACTTTAACTAGGCTAGCATTCACGCACAGGGAGAATTTTACTTTAATTCAGTTACAAGACAGTACAGCATTTAACAATGCTTATGTAAATGAATATGTGAAGGTGACAATAGTACATAAATTATATAGTTGGATTTTTTGCCTACATTAGGTTGATAGTTTTGCCGGCGGTCTTGCCGAAAGTGGTGTTTCCTCGGGTGATAATTTCGTTATCTGGGGACCTAACTGCTTGGAATGGATAGTCGCACAATATGCCGTGAGCAAAGTGGGGGCAATCTTCACTGGCCTCAACCCAACGTATTCTCCCGTAGAGGCAGCGCAAATATTGAATCAGGTAAGTTATTATAAACTTTTACTGGCGTTTGATAATATATTTTCGTTTTTAATCCCTTAACAGATGATTAGAGGTACATTTAATCCTATTTCACATACTTGGACTTGCAATTATAGAATAAAAAAAAAGCTTGCTGACGTTGATCTCAAGTTTTTGAAAGTGAATTTTACATAAGTGCTGGTGATACGTCTTGCATTATCCAAATATCGCTTAGTACGATGTCTTCTAAACTGAACGATCGTAAGCTAATGCTTTATAATACATACTTTTTAATCATTTATTTCATTAATTAAATTTATGGTAAATTATACATGTTATACCGCCTAGATTTGAACATAAACATTGTTGGCAGTCTTAAATATCAATGATAATGCTTTATTGACATGTTTATTTTAGATCAAGTGTAATACAATTTTATGCTTATCCGTTGGGGAGAAAAGTACGTATGGTATTCTACGGGCGATATGCCCCGATATCATGGAGCAAGAATCCGGGAAGATTCAATGCAAGGCGATACCGACACTTCGGAGGGTAATTGTGGATTCGGCGGAAGCTAAACCGTATGTCAAGTTTTGTTTTTTATAAGTTATAAGTTAAAATTCTTGCACCTTTATAGTTGATAGTATTTGGTATGTAAAAACAATATAAAGTTAAACATACTCCATGTCCTTCTAACATGTCGAATGTACGCTACAAGGTTTCAGTCTCAAGGTTTCGGATGTTAACTTGACTTGCAAATAAAACTATTTATATATATAACGACAGTTGAACAAAGGGTCATAATCAATCACTCTTAATTTTGAATACATGGCTCCCTATGCGAACAATAATATAACAGAGAGATTAAGCTAGCATATAAAATCGAAACGGCAGTGTACGTACGTATTGTACGTATCAATTACCCATAGATATACGAATGCATGTAGCGTTTTCATATAAATAGCCGTCTAGCTCCAGTGTTTGTTTAGACAACGCCTTGCCATAGCGTGTAACGATTCTATAGTATGTCATTGCTGTAGTTCTATAGCTGTTTTTCTAATACATAATTTTAAACGAGCTCGTTTCGTAAGATTTTGGGGGCTAAATCATGCATGACATACATCATCTTTTTCAGAAACAATTCCACTGTACATCGAAATCAAAATTCAGCATATTATTGAATAAACAGGAGTAAAATGGTTCCCATTGATAAACATTGCAAGCTTTTGCTCTAGATCTCTATTAAAGATTGAACGCAGTACGCCACACGCCGTACTATCTATATTATATATTTTGTTTAAATTGGCGGCGTTTTTATGACTCTGGTTATCATAGAATTCGCTCAAATGTTTTACTTTAAATTTTAATTTTAGCATTACCTGCAATCGACATTTCAACATACTGTTATATAAATAAAATAATGTTAAATTCACGAGTAATTTTTTTCTCACAGAGGCACAGTTAGGATGGAAGAACTTATGTCTACAGAACAGACAACCAGTATTCAAACAGATGATCTGAATCCGGATGACATAGCAACGCTACAACTGACTTCGGTAAGACACTAGTATTGGAACGATCACAAATAGAAATTTAGAATTTCATAGGGTAAACCACAATTAAGAAAATGTGTAAAAACGATACATAAAAATCTTATAAGATAACCTGGGATGATAATATCAGTATTTACCACTCGAATATGTGTTGTTTTTCATTAGATTTTATGAAATGTAATTAACATACACGCTCCAGGGTCAACTTCCCTGAAAGATGGAGATATTAGATTTAGTTTTACATTCGTCTGAGAAAACACCCGGCCCATGGGACTTTTCTTTTTTACCTACGTTTTTTTCAATTTTACATAATCATCCCCATCCTCATCATTTGTTCTATAGGGCACGACTGGACAACCGAAAAGTGTCTCGCTCACTCACAGCCAAATCATTAGCAGCGCCTATATGTCGGGAACAGTATTCGGTAGTGACAAACAGGTAAGGGGCGCAATATGCGCAGAGTGAGATAACCTTAGATATCTTTGTGTACAACATTGTTCAGAATCCAATGTTTCGTAAAAAAAATTGCCTAGATTACACTTTTTAAGACATTACTTAAATTATGGTTGAGGAGGACACAATGGCTTGTAGCTAGACTATCTGCTCCTTAAAAGATGCATTAATTCTCCAAGACTATTTCAGACTCATAAACTCTGTATGCCCGGACCCTTGTTCCGCTGTGGCATCATGGTGGGTGCCAGTGTGACGATGGCGCTGTTTGGGACAACCTTAGTGTTACCCTCAAGGATGCCAAATCCTATGACAATGCTGAAAGCAGTCCAGGATGAAAAGTAAGTCATAATTCAATACTACATTTAGCCTTGCCCAAGTTTGTATCATTATTTTTTATTTATCTTGATTTTCAATTATATGCAAAATAAAGTAAGAAAATAATAAAAAGACGCCGCCTTTGGCAAGGCTATACAACATTTTGATTTGTTTTATGATTATAAGACATATATTGCTATAATAGTATCCTTACTGTCTAAACAAATTTAAAAGCGACATTTTCGAGTTGACGTTATTTCGTATGTCACGTTCGAATTATACGGCATTCATGTTAATTGTCTATTTTGCAGATGCACTGTAGTGTCCGGGAATCCACCTATGATAGCTGCAATTTTGAAACATCCGCAATTTTCCACTTTTGACTTGAGTTCATTGGAAATAAGTGAGTTATCTTTTTTCTTTTCTTCAAGTATCACGATAGTTCATTGATCACTTTCATCACACTATTTCTGGTTATATATACTTAAAATTTTCATTTTTCTAGAATATAACCCTTACTCTGAATTTATAATTTTAGTTTTGATAGGCGGTGCGAAATTGTCAGCATGGATGCTCGGACAAGTGAAGGAGAAAATTAATCCAAAATATATATTCGTAAGTTTCATGAATAAGCATCTAAATTATGTATATAATAGTTTTCCATTGTTTAAAAATTGGCATATACTGGGGCCTGGTAGTAGACAACATATTTAAGCGTTTTGCAGCATCTACGTGTACTACCCCGATATATATTGGTATAACGTAAGGGGGTTTAAGAGTCTTATATATCATGACTGTTTTTCAGAGAGCTGTCCTAATGACGGAAGCATCGGGAATGTGCATACATAGCACGAAACAGGACACATTCGAACAGATAAGAGATACCGACGGGAAGCCCATTCCAGGATTAGAGGTAAATTTAAGATCTGTTTACGGGTCCGTTGTTTACTTTAAAATTAAAAATAAAGATCGACTCACTGAAACTCACACATTGCTGTGCCTAATATAAAAAAGGTACGACGCGACATCTATAAATACTGAGAACGTTTTTAAGAAATATACAGGGTGGGCCAAAAAACCCACCCCCCTAGCCAATATTTCTGATAAATATTCAATTTTTAACATGCACACCAACAATGATATATCATTTTAAAGATAATTTAATTTGCAACAAAATGATATATAATACAACAATTTTCAACAACTCTGGCTTGAGATATAACCATTTGTGTGACATGGGGGTCAAAAAACACCTTTTCAATTTTCATCAATTTTGCGAACAATTGCCTATTTCTACCAAATTTTAATAAATTACAACATTGTCATGAGTTTTTCATAATTGGATATTATATATTGTTTTCATTCAGTTTTTGAACCACACATGCTCAATATACATGTGTATGCTTATAAAACTAATTCATTTCTTCTTCAGTCTGTCCAAATATGGCTCAATAGACTCACCCCCGGACCTAACTTCTGATTTGATTTCTCGCTTAAAACGCGAAAGCCATTGGTATAATTGATTGACCTCTGCAGAAGTACCATCCAACACCTAATTATTCATTTTTTCTGTTTGTCTACACCCCTGATGGTCTAGGGATCTCCATAGGCCAACTGTTCTAAATGCCCCAAGTACTATACATGTAATCAAAAGGCTATACTCTATATCAGTAAGCAAGAATAGTGACTTTTGCGATAAAAGGCTACTCAAATCGAGATGACATTTTACTGAAACGTAGGTGGTGTCCACTCGGTGTTTCCCAAAAAGGAACAGGCCATACAGGCCCTGTTTTTGAACCAGGAGCAAAAATATACTCTGAATGTTAATGACATGAGGTGGTAAAAAAGGACTCTTCAAGAATATAAAAAACATATGAAAGAAATTTCATTTTCTGATAGAACAGTGCTCCATCACACAGGTCCAATGCTACCCTGGAGTTTTTGGAGATTCGAAATGTCACCATCTCTGGCCCAGAAAAATGGCTTACTGGCAGTCCAATTGCCAATAATGTTGATTACCATACCTGGGGGCATCTAGAACAGTTGGTATTTAAATATACCCAGCCTATCAGGGATGTAGAGGAACTAAAAAAAAGAATAACTAGTAGTTGAATGGTACTTCCGCATACATCCATCAATTATGCCATCAACCAATGGCTTCCGTGTCTTAAGCGAATAATCCAATCAGAGGATGGGTCCGGGGGGGGGTCTATTGAGCTATTTTTGGACAGACTGAAGAAGAAATGAATTAGTTTTATAAGCATACACATGTATATTGAGCATGCAAGGTTCAAAAACTGAATGAAAACAATATATAATATCCAATTATGAAAGACTCATGACAATGTTGTAATTTACTAAAATTTGGTAGAAAAAGGCAATTGTTCGGAAAATCGACGAAAATTGAAAAGGTGTTTTTTGACCCCCATGTCACATAAATGGTCATATTTCTATATGGGGTTGTTGAAAATGGTGCTATTATATATCATTTTGTTGCAAATTAAATTATCTTTAATATGATATATCATTGTTGGTGTGATTGTTAAAAAATAAATATTTATCAGGAATATTAGCTAGGGGGGTGGTTTTTTTTGGCCCACCCTGTATATTATAAATATGCAATGCATATAAATAAGCGACATCTTTAAATGGCTGTAACATTTGTGAGAAGAAACAATGGAGATCAACTTTAATACTGTATTGTATTGTATTGTATTGTAAATAATGAGTAGTAACTGGGTATATTCCTCCAGATTGATAGAAAAATACATTTCCTTTGTATTCAAAGATTTCAAACAGTGCCTATGGTGTACATTATTTTTTAACAGGCGAAGATTGTTGGCGTTCACGGCGAATCTGTGGAGTATGAATGTATAGGTGAGCTCTTCTTAAGAGGACCGAATATCATGAAAGAGTACTTCAACAACCAACAGAAATCAAATGATGCTTTAGAGGACGGTTGGTTGAAAACAGGGTGAGTACAGTATCATCATTTTGTACATATCTGTTGCAGCAAAGATAGTTTGGAAGAGGTTGAAGTTCAAAGAGAAATATTTATTACATTTATCTTAAAATAATGGCAACAATAGCATCTGGTGCACAAACAGTTGTCTTAATTTGAATTGTTGTGTCTTGTATAGCGATTTGGCATCCATGACAGAAGATGGCTTCGTTACAATAGTGGACAGAAAGAATGACATTATCTCTCGAAATGGAAATGTTGTTTACCCATCAACGATAGAGGCAGCAATAAGAACGTCTAAAGCTATCGCTGATGTGCAGGTAAAGTTTCACAATTGATTATTGCACAGCAATCCAGAAAAAAATAACAAAAACTGTTCACGTAATCTTGCAGCATCCTCTGCTTATTTTTCATTTTTCATTCTCGTTCTACTTCTTGGAACCTTTATGAGTGTGTATTTAAACGGGTGGGGCATATACATACATTTGGGCTAAATACAAGCCTGCTTTTAGAAAATGGTCGATGTGAACGAGTAAAACGTTCTCACGTACAATAGAAACGAATTAGAATACAATATTCTAGAGCATTCGAAGGGTTTTACTAAAAACCTTTCTGAGAAAAATAGCGTAAACACATTTCTTCGTCTTATATCATATTTGTCGATTGCACAACACTATTAATAATTTTAAGTTGTCTTGTAATCATAACAGGTTGTTGGTGTCCCTGGTCAAAATGGTGAAGAGATATGTGCGTTTGTCAAATGCAATCCTGGTGCAGAGACAGTATCCATTGAAGATATAGGGAAGATCTGTCAAGAGTCGGTACGTAGGATACACCTCTATATTTGTTGAATTTATATGTGCGTCCATAATAATATGATAATATGATAATGATTTGGTTTAAATAATTAATGAGTGCAAATACCATTATTTTCTGTGATGGTTCTACTGTATAGTGTTTTATCTGGGCCTACACATGTAAGGCCTTAAAATGGAATTATTATTTCCAAACTAGAATGTATTTTAGAATTTATATATTACTTTTTCCAGAGAGTAGATAGCCCTACCCAGTTTATGATTGTTGACGAATTCCCAAGAACTCCAACAAAAAAGGTAGTCGATAAACAATATTCAATTTTGTATGAGCTTCATCATAAAAGTTGATTCATACGTATCACGTGACCATATAAAATACATGTAGATTTTTGTTTAGTGCTTGCAACTATCGTCACTCTCATGATTTGACACTGGGAGAAAGCGACGGAATTATTACGACTATTGATATAAGATACATGATCAGATAATCAGTTATGTGACATTTTACCACAATTTTAATAGATTCAGGCAGAAACAATAAGTTTTATTCAGAGATTTGCGAGTTCTATTTTTGATGACCATCTACTACTACAAGTAAATACAAAATTTCGACAAATAATTGTATTTTTCAGGTGCAGAAATACAAACTTCGTGAGCTGTTTCTCCAACAGAATCGGCAGAACTAAAATGGACATTAGCAATAAAAAGTGCTAAGAGAACATTCCAAGTTTCTTAACTTCATATTCTCCTTGGGTTCTCCAAGGTCTTACTGCCAAGGTGGTATTGTGTAATGAATGGTGATCAGAGGATTAGACAAAGATAATTAACACTTCAAGGATTAATTGAAAAAGTAATGCATTTATTCTTTGACCATGTCATACATTTTGATAACAAAATTCTGCCATAATATCCTTTATTCCTCAAAATTACACTATCAGAATGGAATCTACACAATGCTGTAACTGCACCGTCTACACTATGTTGGTATTAACAGTGCTTTTGCGATCTTCTGAACACAATGGATTTTGTCCATTTAGAAATCTCGGAATATATTTTATATATGTGACCCCAATACTGTATATAAAATCCTATACACGTGAAAAATATTTTTGATACTTGAAAACTGGACATTAAGTTTTCCCATGGTATATTTTCATACAGACTTCTTTCGCTCTATTGTGAAATATGAAAGTTCAATGAATACGCGTCCATACACTGTGCATTTTTTGTTTTAACCATTTTATAGCTCTCTTGTGTTCAGTTTAGAAAGATAAGGAACATTTTCAGTGAATTCTGTTTTGAATTTGTTCACGATATATTTTAATATCTTTAATTTATTGTTATACAATATTGTGTATGAATATTTAAACAGTTTAAAAAAACTAAATAAATCTTAGCATACTTTTATAAATAATAAATATTGTTGGCTTCTGTAATTATGACCAGCATAAAGCAATTCCGGCTGCAATATCCCAGTATTTTCTCAAATTGTTCGAAGATTGTTGTTGAATGCACATCGCCAATGGGTTGTTCTTCACCTCTTGTCCCATTGGTTTATTGCATGTATATGTAGCTATACTCAAACTCATTACTCACTTCCTGCCCCATTGGTTTGCATGTATATGTAGCTATACTCAAACTCATTACTCACATCCTGCCCCATTGGTTTGCATGTATATGTAGCTATACTCAAACTCATTACTCACCTCCTGTCCCATTGGTTTGCATGTATATGTAGTTACTCAAACTCATTACTCACCTCCTGTCCCATTGGTTTGCATGTATATCTAGCTATACTCAAACTCATTACTCACATCCTGCCCCATTGGTTTGCATGTATATCTAGCTATACTCAAACTCATTACTCACCTCCTGTCCAATTGGTTTGCATGTATATGTAGCTATACGCAAACTCATTACTCACCTCCTGTCCCATTGGTTTGCATGTATATGTAGCTATACTCAAACTCATTACTCACCTCCTGTCCCATTGGTTTGCATGTATATGTAGCTATACTCAAACTCATTACTCACCTCCTGTCCCATCGGTTTGCATGTATATGTAGCTATACTCAAATTCATTACTCATTTTCTGCCCCATTGGTTTGCATGTATATGTAGCTATACTCAAACTCATTACTCACCTCCTGTCCAATTGGTTTGCATGTATATGTAGCTATACTCAAACTCATTACTCACCTCCTGTCCCATTGGTTTGCATGTATATGTAGCTATACTCAAATTCATTACTCACCTTCTGCCCCATTGGTTTGCATGTATATGTAGCTATACTCAAATTCATTACTCACCTCCTGTCCAATTGGTTTGCATGTATATGTAGCTATACTCAAACTCATTACTCACCTCCTGTCCCATTGGTTTGCATGTATATCTAGCTATACTCAAATTCATTACTCACCTCCTGTCCCATTGGTTTGCATGTAGCTATACTCAAACTCATCAATTTGATATCAACTGTTCTCTTCACAAATTATACATGTATATGTTTGAAGAGATCTAATGTTACGTGTTTTTCTCAGAGCTTAACGGATTAATACTTATTATCTTACTCGTACCCGACACACAAATGTCAGGTAATGGACTTCTGTCTATTGACTGTCCTCAAATCATTGTTCATACATTCTTTGAGATATAAAACGTTACTTAATCCCCCCTGAAAACTATTTGTCCTAACACCAGTTGGCTGACTAATCAATTCGGACTTTTTCACAGTAGCAGTGACGTTCATGCTAACGTGGGCCCCATTCATGTAGTCCGGAAGTAGTCCTACTCAAATATGTGTTGTCAACTACCCTTTCAGTAGTTCCATCTTTCTAATAGCTAGTACTCCTTGGTATCTCTTGACTTTAGAGTAGTTGTTAGCATTGAATTACACATATGTTCATAATAATGTTCATTTTTAAAATATCTATCGCCACTGTGTCCCATTCTCGGTTCAATTAGACAATGAATCCTCTTGGCACAGTAAGAATCGGTGTCAAATCCAATAGGAGTAATAAGTAGTAACGTTTCCTCCAGCCCCTGGACTTTGGACATTTGCTTTCATTGAAATATGTTGTAATTCTGGTACATACATCACTTAATATGTACACGATTCTGGATGTATATATCCAAAGCTATGCTTGCACTTGGGTTCGTGATTTATATGGTTTTGTGACAACCTGTAAGGTCTTAGGTCTTTGAACCCTGTCTACATTTAACGGATGCTGCATTGAAGGTGGCGGACCACTGATATGAGGGTATTTTGGTTTATGACCTAAAATCTCCAATATTGCATCTACAGTTGTGCACAAATTGTATTCAAATCTCTGCATTCTCCTGAAATAAATAGTATACCTTAATTGTTCTGTATATTTCAAGTTATTGAATGATTCGTCTCGTGCCAATACAGAATATCGAGAGCAGAATATATCCTGTATTGCACTTCAAATCATTCCATAACGATCTCCATAATGAACTTATTATTAGGCCAATACATTTTACTTGGGAAATAATCCCTAGGAAATATTCTCAGTATTCTCTTCATTACTACTGAAATTGTCCACTCCATACCAATATTTTCTGTATTGCTACGGAGATGATCAATGTGATAATTTCAGTAGCAATACAGATTGGTACAGCACAAGAACTGACAAATTATAGGGCTTCATTTTACAGAGCATACGATTATTTTTTTCTTGAGCAATCATGGTTTACTTTTTGTACACAAATGGGGGATGTTTCATGAGTAAATTGTTTCATTTGTTCCGAGAGTTCAAATGGCACGTTATTAGAAATATCCGGTTTGATGTTTCCTCGTATGCTTTGCTTATTTACCATTGATATACAAAGCCAATAGAACCTTTCCCATGATACTTAATTTAGTACTCAATTCATATAAGAGATTCATTAACGAAAGTATACATTTACAAAATGTCACATTGATATTTAAATTAGTGTTAACGAATTTAAAAAATCATGATCTGTTCGGTCATATGCGATTTGCAGGAAATGGGTTTATATGTAATGATTGACACTTGTAAATTTAGTTGAGCAACATTTATGAAAACTTACTGTGTTATATCTGTTAGTTGTGCATCTATATGAGACATTTTAGTTGAATGATTTCCATCTATTGTTTCTTGGTGGACTTCGTAGTCTATGGGAGATGCAGCGTGGTATGATATGGGACCTGTAAAAAGTAAATACGGAACAAATGTTTACTTGCTGGGTTTAGAATAGGGCCTGTCAAAAGTGAATAAGGTTAAGCATGTATGTTATAGAAGACCTACAATACATACATAGTTCACATGAACAGGATGGGACTTACCAGTGCTAGAACTAGATTTTGGAATGTGTGAGGTTGAACTGGAGATAGATTCTATAGGTGACAACCCGTGCTGTGTAGTTACATGGGGTTTCGATTGTGAAGTAGCTTTTGTCAATAAGGGTTTAAGGTGAACGGGTTGAGAAGTTGGTCTCTTTCGTATAATACTAGATGTGCCACTATATAATGTCGGAACGCTACCACCTACAATCATAAAGAGTTGAAGAATGATAATGCATAAAGGATCAGATGAAAAATAAAACTCATAATGACTTTTTATTTGACCTTCTTCTCTTAACGAACCTATTTAAAATCAAGTAGTCTAATGATTACAATTAAAATAATTTGTTTAATTAAGTCATATTCAATATATGAACTAACAGTTTTGAATTTTTCTTACTTAAAGATGGATTTCTCTCATCTCCTGAAATACTGTCTTGTAGTTGTAATGCTCGCTTTTCTTCCGAACGTTCTATACTCAATTCTAAAATGCCAGGGGATGTGTCATCGTCACTACTATCGAGCACATGACTATGGCGTCGTCTCTCTGGTGGAGGTATACCGCGTGGTGATATACCCCTTGATAAGCCCCGTTTACCTGAAACATAGCGTTGAACCTGTAGTATCATCGATGAAAGCTATAGAGTTCCATGATTATACATAGCTTTTTAAAAAGAAGAGGGCATCAAATTATAATTTCATCTAGATTGTTTGTATATTATATCTAGTAGCATTTTATGGTTTGGCTGTTTTGAAAGATATGAGTAAAACACGCATTTATATAGTTAAAATATCTGTTTGTGTTTTAAAAATAACACATACAGAGCAGTCACGTCATACGTCTCACATAAGTTAACGTTTGAATTCAAATTACCTTTTGACTGAAGTCTGGGACGTTTCTGTCTGATAAATTTTAGTGTTTCTTCTGGCATTTTTGTCGAGGCTGTTCTATGTATAAATTCTCCCTACAATTATTTAATCAAAACGTTAGTAGTACTATGCAACGGAATATAGATATCACTAGTATAGTCACACAGGCCATTTTATAGACTTTTACGAAATAGTGCCATTACATAACGTTTGATTTCGCCAAGTATAAAGACAAAAAGACGAGGAGCTTCTCAAAGATGTTTTTGATATGATCAGATCATTTTATTGATTTTACAAGATCAATTACTGTAGCTACCAAAAACGCCGTTGAAATGAAAGTAAATTTCAAAGTTTTTCCTGCTCTCATCATTATATATGATGCCCATTTTTAAAAAATCAACCAGTTCTGACTTTATTCAAAGATAATCTGATTTATAAAGTTTTCTGCCAATAAATGGAAAAGAGGGGCGTCGCCTTTGTATGATTGATAAAGATGTGACCTAAAGGAGATTTGAAATCAAAATTTCAAATTTTTGATTTGATTTCACTTATTTATTATTATAAACCATTATATACTATCGCTTCTATACTATGCATATATGCTATCGTTAGTAAAAACAGTGACAAATTATTTTACTTATACGGACTATACTATACGTATAACCTTTACTCACCTCACCAGGGATCTGTAATGGAAATTACGATAAAGCGATTAGTAATGGGTATTTATAATAATAATATACGAAAGATTTGTTTAATAATTACAGTAATTAGACTAAAAGTGCAGCTTGCCATATCAATCTACAAGTCAATATCGAGTTTACTTCTACGGATGTTAAACATTTATATTAATTACTCTAACGCTTAAGCATATAAGCTTTTCCCCTATAGTTCTATATATAAAATGAAAAGAATCGAAGTAAGCATTACTTTAACTGTAGCCATGGACTTCAAACGATTAGAAGTCCATGCTGTAGCCAAAGTATCTAAATGAATACAATTCGACACATCAAAGGAACGTACATGTTTTAAGTTAAATGTTACGTGAAACGATTTCAGGAAGTTTTGAGCGAATTCAGGATAGACGTCGAGTATCTCTTGAAGGTCGTCCAGATCAATCTTGTGAAGGTCACAATATGATAAAGCCCTAATACAATAGCTTGATTTAGACACACCGTGGACTTGATTTGCTTCCAATATATCTCCACCAAATATGTCATCCTTTCCTAAAACAAGTGAACATGTATATAAGTTTTGTATATTGGATGTACATTCAAGAATAGAATTGTTTCCTTGAATTAATAGTGACTTATCAAGTAGGATAATTAGATGGCAATCAATGTATTTGTTGTACATATTGTACACTATACTAGTATACTACTTCATGCATACTTTTTATTTGATCTGAGCAACATAATAGTATGTAAAGCTATGCGTTCACTCCTGATAAAATACATACCGAGAATAGCCATAACTATGTCATCTTTTAATATTTCAATGGAACCTCTGGCTATGAAGTAGAGGGACTCTAGAATGTCACCCGGATGTATAAGTGTATCGCCAGGGGGCGCATGTGTAGACCGGAACTTCATCGAAAGAACTCTTAGGCAACCTGTAATAAGCATAAGATTTTAGGTGACTACTATGTATTAAAATTTCTAAACTATTGTTGGTCACGATTGACTCTTGCAAGATTTCAGTTTCTCCAACTTTGCCTAGGTGCACCATTAAAAAACTACCGTGGAAATCGGGGAGATTAAATTTTGTGGGTATATTTTAACATTTATGTCAAATTCATTTATTGTGCCTCATTACTATAATCAAGTCTCACCAGGGCTTGCCACTTTGAAAGCATCGCAATTGTTGAGAAGTTGCCTGTTCAGATGTAAACAAATGTCAGCTTGGAGGCAATCTGGGAATCCCTTTAAAACCTGGAATCAAATCAATATACATGTATTTATATAATGATTTATTAAAGAGTCCACTGCAGGATTCGAATTTCGATAATTAGCAAATTACAAAAGTAAAGAGAACTTAATATTCGGTCCGAAATTCTCTAACGAACACGATTACTCAACGTTAAACATACAAAAACTTTCTATGCACAAATTTTAATGTAATTATTAAAGAACGTAAAAGAGTCTTTTTAAAACAGTATACCCATGCAATACTGGCATGGGCGGTGATTTGAAATTCGAATATACGGCATCAAATTTCTTGCATATCAGCAATAACAGAGAATATCATAGGCAAGTTGAAAGTCTGTAAATCTTGTACAAATCGGTTAAACATCCTAAACACAGATAAACAGATGAGAAACGGTTGGAATATTGATTCACATACATCTTACCTGAAGCATTTCAGGAATTTATTTTGCCAAATAAGATCTTAAAGTTAAGAAATAAGAAATCAAGTGCAGTGGCTATGGCCTTCTAAGAAACATCTTCAACGTAAATGTATGTTTCATTTACAAGTATAAAGTTCCAAATGGAAAATATCAAAATGTATTATTTAAACACGGTTAGAATGATGAAAACTTTAAAGTACAGCCGGTTAGAATGAAATAAACCCCAACATCCAATACCAGGAAACGACGTATGAAGATGATTATATGTAGATATATTTTATTGGCATTCATAGATATACCAATGTTCATCATTATGACATAGTGCATTACGGACTGCCAATTTTAACAAAAATCACGGAAGTATATGAATAAAGTATGAAAATAATACCTACTCCATTCATATCGATGCCATTTGTATACGACCAGCTATGCTGATGTGATTCAACAAGCCTCGCGGCCAATGTTTTAGGGATGTGATGGAAGTTTATGAACTCCTTAATACTGGTTTGCCTCTCATGATATTCTTCTGTCCCTTGGTATAAACGCAACATTATGGAGGATACGTTCCCGAAGATGGCGGCACTCATTAATGCTGAAAGCAGACGATACATAATCTCAATATAACACAGTTAACCCCTTTAAAGGAATAAGTGATTCCTTCAGGGGTTTTAAAGATATCCATTATGGGTGACCAAAATTGAGCTGAAAGCAATGGATCGCATGAGTTTTCCCTATGGGAAAACAACATGGGAAATATTGTCTTCCACTTTATCTAAAAGGAATTACTTATTATAAACTGTGTGTCAAATTGCAAACTATTGATGCAACAAAAATTGAAAAAGCAGGGGTGGACGGGGTTGAAAATCAGGACAATATTTCAGAAAAAAACATGTGGGTGGGTTGTTTGCATCTTCCCTGTCTAAATGTCGAACATATTTTATCATCTCTATGAATACTTTTCCTGGAGGTAATACATTGGCTTAACACTCTACATTCTAACAAAATTCTACAAATGACTGTCTGAAATCTATTGTGATACTAATTCCCTCCTCTTAAGACAAATCAAAATAGATAAAACCAAAGCTATACCTATTGAATAAAATTGATCTTACAAACAAGAAAGTTAATTATTCAAGCAGTGGTTAACTAGAAAGAAATTATGTAGTACACTCCCCTCCATAAGTTTGGCAACGTTAGCTCCCCCATTGAACTACGTGTTAAAGCCTCTTTACTTTTGAATTTTTATTTACCTTACCGGCGATGAAATAACTCATAATATTGATGGAAACGTAACTTGACTTTATTTACAATACCTCCAAATTTTCTCAATTTTGTTCCTCAATTACAATAGGTCGAAAATTGATGATAAATTTGATGATTTTTTCAAGTCTCGAAAATCAGCTCTTATTGAAATATTATTTGCGAAATAAACAAACCGAGTATTGTTTTGTAAATATTACCGTGACAATATTGTGCAGTTAATTTTTTTTAAAGCAGACCTAAATGAGAAGGTTAAATCAAGGTAAACTTTTTGCTCGTCCCCTTCCCCTTCAAAATCTTACATTTTTGAAAATTCTAAAAGCGTTCGTATTTAAACAATTTAAACTGGAGCCGTTACGCAATTGTGACATCATAAATGCGCATGTTCCATTGAATTAAATTCGAAATTTTGGTGGGATTCTGATCATTATTTTAAACGTTATCCCAATTTCAACGAACCATGTAAGTGTATGTGTTACGTCTATTACAGCGTATTTGACGATGTCGGGGTACATTTAATTTTTTTTTGTTTAAAATATGATAGATCCCATCAAACTTTTCAAAGAAAGATAATTTCACTGAAATGCAAATAAAAAATACTTCAAGATGATATACAAGGCATTAACATGACAAAATGTCACCACTTAGTTAGGTCATCGAAGGTCAAATGTCAAATCTTAAGTCAAATCTAAAGTCAGATTTGAACTTCTGAGAACACGTAGATGATTTTGAAATTTTTTTTAGTCAATTTGAAGCCAGTTGAAAAAAGACCTTTTTGACCTTGAGAAGGTCATTGAAGGTCAAAGGTCAAATCTAAAGTCAGATTTGAACTTCTGAGAACTTGTAAAGTCAAATTTCAACTTCTGAAAAGATGTTGATGATTTTGAAAAAAAAATTGGTCAATTTGAAGCAAGTTGAAAACAGAACTTTTTGACCTTTTTTTACCTTGAGAAGGTCATTAAAGGTCAAATGTCAAATCTTAAGTCAGATTTGAATTTCTGAGAACATGTAGATGATTTTGAAAAAAAAATTAGTCAACTTGAAGCAAGTTGAAAAAAGACCTTTTTGACCTTTTTTGACCTTGAGAAGGTCATTGAAGGTCAAATGTCAAATCTAAAGTCATATTTGAATTTCTGAGAACATGTAGATGATTTTGAAAAAAAATTAGTCAATTTGAAGCAAGATGAAAAAATACCTTTTTGACCTTTTTGACATTGAGAAGGTCATTGAAGGTCAAATGTCAAATCTAAAGTCAGATTTGAATTTCTGAGAACATGTAGATGATTTTGAAAAAAAATTTAGTCAATTTGAAGCAAGTTGAAAAAAGACCTTTTTGACCTTTTTTGACTTTGAGAAGGTCATTGAAGGTTAAATGTCAAATCAGTCAGATTTGAATTTCTGAGAACATGTAGATGATTTTGAAAAAAAAATTTAGTCAATTTGAAGCAAGTTTAAAAAAGACCTTTTTGACCTTTTTTGACTTTGAGAAGGCCATTGAAGGTCAAATGTCAAATCTTAAGTCAAATCTAAAGTCAGATTTGAATTTCTGAGAACACGTAGATGATTTTGAAAAAAAATTTTAGTCAATTTGAAGCAAGTTGAAAACAGACCTTTTTGACCTTTTTTGACCTTGAGAAGGTCATTGAAGGTCAAATGTCAAATCTTAAGTCAGATTTGAATTTCTGAGAACACGTAGATGATTTTGAAAAAAAAAATTGTCAATTTGAAGCAAGTTGAAAACAGACCTTTTTGACCTTTTTTGACCTTGAGAAGGTCATTGAAGGTCAAATGTCAAATCTAAAGTCAGATTTGAAGGTCAAATGTCAAATCTAAAGTCAAATCTAAAGTCAGATTTGAATTTCTGAGAACATGTAGATGATTTTGAAAAAAAAATTAGTCAATGTGAAGCAAGTTGAAAAAAGACCTTTTTGACCTTGAGAAGGTCATTGAAGGTCAAATGTCAAATCTAAAGTCAGATTTGAACTTCTGAGAACATGTAGATGATTTAGAAAAAAATTGAAGTCAGTCTAAACAGTATTTGTTAAGTTATAGGAAGTTGTAAGAAATTGTTACAGACGCCGGACGCCGGACGCCGGACGCCGGACGCCAACCTCCAACCTCCAACCACCAACCGCCGTCGCAAAAAAACGGAGACCATAACAATATGTCACCACTTTTGGTGGTGACATAATAAAACTAGTTAGCTTTTCAAATAAGGCAGAGATTAACACTTAAAGCTGAGATTACCCCGCATTTTCCGAATTGTCCCAAGGTCCGTGCACGTCGTAATTATGTCTGATTATAGCATTATGAAATTAGAAAACGAGGATTGTGTATACATGGAGGTAAAATATTGAGATTCAGACACCGTGGCTTGCTTTAATTTCTCAAAGTATAGAGGTGACAAATCACATTTTGATTTATCAGGATTCTTTTTTATCTAGCTTATGGGATGGAAGATGCTCTTCCCTATTTGTGTAATTGGACATTTGAAAGAAAGCCAGTGGGGCTTGGCACAAATGATTCTGGCCCAACTTGACCCCTTTTACTATGGGCATCAAACCCCAAAAGCTATCAAACCCCAATAGTCCAACTGATCAGTGTATAATGCGAGGCCATGTAAAGTTCTTTAAAAAAGATAAAAGACGTGTCAGCTATGCACAGAACAAAGTACAGTTGCAGTTGAGGATGCCAAAATGTCTCATCTGACGGCCCGAACAACGAATTCAAAGAACAGAGATGTGTTTAATTGAATATCACAGATCTTATTTACTAAGACAAGATGTTTACCTCAGGGAGGATATGTCAGGAAAGTAAATACCAACGATCTGCAAAAACGACAGTTATTCAATTCAACTTGGAGCTATCATTTGCTTATTCTTGCTAGCAGAATCGACCAGAGAACAAGCTGGGAAATTATGTAGCTTTGCATTTTATATCTAATTGTAGTATATATGTAAAACCAGAAAACCATCAAGAACATGCTGATATTGCATAGTCACTTTTAATACGTTGCATGGGTTTGATCTAACGGGAACGTAATTGAAAAGCCAGACAATATTCAATTTGCTTCTACAGTCTATAATAGCGAACTGATTTATAATTTCGCGGCATGTAGGCCATGTGGATTGTTCTTCAAATGAGTTACAATTTCACAATGGTCACAAACAAATTGAAAATAGCCAGTCGAAATATGAAGATGATTGTTGTCATGATGAATGACATCATTATGCAGCATCAATTTCGATACGGATCTTTGAAAGAGTACGTGGAAACACATTTTACTAAAAACGTAAATTACTTGTGCCATTGTGCGCTGGTTTTCAAATGCTGTCTCGTCTGCTTCGAGATTACAAATCTAAAATTGAAGCAGGACAGCTCCGTATGTTTTTCAAACTTTTTGAGAAGCCTCAATTTACACGTCCCGCACTTATTTTGTGAAAAATAAACTAAAATACTTACATCCTAATAACATAGCGAATATTCCGAAGACCTTCTCAGCGTTGGTATTTGGACAGATGTTCCCAAATCCTATGGACGTCAAACTTGTAAATGTAAAGTACAACGCAGTGATATACTTAGTCTTTAATGGAGGCCCACTACTTGTATCGTTGGGAAGATATGGGTTGTTTGTGTCCCTTGCTAAAGCATCAAGCCAACTTATTGGCGCATGTAACGTCTGGCGTTCAACGTACGCGATGGCGTAGAATATACACGCCAACCAGTGAGCAATAAGGGTGAAAATCGCCATCAGTAACAACAGGACAGCGGCTCCGTATTCTGAATACTGGTCGACTCTCCTCGCTACTCTCAACAATCGAAGCAACCGGGCAGTCTTTAGGACACCCGTGATTGTCATTGTCTGTAAAATAACACACAGATAACATTTTATTTATAGCGTAACGCGTAATGTTTTAAAAAAGAATACCTTGATTTTTAAAGGTTTAACATGGAGGAACCCTCTGAAAGGGTGTACTCAATGCAGGAAGAGAGTCGTTAAAACTTAACTTCCGGTTTACATTTTAAACATATTATTAAGACCAATAGGGATATGCAATGTACAACCTCTCGAACATTGGTCCTATAATTGCATGACATTCGAATCAAATATGGTGATATGATATACTCGTATATAACTTCAATACTGGGTAAAACATCTCCGATAGTTCGTACAAATCAGATATAGCAAAGGAAAAAATGAAACGTTGCAAAGGCAACTTAGTCTATAACTTAGCCTATTTAACGATGACTTATTCAAATATATATTAATTGGCGACAAGTATAAACGCCACACGTATGTCTTGGAATAGGGAATGAATGTAATTGAATCGAATGCGAATTCTACCGACTAAGCCCAAAGTTGTAAGTAGCACGATATCCGTTGGGTAAATTCTCATAATTACTAGATCTAGCAACGTAAACATGCAATGAATTCTATTCCAAAATGTCAGGATATCTAAATAAAGCTGACTTACTTATTTTTGTTAGATAACAATATCATTCTGAGAAATGAAAAGCTTAATAAAATGTCTTTACAGAGAGCCACGCTAGAAATTTCATTGAGTTTCATACTACTGTTTGCCTTATACACTCTGCACAGTAACGATAATTGATTTGATCTCCCTTCCGTAATTTTTATTCATAATATGGAACACGAACAGCTTTTAGCTATAGACTTGCCATTAGTGGAGAATGGATCGTAATGTGATTATATAAGGACACCAGATTATATAATATTGACAAGATCTATGAGAGATGCTATTGTCGATGTCTGAGATCCATGATCGCCTTTAGCTCCAACGCTTCTACCAACTGCTTCTGTACCTTCATACTGTTACTCCAGACTTAATCAATAGACCAGATGCGAGTAGAAATAACCTTGATTTACGTCATTAAATATTCAAAATTCATTGTATTTGAAATCTACATTTAAAAGTACATCTAGAAATATGGTTTTGAAAATTATTTATCAACTTTGAAAATTTAATTTTTGGGGAAAATGTGATTTCTAGTTCGGGGAGATTCCCCATAGACCCCATGTTACAAATAATATTTTATTTTACCGGACATATTTCAGTTTGCATATCTATTAGATACATAAGGTGATATGAACGTTGAATCACTAAAACTGATAATATTTAAGTTAAAAGGGGTGTTTCTACTATACCCCCATGCTATCTGACCCGAATGAGCCACCTGGTGGTGAAACTGTTAACTACCTACTCGCATCTTGGTTATTAGATTTCTAAAGTTAAAACGATTTCGATACCAACTCTATGCGATGCATGTCTCCATTGTGATCTCATTCAATGATTTCAAATAATGGCCAATTTTGGTTCATACATAGCGCATAGAAGTAGATGGCAAATCACACTTACGTCACTAGTTCCCGAGCCAAAGAGCAACAGGTCAAATGGAATAGCTGCAATGGCATCAATGAGAAACCAGCTTTTCACATAATTTACTGCAATTTTCTGAGGGTCAGACTCGACTTCACCATTAGCAACATACGTGGTACGAAAGTTGATCAGAATGTCCGCTATAAACATCACATCCACAATGAGGTCGATGATGACAAGTGGATCGGCTTGATTGGTCTTCGCATTTTGGAGCCTCGTGGCTGAGTTTTGATTCAGCTTCATTCTAGCCTCGTCCTCGTTGAGGAGGAAGGCGGCGACGTACGGGGTGAATACAGCAGTGTAAAGCACGAGCAGCAGAATCATCCAATCCCAAACTGCCTTAAAGGGCGAGTAGTGGAGAATGATGCATTTTGGCACACTTCTTGTTTGAGGGCGCCATTCTTGCGCCTGGTCAACCGTACTGGTTTCGTTATCAGCCTCACCATTGTTACTTTTGTCATCTTCTTCTCCAGAGTCTTGTTTGAAGGAAGTCTGAAACACATAAAACATTCCAATAAACATTTAAAACAATTATATTTTATACATCGAGGTCATAACAACATCCTTACACTTTGTTTTTCTCCTCATCGCCATTTGCCAAAATATATGAAAGGAGGTTTGTTTAAGAATAAGCCACAGTAGCATAAAAGCAAATGATTTTAAGTGATATGCCATGATATCAATACCTTTTATGATTGGTCGTAAAGAGGTATACAATTTACACAGTTTATATACGGAAAACAATTAATGGGCGGCTATATTCATTGGATTTCGGCATTTGGTTGCCATGATTGTCGATTCATGCATCAATGCGAGTGAGTTGGAGGTGTATCCCGAAATTCATGGTATATCTTTGATTTTTGAAGCTACGAATTCAAACAATAATATGCTTTATAAATACTGCATTTTATATGTCATCCAAAAATTGTTAAAGACAGTGACGTCATCAATACAAGACACGCAAAATGTCATGAAACTACTAAAAGTCTTCTGAAATCAAGTCTGTATTGAATTTAATGCAGCGAGCATTACACGAGATAAAAGTAAGCTTGAAAGTACTAATGACGAGCCTTGTAATATCTAAAGTAGCTCAAAATTGCAACAACAAGGTGGAGATTTCTGTTTCATAATGATCTGACGAGAAACGTAATTCTACTTAGATACATTGAGGAGCTAATAATAAATCAAATGTTGCGAAGACAACCAAAGGCCATTGTGGCGTTCACTGATAAGAAGTAAGTTGCGTTTTCAGTTCGTCATTTAATGAAGGATTGAATGATGTGTTTCGGGCCTAATAGAGTGAAAGGTTTTCAGCTAAATATGCAGCATAGACATCGATATTCAACAAAACAAAAAACTCCACTCATAATCACAATTAGACAGTATTGATAATCACAATTAGACAGCTTCAATAATCACAATTAGACAGTATTGATAATCACAATTAGACAGTATAGATAATCACAATTAGACAGCTTCAATAATCACAATTAGACAGACAATTAGACAACAATTACTTATTACAGTTAGGCAGTATAATAATCACAATTAGACAATACGCATATCCAAAAGGTACAAAGGTATTTAATCAAAAATGTACCATAAAAAGACTTACAACAATAAAAACACCCGGGAATTCAGTTACATTACGTATATTTTCAGTTTCCAGTTCATACGTACATCGGATAATTCTACTAACATAGCTTTGAACTGACTACGATTCCTAAAGAGAGCATCGTCCTCGATTGGTTCAGAGCTAGACTCTGAGCCCGGAGTATTTTTTAGTAGATTGAAATTCAATCCGGAAAATTACAAATGCTTTTAACGCTTCATAAACGCTTCAAATACCTATATATGTGTATACTAATTTATTAGAAACAGGATATTCTTATACTAATCATGACTATTAACGCAGGTTTACGAGATAAATTCAAATTTATCACTAACACTGATTTAACACTTACATCTGTTTTCATCTTTATTTCTTTTAAGCTAATTAGACTAGGCGTGCCTTTGTCATTCAGCAAGTACGTTTAAAGATCAAGACAAAGGGTTATCGCGATGCGTTTTCGATCATTTCGGATGCGGGTATCGTGCTACAGCAGGTAAAGGGTATACACTCATTAGCTTTAATAATATGAAATTTGATTTATTTTGGTATTATGTCTATTTAAAAAGATTTATATAATATCTTCTCTCTTAAAACCGTCTCTTAACTTCCGAGAGTTAAAGAGCGGAACATTATATTTGCTGTACGAGTAGTGACTTGCTATAGCAATGAATGTAAATGTGAATCGAGTGTCGGAGTGTAGTAATGTATATGAAGCTCTCTTTTAACAAGCGTTTGAAGAGGCTATAGTATACACATGAAATAAGAGGATACCCATAGATTCACAGAGTTCTTAAGATTCTTAAGTCTAGCTCATTTGACAGAATTCATTTTTGCAATCTGGCTTATCAATGATCGATAGTGTCATGTTAGATTCGGATGGTACGATATACAGGGTGGGCCAAAAAACGCCACTTTTTTCAAGACACTATAACTTTTCTATTTTCCAACCTACATACACCAAATTGTGAAGTTATATAGTGCCAGGGTTTCTTAGTAATAATATAATGTAACAAGTCCTTCAACTTGGATTACACTTGATCTAAAAGAGAACTTCAATTGGTCTGCCACCCTCTTTAATGAAAGCTTTTAGTCTTAGTCACCTTGCTGATATAGCAGTATCAATGGAATATTGGTTAGGTTTGTTTCAAACTGTATTAATTGCCAGCTTTAATTTAGCAATTTTTTAGATTGGGTGCCTTCATACCATCTCCTGGAGACCTTCCCATACCCTCTACTCACTGGGGTTTTCATCAGTTCAGGAACATTTTGCAAATTATGTTCATTTCTCATGGCACACCTCGAATATCTGCGAGACCCTGGTGCCATTTTTTATTCAACTAAAGGTGTACGATTCATAATCGATGGTTAGATAACAACTTCAAGTTTCATTATGTATGCAAATTATGATTTAGTATCAAAATTAAAAAAGTTATAGCATTTTTTTAAATGGCGTTTTTTGGCCCACCATGTAAGTACATTGTACTTTTATTATAATTTATACATAATACTTCTGTCTCTTTGGGGAGAAAGTTCCTGAATAAGTTAGTGTTCAGACCCAAATACGGAATTTATCTTTTTGCAGAATTTTGGGCTGTTAATTGTATTTATTCGCTACATAGAAAGCATATATATATCTCATGTTTTATCTGATATTTTAGGAAGCCCATTCCGTGAGTAGTTGGCTACGTGTCTTGTCAATTAAGATCAAGAGAAATGAAAAATAAGTATCAATTGAATGGACAAGAAAATATTAAGATAATCTTCGATGTATCTTACAGAACAAACTTGTTTATTGTCATACATGAAGAAATGACCCGCACGTTTAAGGATACGATACAACCATGCACTTCTGCACATTTTCTTTATTACGCCAAGTAAAAATTATCATAAGGAAAAATGCCGAACATCTTAAGGGGAATAACATTAAATTACATGTACCCTTTTGAATCTAATCGTATTGAACCCAACCTTGAAGGTATATAATCATGAAAGGAAATAAAATCATGAAATATACTTCAATTCTCAGATTGATTTTTTCTAATTAGAACCTGTATTCAACAAGTGCATCGCATGCGTGTGTAGTTCTGAAACTCCAGATTAAATTCATACGTACGAGTCCATGAAATCGAACAAGCTCGACGTGCTTGCCGAAGTCCAACCCCCTTCTCCTTTTCCCGAGCACATTCATAGTCCTCTTTTCAACATCAGTCGAATCCATCTTATTTGTTGAGTCCCTTTCAGATGCCCATCAATGTCAAACAAAAATATAGGCCACGCAATCTCTTCACACTTTTACTCCGTAGCCGATGTTCTACTTATTTAGTTTTCTCACACCCTTTGAATAAAGCTAATGGTTGTGTTGCGATATCCATGCAATAAGTGCTCCTTGAGAAAAATATAATTTGTAGAGAGAGTGTGATTTAAGAAGACATGCTCATATAATTTGTATCGGTCTTCCAATCTCACTCGCAAGTCGCAATTGCCTCAAATTGGTCGCGGTCTCCAACAGGTCGATGATACTAATAACGTTTGTAAATCACTTAGCCTGATATAGGTAACGAGTTGACAATGTTTTTAGTTTTTTATTATTTCCGCTTTACTGTGACTTGCAATTGCGGACGTTTATATCAGTAAGCCCTCCTCATTCGACTGTATCACAAATCACGGCCTTCATCATCGACACGCTGCAGCTATACGGTTCTATGAACTATTTCTCCCCTATTAGGGTACGTGCATCTACTAAATTACTTTCAATTGTGGATCATTATCCTTGATGCGTTGAGTTATCACTTAATGTCAAATCACGACAACTATGATCCTGATAAGCTAGAATATATTACGAAAGAACTCGTGTTCAATTAGTTTGTAAAGCTTCTATTTTGCATTTCAGGATAAGCCAAAAAATCAAATATAAGAAAGACAATTTAACATGTATCCACCATCCTCGCTCTATTGATCATTATGTCTTTATTACAGAATGTATCGTATTGCTATTTAACAGCAGTAATCAGCAACAGTTTGAAATGTAACATTTGATTTACAATTCAAACCTTACAAATCACTCCGAATTTAGCGAATGGCATTTTATTCAAAGAGAATAATGTTCATTTTTCAAGAACAAATATTAAAAATAGCCTCCTGGCTATAAGAAAAGCTGATGTTTCAACAGGTGTGGATTTCAATCAAGATATTTCCTTTGCAAAAACATACACAATTGCAAACCAATGTTACAGATTCAAAAGTTCCTAGATAGATACGTATTGATCATCAATTCTAAGTATTATAACTACAATGAAATTCAGACGCATCCTATCATGTTAGCCTGATGCAATCGACCCACCTTGCTTGATACTTAACTTTGGTTCTACAAAATCGACACGCGCTTTATATTCATCTTATATATTTTTACATTTACATACTCCATTCATTCACAGGATATCGTCTATAATGATCTGAACAAAGGATACATCCAAGGGCAATATAAGTACTATTATAACGATTCACGATTCTGTCTTGACATGTGGGATGATATGCTTGGGAAAATTTAAATATTACACTTTTCGCAATCAGTTTGGAAACCCAAAATTATCAAATTGGACTAAGTCATGTTTCATGTTCGAATTTTTATCTAGCATGCCAGTAAAAATAAGGTATATATCAATTTATATAATCAATAATCAATTATAACATGTTTCTCATTTCACTTAATGTTGAAAATCAGAATTAACTTATATAGATCGACCTGGCCTGATGCTTTCTCTCAATATCAATTACTCTCAATCTCGTATATTCTGATTCGTGTAGGAACTAATACATTACAAGGGGTGTGAATATTAGTATCGCTGAATTCTCTGACAGTGTTTGCGTTTGGAGCATTTTT